TAGCGATCGTTTTTTGAAAACCGATCCAAAGCGAACAATACTATTCTTAAGAGAATTGAGATGAATATACAAGTTTTAAAGTTTTGAATTACTATCAAATAGACTTACTTTATTGCTTTGAGATTCAAATCATAGTTAAAGTGAAATTGAAATTAGAATTGTTCAGGCTATACTTGGATGGTGACAAGAAAAAAATATTTAGCTTTTTACTTATTTTTTATAGGGGGGGGGGGGGTCTTTCAAGCAACAGTTCTCTTAACCTTCTTTACATAAGAATAATAAAGCTAAACTCAGAATCAAACAATTTTGATTGAATATTCAAAAATTAATCATTTTTTTGCTGACATATGTTTAGCTACGCCTGGATTATAAATTAAGCCATTCTTAAGCTGACTCCTAAAGGGGTAAAGTTTTCATGTTCATGTTAGCGTCATGCATGTAGAAGAAATATGAGAGTAGTTGGCTTTACGTACAGTGACAACCAGAAAACTCTGGACTAGGAAGTCGACGTTAAACTCAAGTTACGTCTTTAAATAGTCATATGAACATTAGGCACAGCAATTGCATGCAATGTAGGTTATTTGCTTTGTAACAACATCAAATAAACTTTAATATTGCTTCAATGTCGTCTTCCTATTCTACAGTTTTCTGGCTATCCCTGTATGAGACAAAAGTTGCATCTTAAACGATGACAATTGTAATTTTTTAACGCACCATAGTTTAGTTTTTGCCCATGTTACCCCCATTTAAAGGTATTTTATATGTTTCGATATCATGTTGAAGATAAAACAACAAAAAAGTTTTAGATTTAGTTTTCTTATTCAATAATTGTCATCAAAATTCTCTAAAGGAATTAAGTCTTTGCCACAAATTGAAATTTGCAACTCCCTATATCTTTGCAACCTGATAATGTAAACTTTAGATTTTTAAAACATAACATAATTCATAGTTTCAAATATCTAAATTCTACGACATTGGGTTGCAAAGATATAGGGATTAGAAATCACAGTTTGCGGAAAAGACTCAACTAATCTCAACTAAACCCCACTTTTTCTTCGGTCAGAGTACAGGAAATCACTGCAGTATGCACTACATCAAGAATGCGTCTACGTTTGAAAATAAGAACCGTTGTTGAGTCTAATAAAAGTAAAAACAAATAATTTAGTAACATTTTCTGATACTAACAGATAAATGACAACCTTTAAAGTTTTCACCTTTTTGGTCGTACGTTTATTTGATCTCTTTTTATGCAAAATGTGTTGTGTATAATTTTAAAAGTGAGTGTGTGTGAGTGTGTGAGTGTGTGCGTGTGTGTGCGTCCCTCTGCCATGAATGTTGAAGGTTATTTTTCTTTTGAATCTAGATCATGAAATATGGAGGGGAAGTAAAAATACAAGGGATTATATACCATTAAAACAGTGTAGTACAGTTTATAATGTATATTGTATATACACTAGCAATAGAATTCAATTTAAAAAATACAAGGGATAATTTCCTTTGAGAAAAGGAGGGGAATTTGCACTGCACATTGCACAAGGATTGATATGCTAACCTTATTATACTGATAATATTTCTGTATTTTTATGACTTTTTTTTATAATATCCGCGCATTCCTTTAAGTATATCCATTATCACTGTATCCCAATATTCCTGTATCCCAATATCCCTGAATCCCAATATCCCTGTATTCCAATATCCCTGTATCCCAATATCCCTGTATCCCAATATCCTTAAACTCCGATATCCCTAAATCCCAATACCCTTGTATAATATCCTTGCATCTCCATATCCCTGTATTTTATCCCTGTATCCCAATATCCCTGCATTATATCTCTGTATTCTAATATCCTTATAGACAGCATTTAACATATTTTAATAAAATATGTTATATATACCAAGAGGGGGTTGTTTGTTTCTGTTTATTTAAAATAATATTTTACTCTGTATTAAATCAAGTGAAGTCAAACTTCGCAATTATTGTTATGTGAAATAACAAGGCTAATCTAATCTCAATCAGACGAACTGTCAATTTCAATTAATAACGACTTTTCATATTTAGCGAGACACACAATGTTATGTTTATATACATACATATATATTGTACATATTCCTTCGCTTCAGGGGCGGATACAGGATTTAAGTGAGGAGGGTGCATGATTTATTTCGGAACAAAATAATCAAGATTTAGGAACCAAAAGACGCGCCGCAGGGAAAATTTTTTAAAGATAGATATTTTTTTGCACTAGTCCTTAAGTGTTATTGAGAAGCTACGCCTTCCCCCCCCCCCTGTATCTGCCCCTGCTTCGCTTTGTTCGCAATTTAGGCGTACACTCGTGTGACCTAGAGACCTCAATATACGCATAGTCCTTTTATTTATTGTTTCTTTACCCTCCTAGAATATTCATTTTAGTATATATATATTCTTCAGATGATTTATATAAATGTTTATCTTACTTTTTCTCAAATACTTTTGAATGTGCAGTGTGCACACTGTTTGGTTTTAGGTGGTATAAACTCTTATTTTTCATCAAAATAAACAAATCCGATATAAAACAAGCAATTAAACAAGAAGTCTCTGTCAAACAGACGAAATAAACATACGAACATCGTTGCGCATTTCTTAGATCAAATTGAGCGCAAAAAGTGCTCGCTCAGCACCCCTTTTAACCCGGTTCATGAGTACTGAATTACATCATAGTTAGTTAGATGGTTAGCTTGTTAGATATATAGTTAGAGGTTGTATAAATAGATAGTTAGGGGGTTAGATGGTTAGATATATGGTTAGATGGTTAGATGGTCAGATGGTTAGATGGTTAAAAAGTTAGATGATTAGATGTTAGATGGTTAGATGGTTAGATGGTTAGATAGTTAGATGATTAGATGGTTAGATGGTTAGATATAAGAATGTATATTGGGTGTGTCAGTTTGTCAAATATTTGCTTGTATCAAACCTATATGCAATTATACTTTTGTCTGACCCAAGGTTGATCTTGGGTGGGAGGAGAGGGGGGGGGGTTTGACTGTCATGGTGGATTTTTTGGATAATTTTCACAAATTGGCAAAGGAAATAATTGATAAAATCACTAGTTAATAATCTCAATTGAAGTTTACGGAATCTGAAGGTGTAAAAAGCACAATGTTGAATGTTCTTCTACTGTTAAAACTTATATACGTTTTTATATATTTACGTCAAAGTTCAATTTTTAGAAAATTTGACTTCTCAATCATTAATAGAATAAGATTTAAAACACTAAATTTTGCTTTTTAAAAAATTTGTCCTGCACAAAATTATCCTTGTTAAATATCTTGTTTTCTTTGATTTGTGGCACTAATCGAATATTTTTTCTTTTTCTGATCCATCTTTAGTGCATTGAACAATACTAGACCGATAAGAAAAAAGGGGGAACGCATAAAAGTAAATGAGTAGATGATATAGTGATAAATTAATATGGGTGTGTAATCTGCGTATCAAGGTTGTATAATAAGGTTGGTTACTCTCGATGCTCTCCAATGACAACATAATATGACGTCACTATCGCCTATATCATCAGTGACGTCATATTAGGTTGTTATCTATCTACATTAGGAGACGACATTTTCCGTACATTGGAGAGCATCGAGAGTAACCAACCTCATTATACAACCTTGGTGTGTATGTACAATTGCTGGTTAGGATGAGCATTGAGAATGACTCAGCCATGTTTGCAGTTCATTGATGAATATAACAGAAGAATAGAAGAATAGAAGGATAGAAGGATAGAAGGATAGAAGGATAGAAGGATAGACAAATGACATGAAAGGTCGAGTAGAGGATACAGGTGGATCGATAGATAGATGACGAGTAGATTACATAATAAATAATTGTAGTTTAATATTTTCTAGTTTTCATCTTGATTTGATCTCCAGCGGAAGTAGTTTAGGATCCTGGTTATTATCTAACATTTCAATTTAAAAAATACAAGGGATTATATACCATTAAAACAGTGTAGTACAGTTTATAATGTATATTGTATATACACTAGCAATAGATTTCAATTTAAAAAATACAAGGGATTATATACCATTAAAACAGTGTAGTACAGTTTATAATGTATATTGTATATACACTAGCAATAGAATTCAATTTGAAAAATACAAGGGATTATATACCATTAAAACAGTGTAGTACAGTTTATAATGTATATTGTATATACACTAGCAATAGAATTCAATTTGAAAAATACAAGGGATTTTATACCATTAAAACAGTGTACAGTTTATAATGTATATTGTATAAACACTAGCAATAGAATTCAATTTGAAAAATACAAGGGATTATATACCATTAAAACAGTGTACAGTTTATAATGTATATTGTATATACACTAGCAATAGAATTCAATTTGAATAATACAAGGGATTATATACCATTAAAACAGTGTACAGTTTATAATGTATATTGTATATACACTAGCAATAGAATTCAATTTGAAAATACAAGGGATTATATACCATTAAAACAGTGTAGTACAGTTTATAATGTATATTGTATATACACTAGCAATAGATTTCAATTTAAAAAATACAAGGGATTATATACCATTAAAACAGTGTAGTACAGTTTATAATGTATATTGTATATACACTAGCAATAGAATTCAATTTGAAAAATACAAGGGATTATATACCATTAAAACAGTGTAGTACAGTTTATGATATATATTGTATATACACACTAGCAATAGAATTCAAATTTCATAAAGAGATGAATATGTATCAGACATAAACATAATTATTTTTTATCCTGAACAATTAACTTTTTCTTGAATGCATTTCAATTTTCCTAACTAATCTATCATTAAAAATACTCACACAAAAATTGCATCAAATAAAGCGTATTGCAAACCTTTTCTTTTACAATACATTTTACATACAAAAGAGCGATAATCATAAATTTTAAAAATACGAATGAATTTAACTGGTTTGAAAGTGAAGGGTCACTGACAATTAATATAATGTACCTTTTAGACCCCAGCAGAGAAAATCTTCCACTGGTTGGAGTTGTATCCATTCTAAATAGTTTATTTTGTACGTATATTGTTGTCAACGTATAATTAGCATTGTATAAAGCAACTTCGGTAGAACTTTAAGTGTTGGGAATTTATATTCTTCTATTTATAAGTGCCTTTTTGTCTAGTGCCAAGTTCCAAGTGCCAAATTCCAAGTGCCTAGTGATTAATTCCAAATGCTTAGTGCCAAGTTCCAAGTACCTAGTGCCTAGTTCCGCATGCATAATTTCAAGTTCCAATTGCCTAGTACTTAGCTTCAAATGCATAGTCCCTAGTTCCAATTGCCTAGTACTTAGTTTCAAATGCATAGTGCCTAGTTCCAAATGCCTAGTACTTAGTTTCAAATGCATAGTGCCTAGTTCCAATTGCCTAGTACTTAGTTTCAAATGCATAGTGTCTAGTTCCAATTGCCTAGTACTTAGTTTCAAATGCATAGTGCCTAGTTCCAATTGTCTAGTACTTAGTTTCAAATGTATAGTGCCTAGTTCCAATTGCCTAGTACTTAGTTTCAAATGCATAGTGCCTAGTGCTTAGTTTCAAATGCATAGAGCCAAGTTTCAAATGCATAGTGCCAAGTTTCAAATGCATAGTGCCAAGTTTCAAATGCATAGTGCCAAGTTTCAAATGCATAGTGCCAAGTTTCAAATGCATAGTGCCAAGTTCCAAGTGCCTAGTGCCAAGTTCCTAATGCCAAGTAATTACCTAAATGCAGACACGCTTGATGCACTACGTTGTACATGTGCAGTACTCTTTCTTTTACTATCTGCTTTTTCTTCTTCATTATGTACACCCTGTACATGAGTATTCCAAGGTACAGTCGGACTATATTGTACAGAACTAAAACGAATATAAAAAATTAATAAAGAATGAATGGTTTCTAGTCCAGAGTAAAATTTGTCCAGAAAAAAAATAAGAAGATATAATGATTAAACATTGAACTTTAAATTGGTAAAAAAAAAACTTTAAAATGAAAATATCGGGGTTTTTATTTTTTATTTGTCGGTTCACCTCATTCCTCTTCCTTGTCTCTTCATAGTTTGTCGAGAAGTTGTAAAACTTTGACTTCGAGAAACCTTTCTGCTTCCGCCGTTGTACTGTCGACTGCTGTACATAGCGGAGCTCATGTACGCCGCAGGGTTGGTTGTACTTTTTTTCTGGTTGTAAATACAGTTGTAGTTGGGATTAGGAATATCAAGTAAAATATCACGATCTGAATTAAAAAAAGAAATTATACTTAATTAAAACAGAGAGAAACTTATGAATTGCCTGAAAAAAACAATCCATTATTCTTCGCAATATGTTGCAGCGTTTATGTATTTATGTAACCCATTTTTATGATGTAATATGTAATATGTAATATGTAATATGTAATATATAATATGTAATATGTAATATATATGTGTCCGTGAACAATTTTAGTTTAACCCTGAATAAATTATTTTATAGAACTTTTAAGCTATAATTTGAAATTTGCGCATTCATAGTTGTGTACTCTAATGGTGTAAACCTTAGACATTTCAAACTTAAATCATTTGATATAGACGAATTCTTAGTTTGAAATATCAAAGGTTAAGAAGATAGAATGATTAATAATTATAGTTTTAGGTGAGAAATTAGTTCATTTGTGCCAAAAATGATAAGTTTCCGGTATATCGTTCTCAAAAAATCTTAATTACAGATTTTAAATTTAAGACGGTTTTCATTAAATACATAGTTCGTCACATTCGGCCGGGAGAGATTATAAAAAGAAGTACTTTTAATAAAGAAGGCAACCAAATATTGGCTATTTTACCTGAAATGTTTTTTGGATTTTTCCTATTTAGTTTCCCAGACCTTGGTTCTATTTCAGTCATATCAATATAGAATCCATCATCTTTTAGATCATCGTTCTCATATTTATCATCCATTCCGTTCTTCTTCTTACGCTTTTCATCTCTAACTTGTTTTTTTCTGGAATTTTCTTCAGTTTTATTAGATTTTAGCGATGTATTGGTAGCTTCAGAAACTGACATTATACTTTTCTCTCCAGGATCTAGAAATTAATTCATTAATTGTATTGTCTTGTGTAGTGTCTGGATTACTGCTCAAAGTGTCTAATACATTAATCGTATTGTCTTGTGTAGTGTCTGGATTACTGCTAAACGTGTCTAATACATTAATCGTATTGTCTTGTGTAGTGTCAGGATTACTGCTCAAAGTGTCTATTCATTAATCGTATTGTCTTGTGTAGTGTCTAGATTACTGCTCAAAGTGTCTAATACATTAATCGTATTGTCTTGTGTAGTGTCTGCTCAAAGTATCTAATACATTAATCGTATTGTCTTGTGTAGTGCCTGCTCAAAGTGTCTAATTCATTAATCGTATTGTCTTGTGTAGTGTCTGGATTACTGCTAAAAGTGTCTAATTCATTAATCATATTGCCTTGTGTAGTGCCTGCTCAAAGTGTCTAATTCATTAATCGTATTGTCTTGTGTAGTGTCTGGACTACTGCTCAAAGTGTCTAATTCATTAATCGTATTGTCTTTTGTAGTGCCTGAATTACTGCTCAAAGTGTCTAATACATTATGTAGTGCCTGGATTACTGCTAAAAGTGTCTAATACATTAATCGTTTTGTCTTGTGTAGTGTCTGCTCAAAGTGTCTAATTCATTAATCGTGTTGTCAAAGTGTATAGTCTAACACTCAAAGTGTATAGTCCAGTACTCAAAGTGGCAAGTCTACTACTCGAAGTGTCTTGTAAAGTAATCATATTGAGTAGTCTACTGCTTAAAGTGTCTAGTCTACTGCTCAAAGTGTATAGTAAACTACTCAAAGTGTCTAGTCAACTACTCGAAGTGTCCTGTAAAGTACTCATTCTACTCATTTCTAGTTCACTTCTTAAAGTGTCTAGTTCACTACTTATAGTGTCTTGTCTATAATTCGAAGTGTCCAGTTCATTACTCAAAGTGTCCAGTTCATTACTCAAAGTGTCCAGTCTACTACTCTAAGTGTCTTGTAAAGTACTCATAATGAGTAGTCTACTGCTCAAAAGTGTCTAGTCTACTGCTCAAAGTGTATAGTCTACTGCTCAAAGTGTATAGTAAACTACTCAAAGTATCTAGTCTACTACTCGAAGTGTCCTGTAAAATACTCATTCTACTCATTTCTAGTTCACTTCTTAAAGTGTCTAGTTCATTACTCAACTGTCCAGTCTACTACTCGAAGTGTCTTGTAAAGTACTCATAATAAGTAGTCTACTGCTGAAAAGTGTCTAGTCTACTGATCAAAGTGTATAGTGAACTACTTAAAGTGTATAGTCTACTACTCAAAGTGCTGCTGTTCAAAGTGTCTTGTAAAGTAATCATGATTTCTAGTCTACTGCTCAAAGTGTCTAGTCTACCTCTCAAAGTGTCTAGTCTACTATTAGTGTCTAGTCTACTGTTAGTGTCTAGTCCGCTGCTCAAAGTGTCTAGTAAACTACTCAAAGTGTCTTGTAAAGTACTCAAAGTTTATAGTCTACTACTCAAAGTTTCTAGTCTACTGCTCAAAGTGTCTATTCTACTGCTCAAAGTGTCTAGTCTACCGCTCAAAGTGTCTCGTCTACTGTTAGTGTCTAGTCCGCTGCTCAAAGTGTCTAGTAAACTACTCAAAGTGTCTTGTAAAGTACTCAAAGTGTCTAGTAAACTACTCAAAGTGTCTAGTCTAGTGCTGAAAGTTTCTTAGTCACCCTATATAATAATCCACTCCTAAATTTTCTAGTCTAATGCTGAAAGTTTCTATTTCTCTAAGATGGTAAAATCAAACTATAATGTTTATAAATGTTTACCTGGAGACTCAAGGGTTAATCTAGAAAACATCTTAGCGTGTGCTTTGTATCCAAAATCATCTAAAATTATTTCTAATATAATCATAATAATAATAATAAAGATTTTCCAACCTGATTCTGTTTCAGAAGAGCAGAGTGTTTGTTCTGTGTCCCCCAGAACTAAAAATATTCCTTTCTTGTAATTTTATTATTTAATTTCAAGTGAATCTCTGACCATGGGCTTGTTGCAAATCTGATTCACAACGGTACCCGTAAAAGCTTTGTCTCACCAATAATGAATGAGATAAACATGTTTTTCTCTTTGAATATAAATCAATTGTGGTTTCTCTAAACAAAGCGGCTTGCGTTTACAGAATCAATGGGGGAAATTGTCGGAATTCTACACTTTTAAAGCTTAAAAAAGCGATATTTTCCACATTATTGGGCATATAAGGGTTTAAAGGGTTCCGTAAATCAACCATGTCCCTCCTTTAGTAGTAGACGGTTCGTCTACTTTTCTCCCAAATAACATGACAATGCTCCGCATGCTTAATCGTTTTCTAATTTTTACATTATCTCGGGCAATTAAACAAGAGACAAATCTAAAATATTTTATTTTCTGGTTGGTAACTTTTCTAATCTTATGAAGACGACATCAATTTCTAGAGTTATAAAGAATAGATCATGTTAAGTGGATCACACTAGCTGTACAAAATGTTAAGATACCTGAATATATCTCTGGATCAGAATCATCATGTTTAAATTCAACCTGGATAAAATCCTCCTCACTGTACACAGGATAGATAAATAAATAAATAGATAAACAGATAAATAGATAAATAGATAATGAAAAAGATAGATAATGAAAAAGATAGAAAATGAAAAAGATAAATAGATAAATAGATAAATAAATAGATAGATAAAATGAGAGAAAAGCAAATAGACGGATATGTGGAAAGATTGTATAGGTATATTGAATTTAGAAAATCAATTATATTTAGAAAATTCTTTCAAAAGAGTTTTTAATCTATCTCTGTCCCTAGCAGATAGACCAGACAGCTTGTCGACTCCATTCAAAATTTTCCGACCCTCTAAAAATAAAAATGGTTAATTTTTTGAAAAACGGAAAAAATTTAGTTTTTTTAACTTTCCTGTGTCAATGTTTTGCAGAAGTCTTTTTGGTGAAGGAAATCCACGAATTCCTGGATCAAAATTTATTTTTTTAATGTCTTTTTTGCCAAATCATTTAATTAGTATATCATTAAACGTCTATATTTCAGACAAAAGACAAAATTTAAATTGAAGATATTGAAAGAGTTTCAGATCGTCTTTAAAGTTTCAACTTGTATGATTAAATGTATATTTATAAGAAAGGCTTTCAAATATTTGCATTTGTTTCCAGTAATTCTTAGAATTTTTCCCCTTTGCACCACACAGCATCCAGCAGGGGGAAAAGAAAACAATAATGTATAACCTCGTTAAATTTCTTATTTAGCTGTATAATACTAATTTAAATATTTTTTCCCTGGTCGCGTTGGCACATTTAAGCTTGCAGATCTGCAAACACGTCCTGGAAATATATAATGATTTATAAATTAAAACATTTTTCTTTTAAAAGAGCTCAGAAGAATGACTGGGAATTTTTATTCGTTTACATGGACGCATTTTTCCGTTTTTAAATACAAGATTTATTTATCATACAGTGATCGGCGTTTATTCTAATACAATTAAGACGACATTTCTATTTAAGTTTGGTTTTTAACAAGTTTATTTTTAAATCAAGTTTCTATTTGTTTACAGTAAACTGTTAATTGACAGCTTTGTCTTGTTTTCATGGTTGTGTTTCTCCTTGTTCTGTTTAAAACCTTATAGAAATCAAAATTAAAATTGAAATTCGTTTTTGATACTTTGATGTTCGTTGCTATTTATTTGAAATGAAAAATTGCTTTCTTCCAATAAAAAATGTTATTTTCACCGGAACGGAAAAAAATGGAAAAGAAAAGTTAAATGTCTTACTCGATTTTATTCGTTCCTTGTCCAGGTTGTCAAGGCCAGTTTTAAGCCTTGAAAACAACTTCGAGGTTTGGTGCTCGGATGCCATTTTATTGTTTTCAAGAGAATTCTAACAGCTTGTTGGCGCCATCTTAGATTTTTCTACAACAGCTGTTTCTTAAACCCAGAGCATACCTGAAATTAAATATATTTTTGAATGAAAAGATCAGGGCCTCGGGGGTAGGATCTGGGAAGGGGGAGGACAATGAAAGTTGCATGCTTTGCCATCTAACTTTTGCAGTAGCTGATTCTCATTTGGTGATTCTCATTTTATCAGTTCTTGCTGATTCTCATTTATTTCCACTAAAAATTCTCAGTGATAAAACCTCATGAAACTGTTAGCATATTAAAAAAAATAATTATAAGAAGGGAAAAATAAATTTTCAAGAAAAAAATGGAAAACAATTAAAAGAGTTTAAAAAACAGTTGTATCCGACAAGATTGAGAGAACAATTGAAATTTTGAAAAATAAATATAAAACTAGGAAGATTTAGTATTCCGAAAATTCCTGACAAAAATGACATAAAAATGTCCAAGTTGAGATTTTAAAGTAAAAGTATTCTGAGAAGGATGAGTCCAACTGAGTTTGTTAATTCAATATCCCAGCGGGTCTGTTTCTGTGGTTAGTATGTAGGGTATGCTTTATAGACTAACCCTTCTTTACATACATACAATATACTACTACTTTATAAAATAAATTTTTTAAGCAATTAAAAAAATTTATTGCTTATAACCCTTTTACCTTATTACCCTTTGCAACCTAATGTAGAAAGAAGACCTTTGATATTTCAAACTATGAATTCTGTTAGACCTTTGATATTTCAAACTGTGAATTCTGTTAGACCTTTGATATTTCAAATTATGAATTCTGTTAGACCTTTGATATTTCAAACTATGAATTCTGTTAGACCTTTGATATTTCAAGCTATGAATTCTGTTAGACTTTTGATATTTCAATGAATTCTGTTAGACCTTTGATATTTCAAACTGTGAATTCTGCAAAAAGTCTAATGTTTGAAATAACAAATATCACTTAATTAGTGATTTATTAAGTGTTTAGTAAACTTGTTTGCTAAATAACAACCTAAAATGCACTTGCTCTAAAGTCGTCTTCCTAATTCTGCGTTATCTGGTTACTACTGCAGATTAAATACTTATATTTAATATTTCAAAGGTTTACACTATAAGTTTAAAAACATAAAGGGAGTGTGAAATAAGAGTTTGTGGCGAGTATTCAGTTTAGAAACGAAATTTACAACTTTGCAACTAGCGTAGGAAAATCTAAAGATATTTCTGCAGAGAGGTGCAGAGCGTCCAAAATCATATTGGATTATCTCCAAGCTTTAACGCCTCCCGAAAATCGCAATTTTAAACTATAAACGATCTAATGATGTGGGACACCCTGTATGAACAACAAAAAAAAATTTGTAGAAAATCTAAAATTAGCTGAAAGTATTGGGGGTGGGGGGGGGTTGTACCCTTGAACTTAGAAGTAGGATAGAAGAGGGAGGGGGGGATGTGCCTCTAAACTATAAAGAAAGAATTGAAGGGATTAAGATTCAAGGATTCATTTCAACATTTATTATTTCAGCTTCAGACACTTCAAAGCGCTGATAGATGGATGAAAAGATAGATGAAGAAATAGATGAATTAATAGATAATCAGATAGATAAATAAATATGTAGATAAATATATATATAGATAATATAGTCATAAACAGATAGATAAATACATAGATAAATAGATAGATAAATATATGGATAAACAGATAGATAAACATGGTTGAATAAATATATAGATAAATATAGATAAATAGATAGATAAATACATAGATAAATAGATAGATAAATATATGGATAAACAGATAGATAAACATGGATGAATAAATATATAGATAAATATAGATAAACAGATAGATAAATACATAGATAAATAGATAGATGAATATATGGATAAACAGATAGATAAACAGGGATGAATAAATATATAGATAAATATAGATAAACAGATAGATAAGCAGATGAATAAATATATAGACGGTTATACTGTATGGTTAAATAACCAGTGCACTTATTGCAAAAGTAATTACCCCCCCCCCCATCCCCCCTGACTACATCATTAATTAAATTAATTAAAAATTAAAAGTGTGTAAATTAGAAATTAAAAAGGTCACAATATCTGTTCATAGTTAACATAAATAGTGTAAGTTTAAACTATTGAATATATAGATAGATAGATTCATAATCTAAACAGATAACTCGGATATGCAAATAGTGAAAATATAGAAAGATTAGTTAGCCTGAGATAAAAGCATAAATTTTTAATTCTTAACCATTTTTGCCAAGGTAAATTTTTAGCAGAGCTGGTGATAGGTTTTCAATGAAAAACGAGAGTGTGACCAATATTAGATTAATGATATTCTAGATCTAGATAATCAGACACAGTGGTGTATTAAAATGGGGGGGGGGGGGGTTAACTTGTTCACTTTTCAATTCTGTAAGCATCTATAAGCCAAAAAAGAACGGATCGAGTGTAAATCAAGATTTAATATGTCATTGCTCGATCTATATCTTGGCATCGTTAAAAAATTTGCTGAGAAAAATGGCTGCTTAAGAGATCCTTAAAATAAATTAAGGCCAACGTCGAAGAGAAACAGGGAAAATCTAAATATTTTGTAAACAGAAATATAAGAAATAGAGATAAGGGAGGCAGTATCGGGATAAAACCAATGGTTCTTAAACTATTACCTCAAAAAGTGACGTAGAACATGACTGAAGACGACATTTGTGATGAATTAAGTTAGTGACAACATCCCATATTTGAAATAAGACCTCGTTTTAAAAGATGAAAATTGTACAATGTACATTCTTTGAATAAACATTTTATGTAAGAATTCAATTGAGATTTAAACACTCTTGGTTCTCATTAATAATAAGAAGTAAAACTGCTAAATGATTATTTTGAATGTCGTCGGTCTCGGAAACCACTTACGAGGAACTTAAGATAGATAAGACATAATTATCCGTTTAAGAATTATAAGATGCGATTTAAAGCAAAGATCAGAAAATAGCCATTTCCAAATTTCATCATCCTTCCCCCCTCATTCTTTTTTTGTAAGAGTATAATTATCAGATACAGGGTGTCCCACGAAACATGACAGTATGCAGGACGACTTGAATGTCGACTTGATTTTTGATATAATTTGCTGCGTTTATTTGTCAACCTAATGTTAGAAGTGAATTTCTAGAGATAATAGTCACAAAATTTCCCTTGTCCTGCCATTTCCAAAATGTGGTCTGCCTTTTTTGTGCTTTCAATATTGCCCGAGATATGAAGAATTTCGTTCAGATTTCGACAATTTTGCTTTTATTTAACAAAATTGAAATCTGAACCAAACTCTTTATATCTCAGGTAATATTGAAAGAACAAAAAACGCAGACCACTTTTTGGAAATGCCAGGGCTAGGAGAATTATGTGATAATTGTTTCAAGATCATACATGTTAAAGTAGATAGAAGACTAAATGTCACAAACAAATTCAAATACCAAAGACGACTTTCAAGTCGTCTTCCTATTGTCATGTTTCGTGGGACACCCTGTATTTAAATGGTAAAAATAAAATAATCAAGTGCATGCATGGTGAACAAAAATTCAAAAATCTTTATATCTGTGCAACCCGATGTTGTAAACCTTTGATATTTCTAACTATGAATTCTGTTTGATCAAATAGTCTAAGTTTGAAATATCAAAGGTCTACTTCATCAAGTAAAGATATTGGGATTAGATAAAATAAATTTGTCGCTAAAACTCAGTTCCTTTCTGAACATATTCTTGAAACTAACATTTTTTTTGTGAATAGCAAAAGTTTTTCTCCAAGTTAGATCATTTTCCAAAAAAAGTCCGCGCCGCGAAGAACATTAAACTTATAGGTTTTAATTAAGTATGAACATGGTGAAGCTCTAAATTATGAATATGTTTGACCCGGTAAAAATGTTTTTCGTTTCCAATGAACGTCACAAACATATATTTTGTAATTTCTGAAACAAGCCCATAAATAACAGCATACATGATAATTTATTTAACACAATAAACGTTTTTGCCGAGTCAAGAATATTCATCGTTCAGAACTAACATTTTTCATTTGTATTTTTAATCCATAAATTCAGTGTGCTTTGCAGTCGGACCATTGTTTCAACAATATAATTTTTTTTTATCATTTCAAAAATGATTCGGCCACGAAAAAGGGTTAAAAAACAACATGAAAATTGTTGAACTCTAAAAAATTAATATCATTGTGTTTTTAAAATTTAATTTTACTACGGTGGTAGGCCATAATATCATGCAATATAATGAAGACGACTTTCGATATAAATTTTGATATATATTAAGCTTATAAATAGCAAGGATACCAGAAACATGGAAACAAAGAGAATCGGACAATTTAAAAAAGCTTCTCATTTATGACTTGTAAACTTGTGATTCGGAAAAAGCTTGTTAACAATATAACGTTAAGAAAAAAATCGTCTTCGTTATATTGGTATTATCGCCTACCACCGTAAAAAAAAAATACATTAAAGTTTGAATTTAATCCAATAATTTTGAAGATTGAAGTAAAAAACGCCTTGACTAGCTATATTGTACATAATCTTTTAATCTTAAATTGTGTATATTTTAAACATCATGAAGGGTTTCCCATAAAGGATGAGATGACAGAGACGACTGTATGGAATATTTACTCTATATGTTTACTTATATTCATCCTTTTGATGCAAATGTAAACTGGGTTTTATTATTTGCCAAATCATTAAATAAGCCATTAAAAGACAATTTTTAAGAAAAATATGGCCGAAGACTTAACTTTACCTTGAAATCGCCATATTTTGAGAGCTTCAGGTCATCTTTACAGTTTCAGGATGAAACTTTATGACGACCTAGAACTCTCCTGTAGATCTGCAGTTAGGTTTCTGTCTTTGCATCTTTAGTATGGTCTTTTCAAGATGCTCTAAATGATTTTTACAATGAATGCAAACAGTTCAGACCAACGAGAATTCATTAATTTAAGATAAAAGCCTGGTAAGATTCCGTACAGTCGTCTCTAAAGTCTATTCCTTTGTTGGTAAAATTAGGCCTAATTTTTTTCATGAGTGTATTCACAGTTAGCAACGTCCTCTACTTTAGTACATACCTAGAAAATAAAGAAAATAATCGTTAAACGGATTTAACAAAACCAAAAATTCCGCCCTTGTTTCATACATCATCAGCTGTATATATCAAGAATATCATGAAGAAATATTTATAAAGAAAAAAAGGATTTATTTTGTTTTTCTTTCAATTTAGGTTTATAATGGAGAGGTTCTGTTCTGTGTCCAGACAGAAGATATATCAGGACCCCCCAAATCTTTGTTTACATTCAAGTGTACTGCAAATTCTCGGAGGAATTTAAACAAACTTTTTCAAAACTCAAAACTTTTTCCTGAGCGGTATATATCTTTGTTCCGTGCCATTATTGTTCTTGTTTTCTACGAGCCCGGCAAAAACGGAAACCGAATAAAATCGTTAGATGTATTTTACAGATGAATTTCACGGAGACTCGTAGGGTGCACTCCCTATAAATCAGGTCATATTCGAAAAGAATTTATTCAATACAAAAACTAAGATTAAATTAAAATATACAAACAATTGATCATGTCCCGACAAATATTAATTTACACAACTAGAGTTTTTCAACAATCAAAGCGTATTTGAACGATTTGAACGATTCAGCAAATTATCAAGTGTTTATTTAATCACAAAAAATTTCCAGAAAAACGATTATAATTTCGTTTTTTATTTTGCGTGCGTGCCGTAAAAAAATGTAGTTGGATTCTCTTTTTCTTTAAAGTGGAAAATTAAACGGTTCTTTGTGACTTAAAAAAACATCTTGACTTCTCATTGTAAAAAAAACAAGGAAATTGCAATTTTGCTGCTTGTTAGCATTTTTATCATAAAAAATAGCCGCAAGTAAATAACGGTTAATTCTAAATACTTTAATGACCAATTTTTAATGTTCTTGGAATGTAAAAAGATCGCAAAAAGAGTTGTCGACATAAATTCAAAATGGAGGTTACAAATTCAATATGGCGACTAGTTTGCAATGGCGGCTGGAACACTAGTGGTGTAGGATGGAGTCTCCAGCTCCTCGTGGTTCTTACTGCGCACGCCCTGCTGGTTCTTGTACACGTTGATGATGTCCTACATGAAAAATTAGTAAAACAAATATTTTTTATTTTTTTTTCTTAATTTTGATAAAAACCTGATCAGCTGGGTTAGATTGTGTGAAGGCATCTAACTGATACATTTCCTTTAAACAAAATTATTATTATCGTTTATTATCGCAGAATCTATAATTTGGACATTCATTTGACCACTTTCAAGTTTATTTGTTTACATTTAAAGAAGTGTACAGGTTTAATAAAGTAATAATTAAAATAAATCTCAAAATCTACCCACCCCCGACTTGTAGCAGGCAAATGACACACTGTACCTTAATGTATTTCCAGAGATGGGTCAGCTTGGCTGGGATCTCGTAGTCGCAGAAAAATGACCCTAAAACAAATTGTAAATGAAATAAAATAAGTTAAAGAATTATTGATAAACGTCCTCTTTGTCTTAATTCTTTACATTCTGCTTTACATAATGAATAAATAATACGTTCTGGGTTATCTACAAGGACGACTGTAGGAAATTTATTATTTATCTTTAATTTCAATTATCAATTTATCTTACATTCATTAAAAATAATTTATAGTCTTATATTTTCATCATTTACAGACATGACTAAAAGTATAGTAGGACAAATTTAACCTTCCTAGCTTCATTTTTATAGATTTTTAGGTTGTCATTTATTATCTTAAGCTTAAACATCATCTAACATTACTTTATCTCAAGGTTGTAAATAAGGAAAATAAATATTTTAATTTATTAGAAATGTGAAAGTTTAAAAAAAGATAAATCTGAATTTTAAACAAATATTCAATATGCTGACAAATGTATGTTACAGACCATGAATGAAAGACGGTTCTAATAAATACTTTAAAATCTTCAGATCTTAAATAAACATTAGGAAGGAGTAAGCAAACTTAAAGGTGTCATCTTACAGTGTTTATTTAGGTGTGTGCAGTGTCCAGTGTGCATGATTAAACAATTGCCTAGACTATTTGCAATTTGTCCTACCCTTTCATCTTCCCAAACCTTCCCCCCCTTTCCCTTTCATCTTTCCCTACCATTCTCCCCTTTACCCTACTTACTTTCCTTTCCCCCTAACCGCTTTCCCTTTCATCATCCCCTATCACTCCTCTTCTCCCCTTGCCCACTTTCTCTCATTAAAAAGGAGGGTTGAGAATATTCAAAATATTTCTAACATTTTTCTAAATTGTTTGCTTTTAATGTTTTCTTTTGTTTTGTAAAAAGATTGTCGCCATTGAATAATGTAACTAACTCTATCGTTTTGGTTTCCTGGTCAGGTCTTTCTACATTCTACATTCTACATTCTACACTCTACATTCTATATTCTACATTCTACATTCTAAAAGTTTAAGTTTAGTATTAAACACTCTTTATTAAGTATTATTATCCCTGAACTGTCTGTGAAAGTTCATTAATTTTTAATGTTTTCATTCCTAGCATCTTAATTCTAATATGGTTTAAAATGATAGTTAGAACTTCTGTTAAGTGACATGTTATTTGAATGATGTTTTCTTGTCTTATACAGCCTCATAAAACACTCACAAGCTATGCAGTTAAAGGTATCATATAAACCAGCTCAGACAACACAATCAACAACATGTTTTTAACCCTCGTAATAAACATAATTTTATGTCACACAAGATCTCCGTTCACGTTTTTTGTTCTGAATCCCAGGATTAAAAGTATTTTGTACGGATTAGATTAATTCCTTTTTTTATCCCGTATTTTGCTTACCCGAAAGGGATAGCTAAAATTGAGGAATAAAACATTTATCCGAAAAATTTGAAAGCTGTCACAATGTTTATCGAGATCAATCGTTGTAGTTTAGCGCTATTCCACACAAAACTTAAGACTTCAAAATGTACCAAATGTTTATGAACTTGTTTTGAGTTCTACACTTCAACTAACAAATGTCTAATAACAATCCTGAGTTTTGGCATACTTTTCAACAAAAAATATTCTTTAAAGACAATTCAATAATATTTCTTATAAAGCTACAAAATCCATCATTATTTAGCTCTGTAAACATTGATTTTGCTTTAGACACCAAAATATTGAATGTATTTGAAAAATCTTTACAATTATTTATTTTGAAGTTTAGACAATTTCTCTCGAAAAAAAACAAGGATTTAGGGAAACCTATTTAAAAAATATTTTGTTTTTGGACAAAAGTATTGTATTGTGAATAAATAGTCGACATATGTCGACTAAGCCCCGCAATGTGTTAATGTTGAAATAAGATAAATAGATTAGTATCCGAGGTTTAAAACTAGTAGAGCTAGGATTTCATAAAACAAGTATGGGACAACGTCATCACACCCCCCCCCCCTCCCACTCCTTCCATATGAATAGCCAATAAAACAGACCTTTCTATGAATGATGAACATTATTTTTTTTTAATTGATAATTTTCATTTTAGTTCCCTGTTCCCTTTATAGGATACAAGCACATTTAAATTGTTTTATATTTTACAGAGCCACAGAACTATCATTTAAAAATGTAAAAAAGCCCATCCCTTTTATATCTAAACATTCGTAACATTCATAGATTGTAATTGAATCCACCCCCCCCCCCCTTATATAATATACCCATGTATTCTAATGCATAGATTATATATGTGAAGGCCAAAATGTGTAATAATCTAACTGTGTACAGTTAATGCATGGAAATATGATAAGGTGAGAGATGAAATCATAAAATGTTGCAGCTTTCTTCTTCTTTAATATTATTGTTTGTTTTATACTAATCTTGTTTTAAGCTGCACAACTAAACATTACAAAGCTAAGGTTCGACTTAAAAGAAATCTAATAAGAGAAGTCAATCTGCTTTTTTCTTTTATATTTAATGTTTACCTTAGCTTAGGCATCAATTCACAATCAAAGCAGCACATTGTATCTCCAGTTAGGAACCTTGTCCCTTTGTTCTTAAGCATCTCATCCACCCTGAATATATATATAACTAAGAACCTATCCTAACATATATGATACAAGAGGCGTATACATAAATTTGTCTGGTTGCGGGGGGGGGCTTAACCTTTTTTTAAAGGCTTGGCCCTCTTTGAAGGCTAAATGCCCGGGCCTAGAGAACCAAAGTCTTCACTTTTCAAAGGAGGGAGGGGGGGCTATAAGCCCCAAAATCTCCTGTGCGGTGTGATATTTATTATCCAAGGTATGTTTACTTACGGTACGGAGGATAGGATTTGTGTACATTTTATTGTGACGTATTTGGACTACTCAGGAACTGGTTTAAGGTAAATAAACAACAAGCCCAACCTACCTACACTGTCCAGGAAAGTAACGATTTTTTTACACTCTTTGTTATTGCTTTTAATCTAACGTTAGTTCCAAGTAATTCAAATACGTCACTGTCAATTGTGTACACAAACCCTATCCTTCCCTTTACTATACATACAGGGATACCCACAGAGTATGAGAATGTACGAAATCTCTACTGTTTGTTTTCTTATGTTTATGACTCCCTGCGACTGTCAACTTATTAATCAAACTTAAATAATTATACAAGCTATTAAAAAGCCATATTCAAGTAAGAAAACTTAATTTAACCTTGGGATCGTCATATTTCAAAAGTTTTAGGTCGTCTTTACAGTCTCATATGTTGTGGGTAACCCTTATCTTGCCTTTATCTAAAGAATTTGTCTGCATCATGACCCCGAGATTAATAAAGACTTTAATCTGTTTGTATTGTAAAAAGATAAGTATATTCTTACTTTACTAGAATTGCTGTCATAGCTTTAGCTGAATGTTCATCTCTCTTCATTAACATGTGCTTGAACTTACTATACACATTCTCAATGTTTCTGCTCACATCCTAGATATAAATCACATTTAGAAATGTGAAAGTTATGGACTCTTATGAAAAATACTTCAAACGCGAAGATCTTTAGATAGCTGACGACAGAACACGTGGATTTAACAGTTCTGTCAATATTCAAGAAAGCTGTGACTTTCTATCACAATTTGACCCATCAAACACAATTTTTTAGTTTTTTAAAAAATACTTTTTTGTCGGCATATGCATTTTGAAGGAAAAAGTATAGAATAAACAAATCCGTAAGGTAAAAGATTGTTGAATTATTGACGAAAACACGTTTGATTTCAAATAGAAGAAACCGAATGCTGCTCACTCTGTTTAGTCCGGGATGAGAAGTCTTAGATGTAATCTGATTTGGGCTTTTTTAAAAATAGTTCGTTGAACTATAGCTACGTCTCTGAATTCGTTGAACAAGTCGTACCTCGTTAACCTAATTCTTTCTATTTATAAATTTCAACCACTGTTTGTTTACACTGTGATGGACAATCTAGGAGATCTATTGACTCTCAATGCAGGAAGAATCTGGGAAGAAATCAACCTCAATGGAGTACTAACGGAGAAATTAATGAAACCAGGAGCTTCCTATAAGATAAGATGTTTTCTTCACATACCAAATTTTCTTGAGAATATTAGGTCCAGAGGTTGACTTTTAGAGGTTTTTACCTGATCTGGAATGAAGAGGTTGTGACCTCCAGGAATATTTTTCATAATATGCCTCTCAATCTTCTCATTCTCGAGGATGGCAACCCCACTGTCTATCAGGATCGGAGGCTGGGCAGCCTCGAAATTCGACCTATGTCAAATACAAGTAATAATAATTTTATTTTTTTATTTTTTCATTTACATATTCCTTTATTTAATCATTTATTTATTCATTATGTTATTCATTTATTCATTTATTCATTTATTCATTCATTCATCTATTCATTGATTCATCCTTTCACCTATTCACCTATTTTTTTCATTCATTCATTCATTCATTCATTCATTGAATTTCTTTTTATTACATTTTATTTTTTCTGTGCCTTAAATCCAAACAAAACTAAAATTTCGAAAATTTTGCCAAAAATATCGATAATCCATGTGTTTTTTTTTACTCACCCTGTATGTTAAATATTTTAGAGAAAAAATGTTTTGTTTCCAGCTTTACAGGTGTTAAATATGTGAAAATCTTAATATTAGATTTTATATAAAATATAGTTACTTGACAAAATATACAAGCTCCCTTCCTACGCCCATCTATTCCAGACGCCTGAAATATTGCATTCATCAAAATAAAAGTACGAAAACTATAAAAACAATATAAAGTCTATTTATTGCAGAGAATATTTTTCTGAAAAGAATAGCAAAAACTTTAAAGGTTAATTTTAGATTTTATGTCAAAACTTGGAGAGAACAATTTTTTGTTAATATGTAACAGGTTGGCATTTCTGTTGATTTAATTAATTTAAAATGAAGTCATTGTGAACGTACTTTGTGAACAAAAGACATTGAAAATATATTCATATTTATATTATATTGAGAAGTTTTTTTGCGTTATAGATAATTTTAAACCTTGATAATGAGCTCGATCTCCGGCACACTGAATCCGTTCGTGTCCGCCATCTTTTCCTAGAAACCAAACCAAATATCAATATTTCAAGGCAGCAAAACAAATATCTATATTTTATAGAAACAAACTAAAAAAATATTAATATTTCAAGAAACCAAACCAAGAAGGAACATTTCAAGGAATCATAAAAATTTAAAATGTTTTAAGGAACCAAATCACAGACTCTCTGAACCAACCCAAATATTAATATTTTAAGCAACCAAACCAATTATTAATATTTCAAGGAACCAAACCAATTATTAATATTTCAAGAAACCAAACCAAATATTAATATTTCAAGAAACCAAACCTGCAATTATTAATATTTCAAGAAACCAAACCAAATATTAATATTTCAAGAAACCAAACCTGCAATTATTAATATTTCAAGGAACCAAACCAAATATTAATATTTCAAGAAACCAAAACAAGTCTTAATATTTCAAGAAACCAAACCAAATATTAATATTTCAAGAAACCAAACCTGCAATTATTAATATTTCAAGGAACCAAACCAAATATTAATATTTCAAGAAACCAAAACAAGTCTTAATATTTCAAGAAACCAAACCAATTATTAATATTTCAAGGAACCAAACAAAATATTAATATTTCAAGAAACCAAACCAAATCTTAATATTTCAAGAAAAAAACAATTATTAATATTTCAAGGAACCAAACCAAATATTAATATTCCAAGGAACAAAACCAAATATTAATATTTCAAGAAACCAAAACAAATATTAATATTCTAAGGAACAAAACCAATCATAATATTTCAAGGGACCAAACCAAATATTCTTTCAGGTAACTTAACCAAATTTAAACATTTCATTAAACCAACCCAATTATCAATGTTTCGAGGCACTAAACTAAACATACATATTTCACTGAACCAAACCAAATTTATAATGTTTAATGGAATCAAACCAAACAAAACTAATCAAATCAAATATTAATATTTAAAAGAAATATAACAAACTTATCATTTCTAGAAATATCATATTATTTTAAGAAACTCCTTGTATTTTTCACTTCTAGGATTAATTGTTTTAAAACTGTTAATTTTCCAGTAATTACATAATTATATCAAGGTGTGAGCTTCTACTGCAGGCTTATCTTCAGAGATAAGACTAGGCCTATAGAGTTCTCAACTTTGCCAAAAACAAAAAAAATATTTCAAATTCCGAAACTCAGACCAGGATGTAAACAAATGCCTTAAATTTTGAAGTTAAAATTTAAAAACTAGCTTTGTTCTTTTAGACTTAAAAATAAATTTAATTATTTTGAAGAAAGATTAGTCAATATTAAGGGGACGGGAAAGCCCCCCCCCCAAAAAAAAAAAAAAAAAAAATTAAAACATTTATTGTGATTTTTCAAGCTTCAAATTTTCAAATTCAACAAAATAAGGTTTTTTGCCTGTGCAGTGAATTTTTATTTTCAAATTCTCTTTTAACCCAACAGCTAGATGTACTAAAAAAAATCAGTTAACATGACTAAAAGAAACAAAATATCATCTATACTGCACAAAGACGAAGGGGCGTTTGATGCTCTCTAAACTCTACTCAACAGGCTTAAACAGTATACATTACATACATATATACAGGAAATCATGTGTCCGTAAATAACACATCTCATATAATCCTAGAACAAATCTGAGCATCAGGATTTTTTCATTCATTTTAGCACTTTCATAAAGTACAACTTATAGATGTTCAAAATACCGATATAAAATTATTTTCTTGACGGTACAAACGTAAACAGATTTTTTTTAGCTTTTTGTGTGGTAATTGTTTTAAAAATCCGTCTCATTGAATCATTTATCATTTTAAATAATATATTTTTTGTTTGTTTGATTTTTACCTGATTTCTTGTGTCAGTTAGTGTGCATCCTGTTGTTGGTGTTGTGTGTAATTATCACACAATGGGTTGTGTGTGTATGCACTGTAATGACTGATGAGTGTGTCTACTCACAACCCTACTCTGCATACAATACTCTAACACTGTATATTCTGAAATATATTATTTCTTCAACCGATGGAAAAATAGATGGATAGATAGATGAATAAATGGATAGATAGGTCGATAGATAGATCGCTAGATAGATGGATGTAAACATGGTTAGATACATAGATTTTTTACATAATAAAAAGAAATCCACACACATGATGCAAATAACGAAAAAAAATGACTTGAAAAACAAAGCTAACATTCTAACATTCTAACATCATAAAACTGAACTTTGTTAAGATATATATTTCAATAGATTGACAAGTTTTATCACGTTTATTCAAAATTGACAAGTTTAAATAGAAGATGTCTTACGTTCATGTTCATTGTACAAATTATAATTTTAAATGTATAAAACGTTAAATGTATATACGCATATATATATATTTACAATAGATCACTTGTACTAAAGGACGTGCATAAAACTACCAGCGCATACTTAAATATTTATATAAGTATGTATATATTGCATATATCATATTAGATATATATCTTTTTGATTCTTTTTTTGAAAGGTTTCACAACCGTATCAATTCTCTTCTGTACATTATAAGATATAAAATAAAGTCCAATCTTCGGTTTTTTAATAAAAAGTTTTAAAAAATGTGTTTGTTTTATTAGATGATTTATGAGGTGTCGGTGCCGATTTTTTTATCTGAATACTGCAGTCGTCTCGTTTCAAAAATATTTACAGCATGTTGTTCAAAAATCTTGGAAAATAAATGTGAAGNACTGAACTAACTCTATAGAACAATATGAGTTGAGTGTTAACCAAGAACTGAACTTACTCCATAGAACAATATGAGTTGAATCAAGGACTGATCTAACTCCAATAGAACAATATGAGTTGAATGTTAAACAAGGACTGCACTAACTCCAATAGAACAATATGAGTTGAATGTTAAACAAGAACTGAACTAACTCCAATAGAACAATATGAGTTGAATGTTAAACAAGGACTGAATTAACTCAAGATTCAAGTTTTCACTGTTCAGGTTTTCTTCTTCGAATTCTGGAAACTTCATAAAATCCACAAATATGACGTAATTGTCTGAGACCCATAAACTTGTGTTATCATATATCTTGGTGTTTTTTATGATTTTAGGAGTCAGTTTTTAATAAACATTTGCCTCTTACTGTTAGTTGTTTTTGATGCAATCCTATTTCGTTATATTGTTAACATTTTTGTTAAAAAAGTAAAAGGGTTCAAAATAGTGTTATTTCCACTTTTCAATAAATCAAATTTAATTTCTAAATACTTTTTATATTTATACATTGTACAAAGTTCGCGTATAATTAGTATACTATCAGACTTAAAGGGACCGTTCACTTATTTGGGTAATTTCATGGTAAACTAATTAGTCATTAGCTATTCTTTGTTTATAATCTTACTTTTCAAAGATATCTATGACCGGAGAAAAGCCGATTTATCGTTTATAATTCCAGCGGAAAGGTATAGGTACCTTTGCAAAGACAATATTTAAACGTTTTTTAGTAAATACAGCCCAATAAAATCTAAATCTATCATAATACAATGACATCGTGTGTCAGCCATTATATAATAAAATATAGAAACTTTAGAATTAGCAAGAAATTAACGTTTTTCTTGTTCAAACATGATTTAACAAATGAGTACGTTTATAGTTTATAAAGACGGCTTTCTCATTCCGTCTAACCGGTTTCTAGATTCCAACTCTTCATTAAATCAAGGGGATTCCTGTGGAAGTAGGGAAAACGTATCAACCCGTAAAAAGTTTAAAACAAGTTATATTTTAAAAATATACAATTTGTAAAAAGGTTTTTTTAAATTAAAGATTTCTGCAATTAACTATTAGAAACTACAATTTAATTGAAAATCTTTTTAAATCCATGACTTTGACAAAAAAAACATAAAATATTGGTGATGCAAAGGCGGTATCATTCCTTTGCGCTGGAATTCTAGACGATAAATCAGATTTTTCTCAGGCCATAGTTTTCCGTGAAAAGTAAGACTAATACAAATGAATAGCTAATATGCTATTTTTTTACCCTCAAATTACCCAAATAAGTGAACGGTCCCTTTAACTATAAAAGTAAAGACTGACACTGTACAGTGTACAATGTGCATATCACAATAGTTCAGATGTGTGCCCTATGCCCGAATGACCGTTGGCAAAATTTTGTAACTTTTATCAGATATTTCCTAGAATACCGAATACTGTATAAGGTTCAAGGATGATAATGATAAAGAATTCTGAAGAAAGGATTTTTATTCAAATATGGGTATTGACAGAAAACTCTGGGGAGTCTGGGAAATCGGGAAACTTTTGGCACCACAACCAAAGACGGATATTTGGTTACATGGGGGGGGGGGGGAGTAGAAGGATGTGATAGACGAATTAAAATAATTTCAATAGAACTTTTGTTTTGGATAACAATCACGGGCAGCCGTAGTACATTTGAATTTCCGAGCCGGGTCAACCTTTCCTGTCTCAGTTTGTCCTGTACCTAGCTCTATGGACAGGACTTGCCGGTGCAACAACGTTGACGCGGTCAGACTTTATGCTTCATATAGGTTGAATTTACTTTTACTAAAGAAGCAGAGGTGCGTGCAATGGTTGAATAAATGAATATCTAAAATTAACAATTGGTGAATTAATAAACGAATGAATATCTAAAATAACCAATTTATGAATAAATAAACTATTTCTAAATGAAATAATGAATAAGGAAAATATGAGTGATCGATTGCATAAAATACGAATTAATGAAGCAACAAACCAAATAACAAATCTTTTACCAGTTAAAAAAAAACTGACAAATCAATGAATAAATGAACAAATCATTCAATGAATCGATGAATCAATAATAAAAAATCAATTAAGTAATTAATCTTTGTCGCAAAAACAAATTTTCTAAACCCGATATATTTGCCACCTAATGCAGGTGTGAACCTTTGATATTTAAACATAGATTATTTGATTTAACAGAAACCACAGTTTGAAGTATCTAAGGTCTACAACATTGGGTTGCAAATATATAGGGATTATAAAATCAGAGTTTGTGGCACAGACTAATTAGGATCAATATCTTTTTTTAAAGTTTTCTCAATAAATAATCATTTGAGAAGTGATGGGGGATGAGAGGGGGGCTGGGGGGGGGTGTGTGTGTGTGTGTGTAAGAACTGAGGAGGGAAGGGGAGGGTCCTGATAACTAGTGAATGCATGGGAAGGTAGGTAATGTGTTTATGACCTAATGAAGCATAAACCTGTAATTTAAGCTTAAGTAATATATCTAGAGCTAGGACTAGGAGAATAATAATTGAGAAGGACGATAAGAAATGCAGATATAGAGAGTCTCAATAAACATTAAGTTACAATAATAGGATGTCGTCTTTCTTTACGCAGTATTACTCAGCGAATTAATTTATTATAATTAGAAATAACCAAATAGATTATCAAGTACAATAGGTGGCAACAGAGAAATGGATCAATTATACACGACGTCACAAGTGTAAAATATAACAAGAAAAATGAAATTTTCTCACATTAGTTGACATGTTTTCCAAGATTGAATAAAAAGTGTAAAAACAGAAAATTAGGAGCACATAAAATTGCACTTTTTTACTGTAAGATAAGCATTTCATTCTTCAATTATCACTATTATTAATAATTTTGTCGGACACAAAAGCTGAATTCACACTTGTGACGTCAGAATACAACTGTACTGAGAGTGGACAAATTCTACTGTGCCATCTATTGTACAAGAATCTATTAAGAAATGACTAAAAAACTTTGGAATTCGGTTTTTATCAACGTTCGCATGACATGGACGATTTTAATTTGTATGTTCATGGTTCTTATTATGCTCTAAATTCAAGACCATTTTTGTACTATTTTTAGACTGTTTCTCTGGTTTAGATTTTTTCAGCAGTGTTATATTTGGTAATTATTGTGATATTTTGTTCAATTTGCCTATAGCATAGAACTGTGCTACAAAGATTTTGATTGGTTCCCGGATTTGGTCAATTTTTTTTTAATTAAAAGACTATAAAATTGAAATTAAATCTTATTATTTCTGCGTTCTCGAAACAAATTTTATAATTAAAATAATCTCATCAAGGCAAAAGCACAAAGATTTCATGAAACTACCTCGAACACTATTATTTTTGCCCGATGCGTCATTTCTTCAGAAATGAATAAAAAACAAATAAATTTTTAGCGATTTAAAAACTCTTTACTATAAAGATGAAAGGAAAAGTACCATCAATAAAATGCAGTTGGTTAGTTAAAGGGACCGTTCACTTTTTTGGGTAATTTCAGGGTAAACTAAACAGCCTAAGCGCTATTCATCGGTAATAGTCTTACTTTTCAAAGACAACTGTGGCCGGAGAAAAAGCCGATTTTTCGTTCAGAATTTGAGCGCAAAGGAACGGTTCCTTTCTATACACACTATTTGATGTTTTCTTCAGTAACAACAGTCCAATAAAATTTAAATTTATCATATTTTAATGTCATTATGTGTTCGTTGTTACATACTAAAATATGAAAACTTTTGACATTTGAGTTAGCAAGAAATTTACGTTTTTCGTTTTAAAACACGTAAACTGTGTATACAAGGACGACGTCCTCTACGGCAATCAATTAATCATAACCCGTATTACAGTTCGTAGATTCACTGCAAGTCCTGCAAGTTCGATCATCGATACGAATAAACTGTACATCTTTATTATATTATGCTTGCAATAAGGCATTTTTTGAGTAAAAGTTTATTTTATTAAAATATTATTGAATAAAGCGAATAAATTGAAAGTATAGAAATAATAATTAAATATCAGCTGATTGTATTATTACGTCAGCTACGTCTTTCAGCTTTCCTATTCTTAACTCAAGAGAAAAACAGCTGTCCGAGAAATTAAAAATGAATTAATTATTAACTATATAATGTTAAAAAGCAATCAGGTATTTTCAACGTATACAATTCCCCTCATGTCAATTTTGTACATGACACACTTCACCACATTGATAAATTGGGTCATGTGGCCGCAGCGCCCGGTCCTCTAGCCTGTCATAGCCGCGGCGCTTGCCCTCCTAGCCTGTCCTAGCTACAGCGCTCGGCACCTTATAGACTGTCTTATCCGCAGCGCTCGGCACAGAAAAGCTAGGTGGCCTAACCTAACCCTTAAAATATAAACGAATTGCTGAAAAATAAAAAAAATAAATGGTCGTGTACAAAATGGATAGGAGGGGGGGGGGGGGTAAAAAAAATTTATACTAGGGTATATTCCTAGAGAACGATTTTTGGGCCCCACCCAGGCCCCCCCCCTCCTATCAATTTGTACATGGATCATACAGAAACTGTCTTAACTTAACCAAACCCGTGGCCGCAGCGCTCGGCCCCCTAACCTGTCATAGCCGCAGCGCTCGGCCCAGAAAGTGTCTTAACTAATTTAACCCGTGGCCGCAGCGCTCGGCCCCTTAGCCTATCCTAGTCGCAGCGCTTGTCCCAGAAAGTNGGGGGGGGGGTCCAAAAATCGTTCACTAGGACAGACCCTATACGTTAGTACGGAGAATGTTATCGCACCAGAATTTGAAATTAAATATTTCTGAATACCTTGTGTGTCAATTTTAAAATTCTTTTTTAGGTAGGAGTTTCTATTTATATTTCAGAATATGAATGAATGGAAACGACTATACCAGAGTAGCTACAGGAGAATACTTGAAAACATTAAAGGTTGGTGACACTTTGTGAAATAGTCGAGGGGGGGGGGCACAGAATGGATAATGACAGGTGATATCCTATAAGTACTTTTCTGCATTCTAAACTAAAACGTGGTAATTTCATAGTATACGATTTTTGGACCCCCCCCCCTCCTATCAATTTTGTGCATTGCTCTCAAATGTATAACATTGAAATTATTGGTCATGTGGCCGCAGCGCTTGGCCCCCTAGCTATTCTAGCCTTGGTGTTTGGCCTCTAGCCTTTCCTAGACCCAGAACTCGGCCCAGAAATTGTCTTAACCAATCATAACCCTGANGGCACAGAATGGTTAATGACAGGTGATTTCCTAGTACTTTTCTGCATCTAAACTAAAACGCGATAGTTTCCTAGTATACGATTTTTTGACCCCCCCATACCCATCTCTCCCTGTTTTTCTATTTCTTTTTTTTTCTATTTTTTCCCCTTGTTTTCCTATTTATCTCCTTGCTTTCCATGCATTTCTTTCCTTGTTTCCATATTTCTTTACTGATTTTTTCTTTTTCTCTCTTAGCTTTTCTATTTTTCATATTTTTTAATTGTTTTAACCTATATCTCCGTGTTTAACATTTTCCTCTTCTTTTTCTATTTCTTATCTTGTTTTCCTGTTTTTATTCTTATTTTCCCTTGTTTTCTTGTTTTCCTGTTTTTATTCTTAATTTCCCTTGTTTTCTTGTTTTCCTGTTTTTATTCTTAATTTCCCTTGTCTTCCTGTTTTCCTGTTTCTCCTTGTTTTTCTATTTTCCCACATTGGTTTTATAGTGCTCTTCTTGTCTTCTTATTTCTCTCCTATTTTTTCCATTCCTCTCTTTGCCTTCCAATTCCTCTCTTTGCCTTCCTATTCCTCTCCTTGCCTTCCTATTCTTCTCCTTGCCTTCCTATTCCTCTCCTATGCCTTCCTATTCCTCTCCTCTCCTTGCCTTCCTATTTCTTTTTTATTTTCTAATTCTTTTTCCTTTTTTTCTACCTATTTCCTTACTTACTATTTCTCTCCTAGTTTTCCTATATTATGATATATGTATAACGGAAAAAATTATTGTTCGAAAAAAAGACAGTTTTCAGACACTGTTTGTTTTAATTCTGACTTCCAATTTTATTTCATGGTGAACAGTTGGTAGGTTTGATGAAAAAAGCGATGAATTAATCTATAAATTTTAATAATATTTTTGGAGGTTTGGTCTGCATTCTTTCCTCATCAGCTGATCGTTTGCTAATTTTAGTGCACTTCAGATCCGTTGGGTTCACACCTTTTGGCAGCACAGCCTTTTAAATACTGATAATTCACATTTGAATCCCGGGCCGCATTTATTGACGATCTCGCCCTTGCCTACCCGACCATTACTATCAACCTTGTAGCAAAAACCTGGTTCCAGACCATCTATTATTTTAGCACGGGTTTCAGCTTGGGTCTTCAGCAGTTCTTTTAGAGCTTTGGCTTCTTTGATCTCATCGCTGAAAAATAAATGATTAAAACGTTTGTGGATTTAATTTTAAAATGCCCGATTCACAAGGACGCCCTTGAAACCTTAATCTGATAATAATATGGAAGATAGCGGCGAGTCGTTCTTATATGGCTTGAAAATGTTTAGGTCTGTTAATTTCTCCATTTTTTCTGAAGCAAAAAATGTGTAAGTTACTTTCAGAAATAATATATCAGTTTCTAAAAACATGAATATCTAACTCTTACCTTATCAGACAAAGCTTTAAAGGGTACTGATGTGAATCTGAAAGGCCTCTCTATTAATAGAAGGTCACTTGAAATTACATTCACAGTCCCTTTTAATTCTCAACAAAATTAAAGAGAAAATCAAAGTCTTTGAGTTGTGAAAAGAGTTGAGAAAATAAAGTAAAGCAATCATTTCTTATTTTTATAAAAGGAAAGTAAGAGACAGATAATTAGCCAAAACTACAAAAAAAAAGTTCAACGGATTAATTATAACTGTGATATTACTAAAAAAATGTAAGACACTGTTCTAAAATATTGGAAAGAAAAACAGAGAACTAATCGATTTAAGATTTATCTGGGGCACAGTTTTGAGGATCGTGTTCACGGTTTTTGAACATTTTAAATTATCAATAGGTGCAAAAAACAATCCTGGGGGGGATTAGGTTTTTCACCGAAAGTGAACTTTCACAATTTCGCGAGAAAAAACATTTTCGCGGAAGCGCAATTATTCTAGAAAAGTTGAAATTCTCAATTTAAATTAAACAAAATGTCCACGGCCAACCTGGTGTAATCAGCGGATCTTTTGTTAATTTTAGTGCACTTCAGTTCTGATGGGTTCACTCCTTTTGGCAGCCCAACCTTGAACATCCTGCATGTTGGACAAGATTCTTCACATTTGAATCCTGGACCACATTTGTTGACAATCTCGCCGTTCGTGCCCTTGTCTGTAACCCGACCGTGTTGATCAACCCTGTAGCAAGCTCCTGGCTTCAGACCATCTATTATTTTAGATCGGTATTCTTGCATTTGTTTTAGTATTTTCGCTTCCTCCATCTCTGACGATTCATCACTAAACAATAATTTATGTTTAAAATTAGATTTTTAAAATTCCATCATTTGAGATTTGATTGTACAGGGTAAATTTTAAGAATATACAATTTTTAGATATATGCACAACTTTTGTTACCTCATTAGACAAGCCGGGTCACAATGGTCATAGGTATATGGAAATATTTAATATACCAAAAAAACACTGGAAGAAATGGATTATCAGCTTTTAACAAAAAGACTTCTTGATCTAGCACAGTGAGTAATTTTTTAAGGCATCTTTAACTGCGCAGAGGATCTAAAAAATGAGGTTTTTATTTAAAAAAAACTTGTTTCACCTTCCAAAAATGTCGTCGTACAATTCTTCCGCATCTTTGGATGGTTTGGATGCTACCAAATTAAAGAGAATTCCAATCAGAAGAATTTGTAGCAGAGATATCATGCTTCAAGCCCTGAAAAGCATTAAAAGGACTGTCAACGTGTTTTTGATAACCCATGTATGTTTAATTGTGCCAAATAAACTATTTATAGGGACTGTATGTTTAATTGTGCCAAATAAACTATTTAAAGGGACTGTATGTTTAATTGTGCCAAATAAACTATTTAAAAGCACTGTACAATGAACAGTCATTTGTTTTGTGTTTGATCAAGGATCATGTCTTATTTCTTTATTTTCAGAGGCCGAATTTAAAGAATTTAAACCGCGTTGCTGAACCAACAAAAACCGCTTCCAATTGAGCACCGGCTCATCCAAGTTGAACCAACCATGTTTGAGTCACGTCTCAAATTTGAGACATGGCTCAAATTCTTTTAATTCGGCCTCAAGCATTATCTTACGCTTGTATAGTTGTTAATAAATTTTTATGGAAGGCTAATTTATGTTTAAAATTTCTTAATAATTCTTTAAAAATTCCAGTGAATAAATATTTTTATTTTTATAAATCTTGTTTGTGGATTCTCTAGCGAGGATCAGATGAGCGGGGGAAGGCAAATGGCCATGAGCCACCACTATTTCCCCTTCCGTGCCACATATTAGCTTTCTTCTCTTCCGGCAGCCATGAGCCACCACTATTTCCCCTTTTGTACCACCACATTTGACTCTTCCGGGCAAAACTACTTTTTTAAATGGTATATCTAAAGCCTTTAAAGTGTGGTTTTAAAAAATCCAGCCGCGTCACTCGAAATGCACAACTCAAACCAATTTTTCAACTGTACTTAAGATTAATATTTATTGTGTTGAATTCTTAAACTGTTTTACTATGAAATTTTTTGACAAACTTGACTGAGTATTGCATCTTGAAATATCACAAAGTTGGTCAATGAGTGATTTAAAGATGGATTTGATATAATGAGTCGTCAGTAATTGAATTATATAATTGAACTATGTTTCCCTTTTTATTTCGCGGATTTTAATAAAAAAAATCGAATATTTTGATAAATCTTGAATTAAATAAATAAATTTATATATCCAACTGTCTTGTGTTATCATGCGGGACAATATGTTTTTTGGTCGGGATTTTTACATCATTTGTTTAAATTTAAGATTTTTAATCTAGAACGTTATAGAGTGAGTTTGATTTCGATCAAAATAAAAATTGAAGCAAAAACTTTCTCGCAATAAATAATAACCATATGTACATTGACATAAATAAATAATATTATAAATATTTTAATAATTTTTTGGTTTAGATTGTTCATTGGCGTATCTCTACCATCTCTACATGTTTTTAGTATTAAAGAACTTACTGTTTCGGACCGGGTGTTTGTAGACTTATAATTATTTGATCGTATGAACAACTATTTAAACATTTTGCCGTTTGCATAGAGTATATAGAATTACAGAGACAACATTGTAAACCAGTTTAGAAATGAGAGATCACAAATGATAAAATAGGAACCTTCGTGTCTTTCTTTTATAAGAAAGGTGCACAAAATATTTGAATTTAACAAACCCGTAAGAGGGAGGGGGGGGGGGGGAAACTTCTATATAAATCCTTGTTAGGATGAAAATTTTTTATTTTGCACCAAGATCGGTAATTTTGTATCGTCTCTGCTCTTTGATAATTTTATCTATATTTCATATAACTATAAAATGTAGGATGACTTTTTTATTCTTGATTTTTATCTTTTTAGTAAAAGTCAAGTTTTAGAATTTACACAGAACATCTGAACAAATCAAATCACAGCTGTGGAATTTGCAAAAGTTGGATTGGGCCGTGCAAAAAAATATATGTACATATATATACATACAAGAACAGAAATTTCGGCGCATCACGCATATGTTTCATTATTTAACTCATGCCGTTAATTTTAAAGCTGTTATAAGTATATATTTTTAAAGCATAAGTCATGGTTATTATAAGAAATTGGTATGTTATTGAGCACAGAGCCAACCCTTTTTTTACTTCAAATCCTAAAACAGCGCTAGCCACAGGGCCACCCCAGCTCCACAAAATTAAATTGCAGCCCCCCCCCCCTCACAAAAGTGCTAGTTGAGCCACTGCTGACCATAATTACCAATCATACCATTATAAAATTAAAAAAGAGCAAAAAACTTTTTAAAAATACATTTTTTATTCTTTTTCAGTTTATCATATCAGTATCAATAATATTATGACTAGATTGCACTGGAGGCAGTATTATTTGAAGCTTTTTAACGATACAAATCTGTTTTGTGGCGCTTTGTGAGGGAAAAGATGTCCCAAAACATTGTTGATAAAAAATTTCCCTATATAAATATTCCCCAACCAATAAATAGGACGGGTGGGTGGTGTTTGCATCTACATTATACCATATTGATGATTAAGATTGTTCAATCCAGGTTTTAAAACAATAAAAATGCAAGAATTATTGGTTAAAAGTTATGGAAACATGCAACTGTTTTCAATCATTAAAACACGGGTTAAAAAAAGCATTATATTCAAATGATGCGGCCTTAGTCTCACCAACGAGGTCATACTTTATAGAGTGAATTTTGAAAATTTTGATAATTCACATAATATTTCATTAAATTATTTTTGTGAAAATTGATTCCATGTCAGGCTTTGACATCCTTGCATTAGTACCTTGATTATAAGTTGATTCTGGATTAACCATACAGAACACCTAACTGAACACTCACTCACTCACTCACTCACTCACTCACTCACTCACTCACTCACTCACTCACTCACTCACTCACTCACTCACTCACTCACTCACTCACTCACGTAGAGAATTATCATCCCCCTGAATCACACCCTTTTTATAGATTTTAATCAAGGAGTATAAAATAGAAGGGAGATACAACTGACGCGGCCCGCCCTACCATATGATTATACATGCTTAGCAGACGGTACTTCATTTGAATAATAAATATTTGTCTGATGTACAAATACCACGTAAATATATTCAGAATGGGTTATTGTATACATTGAACAGTGAAAAGAGTAGGTTGAATAACGCCAAACAAACACATCTCCATAAAAACGTATTTTTTTAGGTTTAATTAAACATGGTACAGTAAAAACAACATTTAAAAAATTAAAAGACAATCTAAAAACTCTTTTTCAAATAAAGAACAGACTACAAGGCATGTATAATCATATGGTAGGGCAGTCCGCGTCGTTTTCCTCTCCCTTTAATTCAATACTCCTTGGTTTTAATGTTTAGGCAACATTGTAACTGGGGTCTTTAAACTCTGCTGTCCATGTGTTCCCCCTCTCCGATAGAAAATAATCTTTTCCTCTATATGCAAGATCCAAACGAATTTTTAGGGGTTTATTCGCTGAGTTGTAGAGTTTTAATAAGTTTGGAGTCAGAACTAAAGCAAAAGCATGGTGGAACTAATTTCTAAATGATAAATTCTTTTCTATAAAGCAAGAATCACTGGACACTATTAGCAAGAGTTTATTTACATCAAATATGACGCAGACTAAACAAAAAAGTATAACAAATAATATACGAGAAGAATTAGTTTCTTTTTGTTAAAAAATGGTTTCTGTACAAGAATAAGAGACGTTTAAATTGTATAAAAAAGGTAATTAGGTGAAAGAGTAGATATATGATCCTACAAAATATTTTAACAAACCGAACAGTTTACAACTAAACAGATATTTACAATGTTACAAAAGCACTCTTCGCCAAATGCGTTATTTAGTGTGCACTGTGCATGCAATTACAGGTAAGGTTTGGAATCGTTCAATTCATCAAAAACAACCAATATAAAAACCTAAAATTGTCGTCTATTGAGTTGGTCTGGTATTATTGAAAACAATTTACATTTTTAAAAGTTGTTTAAAATAGATAAAACTATTAAGATCTAAAGACAAAAAGAATACAGCAACGTAAAACGCTGCATGATGTAATATTTGTTGATATTAATTGACACACTTGAAAATCACGCATCAGAAGATTCCGATTGTGTTTGATATTTTACGAAACAGATTTTTTTAAATGACATTGTCGCAATACTATCTACTAGTCACAGGCGTTACTACCGCCTCGACCGAAACTGTTTCCGGCGGAACCACCGTCACGCCCAAACACCTCGTTTGGATAGCGGGGGCGTTTCCCGTTTTCTCCAGGGAACTCCTCCCATACAGAAGGATTCATACGGAATTCAGATTCTCCTCCCATCATGGGATTCATTGCCCCCTGTCCTCCGCCGTTAATTCCCATCCCTCCTCCTCCAATCCTATCCGACATTCTGTTCATCATGTTCATCCCCATCTGCTGGTTGCCCCCTGAACATCGACCAATTAAACGTAAAAAAAGAAAGACTTGAAAGAAAATGCATAAAATGTTATAATTTTCCAAACCTTTAGACGAGATAAAAATATAAAAAAGGTTATAAACGCAAACCTTAGATATACAGGTTAACAACCTTGGAAGTTAATCAAGTTGTTCCACCTTTTGTTACTTTTTTTGAAAAATTAAATAATTTTCCTCATAAAATAATTTAACTTCACCAATTCAGAATCAGAAAAATATTTTCATAAATCTTCCTTCGAAAAAAAGCTTGTTTTTAATAGAAAAATAAAAAGATTTTTCATCAAAAATATATATGTATATATATATATCAGTTGAAGCGCAACAATCTTCTTATAACATTTTATTCATAAACAAATTGTTTCATGCTTTTAATGCAATCATCAGTATATGTATATATATATATTTATAAAATACACTGGGCTGGTTATAGGATTAGAAGAAACTAGAAAGTTTACCTATTGTAAAATCAAACATGTTTGCAATACGTTTCCTATTTTCTCTCTCCATCTCAAGTCTCCTAAAAGATTAAAAATCAAATAAATATTAAACAAATTACTCTCATCAAACTCTAATTTATTTGTCCTTCTTTGTAACTTAATGTCTACAGACCTTTAATTTTAACAACACGTTTTGCTATAAAAAAGGGAGGTCTTGTAATTTCAAGTGATATTCCATTATAGAGGAACATGCCCGATTTCAAAGTAAAATCTGATCATCTAATTTAAACTGTCCAATTCTGAAAATTTCCATTGTTCCTGGATAAGAAATGTATAATTAAGTCTTGATGCAAAGCTTTTAAGAGTCCCGCTGTGAATCGGACATGCTACGCTATCAATGAGGCGTCACATGAAAACTAACTTGCTTAAGATTTGTTTAACAGAAATTCAGTTTAGCGGTAGAGACTTTTTCCGAAAAATATTGCTGAACAAGCATAAAATTAATCAAACCCCAAGAATTTCTGTTGCAAAACTCGTTTGAAAAGTTTGATCGCAATCATGATCTACGAATTATGCTGCTTCCAATCCAATCCAATCCAATCCAATCCAATCCAATCCAATCCAATCCAATCCAATCCAATCCAATCCAATCCAATCCAATCCAATCCAATCAGCTTCCAAGTTCCAGTTTGCAGTTCCCTTCCCGAACCATTTTCATTTCTTTTCTTATTTTTTTTACAAAAGAAGAATTTTATAATATTTTTTCTTTCTTCTTTAATTTAAAATTATGTAACCTGTTAACATCCATCTCCATCTGACTTGACATCTCAATCCTTCTCTGCCTCTCCTTAAAACACATGTATATGTAGGTAGTTACAACTAGCATCAAGATTTCAACCATTTTTACAAGTATGATGTCAACATTATTGAAACATTCTTTATCAATAAGATTTTGCTTCAAAAACTTCATGAAATTGAAAGAAATTCTACTAAAATTCCAATATTTCACTCCAATATGTTTTGATATACTTTGCAATAAAGGAACAATTAATTTAAAACAACGTAAAAGTTCAATGTCCAAGGATCTATCTATTCTAACCTAGTCTTAAAGGTTCGAATTTATAAAAATAGATTCTAAATATTTTATATGGTTGGCCTTACAGTGCAGGTTTAGGTAGATACAACAAGCACCAAGATTTCAACCAATATTATAAGTATGTCATCGACATTCTTAAGAAATGCTTTATCAATACGATTATGGTAATGAAGTAAAANGTTCGAATTTATAAAAATAGATTCTAAATATTTTATATGGTTGGCCTTACAGTGCAGGTTTAGGTAGATACAACAAGCACCAAGATTTCAACCAATATTATAAGTATGTCATCGACATTCTTAAGAAATGCTTTATCAATACGATTATGGTAATGAAGTAAAAGAACTTCATGAAATGGAAAGTAATTCTACTGACAATCCTAGATTAAACTCCAATATTATTTATTATACTTTCCAAAAAAAGAAACATTAAACAATTTGTATGTCCAAAGATCAATGTTTTCTAACTTAGTCTGGAAATTAATTCTACTGACATTCCTAGATTAAACTCGAACATTATGTATTATACTTTTCAAAAAAAAGAAACATTTAACTTAAAAAACAAACAATTTGTAAGTCCAAGGATCAATGTTTTCTAACCTAGTCTTCAAGGTTCGAATTTATAAAAATAGATTCTAGATATTTTATATGGTTGGCCTTACAGTGCAGGTTTCGGTAGATACAACAAGCACCAAGATTTCAACCAATATAAATGTTCTTTAGAAATTTTTATAGATAAATATGTGGTTTTGAAACTCCTAAACTGTATGTAACTGGGGGTAAAAATAATCTATAAAAAGAAAAATTTCAATGTTTAAGGATTTAATTTCAAAGGTTCGAATATAAAGAAAATAGATTTTATATTTTTTTTGGTTGGCCTTAAAGTGCTTGTCTGGTTTGGGAGATCAATCCTGAAATCTGACGATTAATGAATTTCCCGCAATTATTATTATTATTAAAACAACAACCAACACTTGAATAATTGCTTGAAATAAAACTTGAATTTTGAATCCTTACCTCTTCCATTTGTTTAACTTTTTCTTTCATCATTTCAGTCTCAAATTCAAACCTTAAGTATAATGGATTTAGTATTGTGAAAAATGTAACCCACCAAACAAAATGTATCAAATCATATCAGACTCACAGGGTACCCTTCTTCCACTCCCCAAACTTGAGTTTGAAGTGATTAATACTAAATCTGAAGAAAGGTCTTAAGTACTGCCCCCGGCTGTAATTCTATCCGCGGCTCCAGTGAATCCGTTTTGCAAAGCTATTCTACAACGGTATGATTTTTATTCGTTTTTTGGTGTATATATTGGTTTTTGATTTCTTTTATGAAGCCTTCTAAACCGGTTGAAAATTAGAGTTAAAAATGCATTAAGCATTAAATAAGTAGAAAACATGTGACCGTTAAATGAATAATTTTATATTGAAAAAGAACAAAATATGTAAATTGTGTAAAATACACATGTATATATTCGGGTGATCCAAATTAGTGTAAAGGGGATGGAGTATATGTCCTATTAGTTGGGGGGGGGTGGGGGGGTGTCATTGCCTTCATTTATAGTTAAAATATTCCAATTTTTTAGCTGCCTAATTAGTGGGGGAGGGGCAATTTCTATATAAATCCTTATTAGGATGTAATATTTTTTATTTTGCATTAAATAGCAGATTTTGTTTATTTTCTTGTCGTATTATATAAATAAGTAAATTGTCCATTCAAAGTCCATCAAGATCGGTAATTTTATATCGTCTCTGCTCTTTGTTAATTTTATCTGGGGTGGGGGGGTGTCATTGCCTTCATTTATAGTTAAAATATTCCAATTTTTTAGCTGCCTAATTAGTATTCGAATTCCCTTAAATAAAATTGAATTTCATTGACCTCTAAAGTCCTCTAATGACCTTAACAAATAGAAAAATGTTTCAACTATGGCTTTATGCATATCAAAAGAAATCTAAGAACTCATGGAATACAGAAGCAGCAACGCATCCAGTGCTTGACCTTCTAATGACCTTCAATGACCTCTTACAACCTCTAATTACCTAAATGACCTCCAAAAATCAAAATGTTTTAACTATGGCTTTATGCATATTAATTAAAAACAAGGAAGCCCAGAAATACAGTAGCAGCAACGAATCCAGTGGTTGACCTCCTAATGACCTCTGACGACCTGTAACGACCTGTAACGACCTAAATGACCTCCAAAAATGAAAATGTTTGAACTATGGCTTTATGCATATCAAACGAAAGCTAGGAACCGAGGTAATAAAGTAGCATTAAAGAAAGTAGAAGCTGGGTGTTGTTGTTAAATGAATAGGGGCAAGAAAAAATATTCAACCCCCCCCCTTTACCAAGATTCTCTATTCTATCTTCAAACAATGGATTCGTTGCTACTACTGCATATCCCTGGGTTCCTGGCTTTTGTTTGATAGGCATAAAGCCATAGATAAAACATTAACTTTTGAGGTCATTCAAGATCGTTAAAGGTCATTAGAAGGTCAAACACTGGATTTGTTGCAACTACTGTATTCCTTGGGTTCCTAGCTTTCGTTTGATTTGTATAAAGCCATGGTAAAAAAAACATTTTAATTTTGGAGGGTCATTATAGGTCATTACAGGTCATTGTAGGTCGTTAGAGATCATTAGAAGGTCAAACACTGGATTCGTTGCTGCTACAGTATTCCCTGGGGTCCTAGCTTTCGTCAATCAGATAGAAAGTTAATATCTAGTCGTTCAATCTAGTATATAGTTTATAGCTCGGATGTAAAACAGAGATCAGTTCATATCTAGAGATTTCATCAGGAAGCAGATCCTTTTTAGAATCAGGACGCAATTCATAGCTAGGGGGTTAATCAGGAAGCAGAGGGGGTCAATCAGTTAGATAATTCATAGAAAAGGGTCAACCAGGCAGCAGTTCCTATCTAGAATCAGGACGCAATTCATAGCTAGGGGGTCAATCAGTTAGATAGTTCATAGATAGGGGCCAATCAGGTAGAAAGTTCATGTCTAGGGGGTCAATTAGGTAGATAGTTCATAGCTACGGAAAAGTAGATAGTGCATGGCTCAGGTAGCAGTTCAATGCTAGAAGATCTATTTTGAAAACTGGTTATTTGGTCAGTACACTTTTGCAGTGTCGCAAGGTATATTTATTCAGCAATATTTAGATTTTTACATGTAGCTGTTAATGGCTTCCTGGACCTCTCATATTTTTTTAAGCACTTACATAAGTATGGAACAACTTGGGCCAGTGTTCAAATATTTTTCATAGGGCGATTTGGGTCACCCTAGAACATATATAAAAGAAAAAAGTAAGCAGTGTGCAAACTTTATAGGATGTTTGTAAAATCTCAACTTTATAGGAAAAATATTTTTTAATTATGGTATGGTACGCCCTCATCCAACCTAGAGGAAACCGATTAAAATGGATTCTGACTACACTTTTATACCTAAAGTAGTATGAGGTTAAGTTAAGCATGGGAAGTTGGATAGGGGTTGGGGTTGGACGTAGTACTAGTGAAGAATCGATTTAAATCCATAAAAAAAATTAAATTGAAGTTGAAACTCCTCTAGGCCGGTTTCCTTAGAATGGGGGGGAGGGGGGCGAAGCTCAATGTAAGCAACTTTTCCAAAGGCATTTTCCCAAAACTTCCCAAGGATATTTTCTTAAGTGGCAACTTGCCCAAAATGCAATTTCCCAAGTGGCTACTTCCAAAATCCGCCCTAGCCCAAGGCCTCTTTGCAGCCTGCGGCGCCTCAGAAGAAGACCTAACCCAACCTTTGGGAAGTTGCGGCTTTGGAAATTGGAAATTTGGGAAGTTGCCACTTAAGAAGTCACCCAGAATATACATTTTGGAAAATACCTAACATCTATAGTTTTACTGGACTTTAAAGATCCTTACCTTGCAAATTCCATCTGAGACCAAAGCTTCTCTTCCTCCAACATCATTTCACGTTCAAGCGCTTCTGTCTTCTCCTTCCTAGATAATAAAAATATGAAACCTAATTCAATATACAAGGTTTATATCTTAACCATACTGTAGAGACACCATTGAAGTATTTAGTAAAAACAAATTTCCAAAAGACTGCCCCATCTCCCAGAACTAAGTGTCTAGCATACAAATTTTATTGAAAATTCATTTTTAGGTTAAAGCATCAAGTGAAAAAGCTTCATTGTCGATGTACTTTTTTGTTTTTTACCCACACAGCATCAAGTCATGGAGGGGGGGTGGGATAATCTTGAAAATATATTTCCCTGTAAAATTTGTCAACCAGACTTAAAAAAAACTATGGAAGGTTTTTGTTTATCATAAAACTGTCCGGATTAACATGTAAACAAACATTATCCCACTTTTTTATTTCTACTCTGATAGGAAATGATGTTATAATAAACTGTTCAAAGAAGGTGTAAAATCTTTCCCTGGGATATTTAGAAAGAAGAAAATTTCCCAGTATGATAATTCAAGGACTGCAGTATGGTTTTGTTGAATTATATATATAACCGTACAAAGCCTAGGGGTGTTAGAAATTACTTTTATTTTTAAACGTCCTATAAACCGGATAAAGTTTAATTTTTAATAAAACTTTTTACTCTGGATAATTGCAAATTATTTATAAAACGATTAAGACAAAATAAGTATTGATAAATATTGCTTTATATCAAGTAGATATCCATTAACATGTATAACCTTTCAGAAAGTAGGAAAGATTCTGCATACAAGATTTGCCAAACCAACCCAAATTTTTATTTTGAACAAAATATTTAGTATTTATATAGAAACAATTATTTTAGACTAGTTTTGCCAGGGGGGGAGTGCAGAAAGTCCTCGATGGGTAATCACCACCACCCAAACGTGTTTTGCGGCATGCACGCTCCTCAATCAGTAATTTCCCCCACCTCAATAGGTAATTAAGACAAAAAAGAGTAACATTAAATCGTTTTTTTAGAAATAAGACCATATTGACCCCTGTTAATGCCCCTATGGTGTACAAAATTGTTACAGCTTTCTTTATTGCTCCTTAGTTTCGAAAATAAATCTATAAATATGCCACATGAAGCGCTAGCAATAAAATTATGATTTTGAACCTTTGCCCGTTCGCGCTCCTCAATTAGTAATAAAGCGCTAGAAATAATTAGTGAACTTGATACTTCATTTTCACCAGTGGGTGGGATGAAACCAATTTTTCTAAATTTTGTGTTCTTTCTATGCATGTAATTAGTTTTGTTGTAGATGTTGAACTCAAGTAGGCAAATACAAAAATCTAAACACTGTTTGGGTGGCGTTTGTTTACATCTGCCCTCCCCCCCCCCCCTTGTTTTGCATTATTTTAATTTATGTAAAAGCTGGTTTAACGCTAAACAATAAACAGTTGATCTCTCAAGGGATGGATTGCAACAACGCCAATTTGTAATCCTAAAAATCTGCTCTAGGGAAATTATTTGTAACAGGGTACTCAGAATCCTGCTGAATTCTGGGGGTATTGGGTGGTACGGAATTTTTATTTTCAACAAAATATTTAACATATTTGTAAAAGCATTCTAGGTACTTGGAGGTCCTGGGGGTACTGAGGGGTACTGCTGAGTACTGCAGGGGTACTGCTGGGCACTGCCTGGTACTTCAGGGTACTGGGAGATACTGAAAGAGATACTTCAGAGTACTGCAGGGTACGTTGGGGTACTGCAGGGCACTACGAGTACTGTACCCCCCCCCCCCCAGTTCTGACCAGTACTTGCACTACTTCACAATACCCAAGTAGTTACCTCCCAGTACCCCCTTAGTGTACCCTGCAGTACTCCACAGTACCCCCACAGAACCCCACATTACTCCACAGTACTCCACATTACTCCGCAGTATGATGCAGTACTGTGCAGGTCCTTTAAGAACCCTGCAGTACCCCCACAATACCTTGTAATACCTCCCAGAACCCCCAATAGCCAGCAGTAACCCACAGTATTAAGCAATATCTCACACAACCCCTTGGTAACTCGCAGTGCCCAACAGTACCCCATAGTACCCTAGTACCTCTGGTACCCCCAGTATCATGCTTTTCCACCCAGAACCCAGTGGTTCTCTGTTACTAGCACTTTTCAAAAAGTAGACTTGGGGATTGATTGGCGAGGTTGCCATTCCTCCCTCCGTTGATAAACGGCTGTTAGCTGTTTAATGTTAAATCAGCTTTTAAATGAATGGAAATTATGCATAACTAAAATAAAATTATTCCTAGAATGCTTCTATATTAACACTAAATATTTTTGTTAAAAAATAAAAAATCTGTACCACCCAGTACAACCCCCAATACCCCCAGAACAAAGCAGTAATCTGAGAACCCTGTTACAAGCACTTTCCTTAAAGCAGATTTTTGGGATTACAAATTGGCGTGGTTGCCATCCATCCCTCTGTTGAGAGATCAGCTGTTTGTTGTTAAGTGTTAATCCAGCTTTTATATTTGTTTAAGAATATCTACTCGATATAAAGCAATATTTATCAATAGTTATTTTGACTTAACCTCTTCACTAAATGAATTAAGAAAATATGCTGATTTAAGCAAGTTTTAAAAATATATTTGCAATTATCCTGAATTTTATCAAAAACTAAACTTTATCCGGTTTACAGGACATGTAAAAAATAGTTTCTGAAAATCCTAGGCTTTGAAATGCTATATAATTCACCAAAACCATACCTGCAGTTATTCAATTATTATACAGGGAAATTTATCTGAATATCCCAGGGAAAGATTATACACCTTCTTTAGTCTTTTTACCTTAAATCCTGCAAGAGTTTGTACTTTTCACAAAATTTAAAGTCAAATGTCCCTGAACAATTATCAGTCACTTTGATTGCTTTTTGAAAATACAACGTAATATATTGATAAGGGGCCTGTTATTGTAAAAGGAAATGTTCAATTTACAACAGTAATCCTTAATGATCACTATCAGCAGAGAACTCAAGTTTTTTTTCACTCTAAATTGGTGTCCAGTGACTGTCCACTAATTGCAATGCAGTCAACTTTTCATTTACTGTTGGCAAATTGTCAACACTCAACATGGTTGGCCGAAATCTTGGGTTTCAAATAAGTGTTTATTTTTGGCAATTTCTGGAAAGTAAATACTAAATATTAATATTATTTAAATATAAGGGATAAGTCAGTAATCCTAGATCAATCAAAGGTTTAAAGGTTACTATTGTGAATCGGACATGCCATTAACAAATGAAGGGCCACTTCAGGTTATGTCTACCGTCCTTTCACAGTTAAATTTTAGAATTAGTTAGTCATAGTTAAATTATAATGACTGTTCCTGGTTGAATGAATCTTGGCCCAGTCTCTCTTTCAAACAGATATTGATCATCCATCTTGTTAATATTCTTTTCAGGTAGTCCTTCATTGCTTTCAACTCCCTAATATTAAATAACAAATCAATGTGGGGAACAGGATACTGACCAATGTCTGAACTAAATATAAATTAAATGGAACTCACATGGGATGAAGAATTTTTCATTTAAAGATGTGCTACTGTAGGAAAATAAACAAATTTTATCTTTTTCAAGAGTGGTGTTTTGAAAGCAGTCCAAGCACCAAAGGTCAAAAATGTATTTGAATTAAATTCAACCAAATTTCGTTCCAACCCCCTTAATTCGTTATTTTTTTTCTTTCAAAGTTCACATGGTTTCTTATTAGAGATCCTCTATTAGATTGTTAAATTTAACTTTTTAAATAATGAATGAGCTCTGATAGTAAAGTAATAATTTGCAAATTTCATTCTTGCCTTTCCATTCCTCTTAATTTCCCACTAAAAACGTCTTGTTTATATAAATGTAATTTTTAAGTTAAAAAAGGACCAAACATTGACAGTTAAGATTTAATAAAGTTGCATTGAGAAGTTCATTGAGTTCAACTAATAACAAGGTTTGATTGGAAAAGGTATAATCCCCCTTTCTTGTATTCAAACTTGTATTTAGTTCAGGAATATTACTGACTCAATCATACCCCAGATTATCATCTTAATTGTAGATTTTAAAAGAATGATGAATTCAACCCTACCATAAAAACTAAAACAAAACTCAACATTTAAAGTCAACCAATTTAATAAGTAATATTCAACATTTTTTTGTTACTTGATCTAAAAATAATAATGACATGGACAGTGACACCTGATACTAACAATTATCAAGATATGTATCACCCTTTCCCAGATTACTTGCAAACTTGGTCCACAACATATTACAAAAAACAAAACTTTCCTGAATCCTCTATTCAAATTCATTGCTGCAGATATCCACAAATCTTGTCAATCAAGCCTATATCTTTTAAACAGACAGAGTTGAGATTCTCATGAGTCCACCACTTCCCTCCAATGTTTTTAGAATGAAAGGTACAAATAAATACTGAACAGTCTAGACCACATCTGCTTTTCTGGCTACTGCTTAAGCTCTTTGTAATTGTCCTCTTTAATAATCTTCCTTGTACATTCCAAACACAAAATGGCTCAGTAACATTATGCCTAGTTCGTGAATGCCTAGTTCACTATGCCTAGATTCATGAATGCCTAGTTCGTAATGCCTAGATAACACTATGCCTAGATTCATGAATGCCTATATAACATTATGCCTATATTTCTGAATGCCTGGAAAACATTATGCTTAGATTTCATAATGCCTAGTCCCCCAACGCCTAGATAACATTATACTGAATTGAAAACCTATAGACATTGTCAATCAATAAATAAATGATACTAATATGTTTACATGATTTATTACATATTTTATTGGTCAAATGTTTGCCTATCATGGGCCAAAGTAGAAATATAATCTGCTCTTGACATGCTGTCAAAAGCATCAACAACAAACTTTAATCTTTCTCTTGCATCTAGGGACATTGTTTGCGGATTTTTGTAAAAATTTTACCAGATTGTATGTTTTTTTCTCTCTCTTTATTATTTTTATTTCTCTTTGAAATACATAGTTTAGGCATTCAATGCACTCTTATGTTATCTGGGCATAATGTTATCCAGGCATTCATGAATCTAGTGTAACATTTAACCCTTTGATATCATTACAATCCCAGACATAAATCCTAGGGAAATCAAGATCAATCCTTGTCCCTCATCTTTAAAGGTTAATACAAGACTTCACTTTCATTCCCAGTACCAATTCATAATTTACTCAAACCTCTCATCTTGTGTATAATATGTATCTCTCAAGGGCTTGAATAAGTATATCTGTTAATATCTATTTATATTAAATCATATTTCATATAGCTGTAGAGTCCCTCAGCGGTAAAACCAGTCTCTACTAGCTCTTATATAGGAAGAGTCCCTCAGGGGGAAAGCAAGCCTCCACTAACTCTTACATGAGGAAGAGTCCTTCAGCAGTTAAGCAAGTCTCCACTAACTCTTATATATGAAGAGTCCCTCAGCAGTGTAGCAAGTCTCTACAAAGCTCCTGGAGTCATTACATTGTCCCGGGTACAAGCCCACAGTGTAGCCTGCTGTATCACCTCCACTCTCTGGATGATCCAGAGTTCCCTGAGTCTATTCAATTCCTTGATTATCTCCAAAGATCCATTGGGTGGTTCTGAGCGATCTAAGGGTAAGACAGCCATCCAAAGGATTCCCCTGTTTCTGAGTTGTGTCTCTAGGTTTTCAATCCGACTTCTAAGTCTGAGGTATCCTCGGTAGGTCCTTCCAAAAGATTCCCTTTCCCTAGGATCGCCATCCCTGAGTTGATCAAAACACACAACTTCACTAGACTCAGATTGCGGTGAACCGTCCCTTAACCAGGGTAACCTGTCCTCAAGGATCCCTTGTAAGGTATCTGCCATAATTCTGGTGGTTGAGGTTGCTGTCCTCAATTGAGCAATTGTCTCTTGGAAGATGCGGGAAGGTGTTGTGGAAGATTCCAATATGTCGGGAGAGTCCCTCATGAGTTCATCTAGTTCAGGATCTGAGTCTATCATATCCACTGGTGTGAATACAGCAGGCTCCAGTAAAGGTGAGATCCTTCCAGTGATTCATAATCCTCCAGTTCTCTCTACCAGATCTGGGGTTCGATATATCCCATCTTCATAGATCCTCATGATCTCCTCTTCACCTGGGGTCATTGGCCTGTATTGATCCTCTGAGTCTCCAGTGTTTATAACCATAGAAACACCTGGAATATTAGAGTGTGTAGGTAGTTGAACCAGCTGTATAGAGGTGGAACTACATCTCTCTGATTCTCTTGTCTGTTCTACAGCTCCAGTTTTTCTTACCAGAGAAACATCTGGAATATTAGGGTGTGTAGGTAGTTGAACCAGCTGTTTAGAGGTGGAACTACATCTCTCTGATTCTCTTGTCTGTTCTACAGCTCCAGTGTTTCTAACCATAGAAACATCTGGAATACTAGAGTGTGTGGGTAGTTGAACCAGCTGTACTGAGGTAGAACCACACTGCTCTGTTTCTGACCTATTTGTTTCATCCATTGTATCTGTCCCTTCCATGATATTCATCTGATCTGTATTCTTTATTCCTGAAGATATGATCCACATGCTGTAAGCCTTCTAAGAGCTGTCTATGAAGTGCCTGTCCCCTAGCCTTTGGTTGAACAAACGGAGCTTGGCTCATACATCTGTTTGGTTCAAGGGTGCACTGCTGAATCTTAATCAATCAGTTCAGGTTAACTACTCCGCATTCATTAAAAGAAACAAAGAGATAAAGGTGTGAGGCTGGGGGAGGGTTTTAGCATGAGTTACCTATACTTTAAATATTACACTAGGCATTTTGTTCTCTATGCATTATGTTATCTAGGCATTAAAAAATCTAGGCATTCATGAACTAGGCATAGTAAACTAGGCATTCACGAACTAGGCATTCACAAACTAGGCATTCGGGAACTAGGCATAATGTTACTGAGCCTACATAATTCTCCCTTCACATCAAAAACAAATATAGAGGACTTTCTTTATGCTATCTAAACACAAGGTCATGGCACAAAAGTTGACACTAAGAATGATGCACTAGAGGGTTTCCAAACAGGCTGAATTTTGGGTCAATTACAAATTTCATGTTTACATGCCTGCTCCCAGAATGTCAGCAGGAATGGATGATTTAAACACCATCAAGGCTGCCTTGATGAGTCCCAAATAACTGACTGCAATCCTTGTTACTATTACCCATAAGGTGCAGTAGAACAAGATACCAATCAAGCAACCAGCTATACAAAGCTGTAATTAATTAATCAATTAATCTACAAACACCTCTGGTTCTTAAAGTCTATGCCAGATTCTGCTCTCATTATAATCTACTTTTCCCTGCAAAGTTCTAAATAACAAGAACTAAATTGTACCCCTTTTTAGTATAATCAAGCTACAGGTAAAAATTGTACACAATAATCTGTGCAACCTTGAAAAGAAAAGTTGGCCACTGTGAGAAACAAAAAATACTGCTTTCTTAAGTTCTCCACTTTAAAAAAAAGGCTTGAATCTGAACCCACACGATCTATCAAGATGTAGCTTTAAAGAATGTAATGCAATTGATTTCCCTTATTTCAACAAATAAGAAGAAACAGTTAAACGTAAAAGATTTCACAAGTGTAAAGAAACAAAAACTAGAAGAAGAATATATGACATGAACATCAACATCCTTAACAAATTAAATTTCAATAGCTCATTGTTTTGTTGCTGATTCTTTGATAAAAATTAGTTCTGCCCATGGAAAACTTTCTATCAAATAAATCAATAATTCTCAAAAACTCTAAAATCCTACAACAAAAATAATTTTTAGTAACTACACTTATTAAACAGAATCAACAAATTCTGAACAAAAAACACTGAACAAACTCTCATTCCAACTATAGATTTAAAATTTAAACAGTGAAACACCTTCTAAATTGAAACAGACCATAATTTCAAGTTATATGAGCCAAGACAAATAAATACATTAAGAGAAATATTTGCTTATGACCCAACTAACCAAACCAACCCAAAAAAACTTTTCTAAAAACAAAGATTTCACTTGCATATTAATTGGAAACAATAATAATTAAGCTGAGCGAAACTGTACCTCATATGGTTCAACAATTACTGGTATAAGACTTGAAGTAAGGATGAATGGTGAATCTCTGCAGGCTGAAATTGCCTCCATGGCATGGTGTTTATTTGCAAACTCAACTACCCCTTCACCCTTGATACATTGAGGTAAAATCTTAATGGCAAGTAAAACTTCTTATACATGACTGAACTCAAACAGTATAAAAAACCACAGAATTTAACTTTGTGACCAAATTTTGGATTAGTATCAAATGCATACCTAGAACAACTTAAGTACTTGATTTAAAACAATTTTAACTGTTTCAGCACAAGCAAATTTTGTAGAAAATCAACCAAGTCAACATTGACAGCTTCAGAAACATAAAAATGCCCGCCTCCCATTGATAAATTGTAGTCATTCCTCTCCAAAACTCAATATCTTATCACACAAAATGCCCAATAAAAAACATTAATCTTGAAATTCCCACCCAAAGTGGGTTAAAAATATGTATATATATATATTAACCAAGAAAATTAATATATTCAGTGCTAAAATAGGGATGTTGAATGATTTTAGTCTCTTTCCTTGCTCTTTAACCCTTTCTCATCCATTGTAACAATTGCTTTCTCAACAGTTCCAAAGACAGAAAATGCTTTGAATAGAAGCTCATTTGTCACCATCGGATTGAGATTTTTAACCTAAAATTAATAGATGATTATTCCTAATACAAAAAAATAAGCATTATGATTATAAACGAAACCTCCACAACTAAAACAGATGATTCCACAAAATTAAGAATTAAAAAAATTAAGCATGATAATTAGCCTTTTCGCCTATAAAAATTTTCGGAGTTTCAATTTCTAACTTAGGATCCAGGTTACACTTGGTTAAAGCCTTTAGAAAACATAAATTTTGCTTTCAATACATTGAATTTTATTTTATGCAGTTTTCAAAGTGGATTTCAGAGTAGTTTTACTATATCTATGACAATATTTTTATATTTTCTGAAAGCTAAAACCAATTTTAACCTGGATCCAAAATAAGAAATTAACAATCCAAATATTTTCATAGGTGAACAGACATAGAATAATTCACCATATCGATTATTTACACTGTAAATCTTTAAGGGGTCTATATTTTCACAATCCCTCCCCCAGGAAATTTTAGGTTTTTTCTTCTTTCTTTACTGCAAGTTTCTAAACTTATTTAATAACTATCCATTCCTCAGTTGATCATGTAATTACTTTATCAAAACCATACTTCAGGAAAGACAGAAAACAATGTAAGAATATAGATCCCTAAGATTTAAAACATGAATGAACACCTTTACAGCAGCTGCATTACTAGAAAATCTAATCTTCAGTGGCCTTTCCCCGTACTCTTTACCATCTAAGTAAATAAATCACAAAAATTAATTTATTTGACATAACCTCTCCCAGAGAGTGGGATCTCATCCTTGATATGAATTTTTAACTATTTCACTGTCCACAGACTCATGAAGTTGATCAACTCCACTAGGAAAACTCTTAGTAGATATAATAAACCCATCAAAAAAAAAGGTAAAGTTCAGTGCCAAAACTCAGCCCAACCTTTCTGCTAACTACTTCTACTATATTCAACTTTCCTCCTTCCCTTCCACTTCTTGCAATCCACTCTTGACTTCCTATCTGTTCTGATAGCTAGCTATTGCCCCTCTACCAGCTCACTGGTGTACCCTGAATGGTCAATGGTCATGTTAACACCCACTACCAGCTTTCTGATTCAGTACCTACTCTCCACCACCTTACCATTTGTAAAAAAGCAATCTACTTTCCACCCACTTTTAGCCAATTTAGAAATAAATATTTAGATAAATTGATAATTATATTTATTGAATTGCTTTACAGAAATTAAAATAAATGTTGACTTTCACAGACCAAGTAAACAAAATTATTCTGAGGCTTCCTCTCTTCATGAGATCAGATTTTCAATAACAGAACCCTTTCTTCAGAAAAAGGTATTAACTGATTTGGAGAGAATACAGAAAAAAACAGTGAAATCTTCTGCTTCCAGTTTTACTCGATAACTTGTAGCTTGAGGTTTGACTGCACAGTGGATAAGGAGATTTTTTAACAGCCAAGCGTTCAACAGTTTTATCTAGAAGCAGTTGGAAGGAAACATTAAAAAATTTTAAGTCTGCACCAATTCACTGAGTTTATACCAACAATATCTAAGAAAAAAAACTCAACATATTAATTACTTAAATCAAAACAAATCATTTATGTTTCAGAATTTAGAATAACTTCTGTTAACATTCTAAGGAACAATATTTTTGAGGTTTACATTTTTTTTTATAAACATTAAAGTTCTCTGTGATTTTCTGTGGGTCAAAGCTGTCCACAAATGTTTAATATACCTTTTCACAACATGCTAAATTAAGAAAGGTCTATACTTGGGCCTCTTTAAATTTGTTACTTGAGAATCTTGCTCAGAGTATGTTTCAAGCACTATGACAATAGGTTAATTAGCATTACAATATTTGCTCTATTTGCTCTAAGTTGTCATATAATCGACTACCATTTAAAATTCATAGCTCGATACATCAGTTCCTCTACAAAATGATGGGCCCTTCGTTATTTAGAGCCCAAAAGCTTTAGGATCAAATAGGGAAACTAATAATTGAGGCAAATAGCATAATGAGGTAACAGCAAAAGACAACATTCAGTAGCTATATGGTCATCTTAACAATATCTAAAATCAAACCCAATGTGGAATCTATACTGCACCAACAGTGCTCCATATTAACAACATTAAGATACTGAATTATAAACCTAGGAATACAAACTTACCTGAGGTCAGGTCTCTTAACTCAGTTTGATACCAAAAAGATATCCAAAGTAACTAAAGAATTACACAAATAAAACTTTGACCTCCTATAATGCCAACTATAAAGCAAGAACACAACAGTATTGGTATTAAGAGTCAGGATACACTGCAACCAAGAAATGCAATGAACTCTTCAATCGTCCAATAAACCATCTTTATGACTGAAACATTGTCCCTTTTATAACTATAATTTTAGGCTGTTCCATGTGCTTCTTTTTCTAGTTTCATGTTCTTAAACTAATTCAATCCCCACCCAATTAGATCCAGTAAATAAGCTTAACCAATTTGGCCCAAATAAAGGGTGGCCAAAACGTTTTTTTGAAAAAATCCATATAAAAATCGGTACATTTTCAGAACAAATCCGTATAATAAGTACATTTTTTGGAAAAAAATCTATACCATCAATACTTTTTTATTAAATCCATACATTTGTACAATTTTGTTGAAAAAATTGGTACAATTGGTACATTCAAAAAAAAAATCAATACAATTTTTACAATTTTTGAATAAAAATTCGTACAAACCCTACATTTAAGAAAAATGTGACCATTTTTGAAAAAAAAACCATCAAAATTCAATTGTTCATTTGTGAGGGTTTAAACTTCTTCAGCAGGAGAAGTCATTACATTGCTTTTTGATCTATCTGTAAAAAAGTACCTTAATACTTATTTTTACAAGAAAAATAGGATGATAATGAGAGGAGAAACAAGTAAATTAGGATGATAATAAGAGGAGGAACAAGTAAATTAGGATGAGAATGAGAGGAGAAACAAGTAAAATAGGATGAGAATGAGATAAGAAACAAGTAGATTAGAATAAGCACAAATGGAGAAAAAAGTAAATTAGGATATGAATGACAAACAAGTAAATTAGTATGAGAATGAGAAGAAAAACAAGTAAATTAGGATAAGTAAATTAGGATAAGAATGAGAGGATAAACAAGTAAATTAGGATGAGCATGAGAGGAGAAACAAGTAAATTAGGATGATAATAAGAGGAAAAACAAGTAAATTAGAATAAGAATGAGAGAAGAAACAAGTAATTTAGGATGAGAAAGTCATCTCTTGAATTAATTTTAGAGAGTTGATATTATGAACCTCTGAGATATTTGAAAAATATTAAAAAGGGAAAAAATTTTAGCCCCCACCCTCCTCCCCTTTGCATGGATCTCTTTCAGAAGAGGGGAATCTACCCTCTCTTCACTTTGGGTCCTCCAGGTAGCTTTACCCAGGGCCGGTGAACAGGGTAGGGTGGGATGGAGAGTGTGTGACACCAGAGCTGAAATATCAAGATTAATGCTTGATCCTCTCTTTTTCTTAATATAAAGACTAACTTAATCTTGTACTTGTATCCTGAAAAGTGTATAAAATTCGACCAATCAGAGTTGCGTTTAAGAAACCTGGAAATTTGAAATTTTGCGCGCCATTTAAGATCAATATACAGAAACGGGAGGGAATCTCTAATTTAAATAACCGGGTTTTGATTTTTCTCTACTTTATCCAAGAAAGAGTAGTTTACAAAGAAAATCAAAAGTGTGTCCATTGGATACTCAGATTAAGTTATCAGGATTAAGGATATCTCATTCTACAGTTTTCAGCTCAGTTCTCATTAGATCACTGAAATTAAGCACACTTGTCCACAACCAGTAACTGGATTGGTGTCCAGACTGGTGTTCAAGGGTTCATTTCCCGAACTCCACACACACCTGTGGTTTCAAAAACATCTGAAGCCAACATCTGGTTAAGAAGTTATGACCACCTGACGGATGTAGAAGGGAGGGGTGGCTGTCAACAACTCTTGCAGCAAAAGGGTGCGTGCTTTCTACTCAACAAGAGAGAAGCTTTAAGTGAATTGATCTAAGTGAATGATGATGAAGAGAGGAAAGGTGGACAAGCAGGGAGAGTCTGTGGCTTCCAGCTATAAGTACCTGGGGGTATCCATCTGGGCTTACAGATGTTAGGGAGCATTGAGTGTGATGTTTCCTATCAGTATGGCACCAAGGCCTCATTCCAATATATCAGAAGATTTCCTACTCTATTATTCTCAGGCCTAAGAAGCCCTTAGGCAGCTGGAATCTTGTCAACCCTCTTCTCAGTATGAATGAAGCGTGGATGGATGAATGTGCTGCCAGATTACAACCCCTGGTAGATCAACATAAAGCCCAGACAACACCAACCTTTTGCAATAGAAAAATTCTAAGATTTGATCGTAACAACCTGATCCTGTCCCTGGGGTCAAAAAATCTATTTAAAAAAATTTCTGCATACTTTTTCAGAAAGAATGAGAAGACTTTCAACAGCACAAAATTGACATTTTATTAGTGCTCAGGATGCATAAACCTAATAGGTTTCAGTAATCCTGGTCCATGATTGCGAACAGCTTTGATTGACCTTTGAAATAGGAGATTTTTAGCATGGAGTCAAATTGGGACCTCTTTACAAAATATGAACATCAAGGTATTCAAATTCAGTATTCATTAATATAATTTCTAAGCATATTTTTATGAACAGAACAATAAAAATTATTAACTGTCAAAAGTAAACAAAGAGGTTTTTGAACATTCAACATAGTTTCACACCAAACAGAAGCATCAAATGACAAAATGTTACTTTAACAACCCTCTAAAATTATTAACTTTATCCTGAAGCACCATTTTCAAGTAATTTCCAAAGATTAAAAGGGATGAAAAACACTAGTACCTGTTTTTAAGACAACATTAGTAGTATTTTGTCTAAGTATTTCACTTTATATTTCGAGTTATCCACTTTTCCCTCCCCTTTAAGGTTTGAAATTGGAATGATCTGGACATTCTTAAGTAGTTACTTAACGTGGAATTCCAGCATAGTTAAGCAACTTAACAAAATGAAATCAGGAAAAAGGTTGATTTCCATTCCATTAACCAGCAAATTTCCAGTTTCCTTTCTGTAAACCAGAAAAAAATACCAGTTTCCCTTCAGGGGTTGGGGGGTGGGGGCATGAGGGCATAATTTACATAATTTTTTTTAAGTTACACCTTCAAGCAAACCAAGGTGAAATTTTTGCGAGACAAGATTGACACTGACAGCCTGAATTTACATTACACATTAATACACGTTTGTATCCAGAATTCTGGTGAAAACCAAAGGGAAACACATTCCAGGACACACCCAGCACTGTCTCTACATTTATTTTACGAGTTTTCAACTTCTACCCTGTTCCTCCCCTTCCAGTTTCGAAATAATCCCTTAGAAACACAAAAATTTATAAAAATTTAAATTCATAAAAATTAAAGTTAATAAGTAGCAATCACTTTTTACAGCACAGCACATTACAGTGCAATGCAGTACAGTTCAGTACAGTGAGTACAATGCAGTACAGTACAGGTATTGAAACTAAAAAAATTTTGCATGTTAAAGGGGGGGGGGGGCACTTTAACCCTTGATCACCTTCTTCATTCTTGAACTTCTCTGCTGAGCCCTTGTAATCAAACTTGGCGAAGGCAAATCTCTTCTCAGGGTTCACAAACAATTCGTTAATTTCTCCATATTTCTAAACAAGAATATAATTAGAAAAAAAACTTTGGTTTCATTGCATGAAAACGTCAGTATGTTTAACTCAAGTTGGTTGCTTGATTACGATAACTTTTATTAAATATAACGCGATCAGGTCATATTAAGAAAATTAAGAAAAGGCAGATCTGTAAAGAACCTCGTTGTGGATCCCTCGACTGCCACAAGGTGTGGACTTCGTTTAATTAAACATTGCATCCCAAGTTTTATGTTTTGCTTTTTCTTAAAATTATCGTATTGCCTTAAAGTTGTTCTAGGCCAAGAACTTCTGCAATAACATTTTAAAATGTGTATAAACTTCTTCAAAAAAAAAATGTGACCGGATGTTCAAGGAGTAAAAAGAACCATTTAATTTTAATCTGGATCAAATATTATTCCTTTTTACCAACAAATCTTTCAGGCTTTTGGTCCCCTTTTTCTAATAATTCTAACTTTTAGCCGTTGCCCTCACCATTTTTTCTGCCTTCTCCAATAATAAACGTTTTTTTTTGAGATTTTTTGTTCATTTTCAAAAATTATTAACTAGAACATTTTTTTATGGGCAACATTTTTCATCTTAGACCGCCCATAAACTTCCCTGGCGTTGGGAGAATTGCCACAAAAACTTCGGGTCTCATCGATTGATCGGTTTTACGTTTACTTATACATAAAATTTATACAAAGACGATATCTTTCTTCTAAAAAACATTTTTTAAATTGAAAAAAATAAATAAAATGCCCTATTATTGAAATCTCATCATCTATGAAAAGCATTTCAAAAAATGTACAATCCATGAAAAGTCCAAACTATAAAAAGTCCCTGTCCCCTCTGTTAAATGTCTAATCCATCAAATGTCCAATGTCTAATCCATCAAATGTCCAATGTCTAATCCATCAAATTGTCCAATTCATGAAAAGTTTTATTTTTAAAAATCTCCCGTTTATGAAAGTATTATCTTTAAAAATGTCCAATCTATGAAAAGTTCCATCCTAAAAATGTCCAATCTATGAAATGTCCAATTTATGAAATATACAAGCTATGAAATGTCCAATCTATAAGTCCCATCCTAAAAGATGTCCAATCTATGAAATGTCAAATCTATGAAATGTCAAATCTATGAAATGTCTAAAACTATGAAAGTGCAATCTATGAAAAATCCCATCCTAAAAAATGGCCAATCTATGAAATGTCCAATTTATGAAATGTACAAGCTATGAAATGTTCAAGCTATGAAATGTCCAATCTACGAAATGTCCAATCTATGAAATGTCCAATCTGTGAAATGTACAATCTATGAAAAGTCTAATCTTAAAACTGTCCTCTAAGAAATGTCTTTTACCTCGCACATTTCACGTACAGATTTGTCTGTAGAGCCAGATTTCAGATTCCCAATGTAAACCTTGTTTCTGTTGGAAAACTTCTTCTCGGATAGATCTGAGCAGAAACATTGTCAACTCAAAGAGTAAAAACAAAATGGAGGGGGGAGGATTAAAATCTAGTATTGTGAACTAGTTTTATACTGACAAACAGGGTTACCCACAAAGGATAAGACTTCAAAGACGACTGTACTGAATTTATTTGGCCTTCTTTTTTACATTCATAGTTTCTTGCGACAATAATCTTGGTTCGCTTACAAATCATATAATGTTCCATTAGAAGACTATATTTAAGACTGAAAACCTAAGTCATCCTATAGATAGTTAGTTTAAAAGGTTTAGGTCGTCATTAAAGCATCATCCTTTGTGGATAACCCAGCAGTAAACAATGATCGCACAGGCCAGGTCTCCCAACCTTACTTAGCAACACTAAGCTTTGTTAAACATTTACGTTATCAAATACAATATAACTTGTTCAAATTTAAGTCATAGTAAAATGTTAACAAACGCCTTTTTTCTGAGTTTAACTTGTGATAAAAACTAAAGAAATAAAATAAATCGGAGACAATTTGCGCTTTATACTTTAAGATATATTTAAAGATATTGTTTAAGATATTGTTTAAAAAGATGTTGTTTAAAATTGTGGTTTACTTTAAAAGGTAGAGAATTAAACTAAAATAGAGTCAGAATTATAACTGTGTTAAAACATTTGTTAATGCTAGCATTGATGTTAACATTTAAGCAAAATGGATTTTTTAAGCGTTTGCTAGAAACTGCTAAAAACGGTTGAAGACCTTTAAGCTTTTTAGTGTGCACGAGCAGAATGTAAATATAGAGGAGGGAGGGGAAATAATATTCTGAAGATATAAATATAAAATGTTAATTGATTAATTGGTTGATTACCTATTGGGGGAAGATTGTAAGTGGGTCCAACCATATCCTTCATTTTGAAATCATAGATTGCACCAGCTCCACCCCCATAATTGAAATTTTGAAAAAAAAATATTCTCTACCTCGAATTAAATTGATTGAATCCACATTTCCTAGGCTCCATATCTTCCCGTCGACTAAATATTCCATCGTCTGCCATTTTGTCTGAAAAAAGGAGATCGTTTATTACAGGACGCAGGTCTTAAAACGGAATAATCTATGAAAAAAAATCCGCAATCTAAAAGTATTTTTCTGGTGGATTTCTTTGCATTCTTGATGCAGCAGGATTTATCTTCTGTCTCCGCCGAACCCTCCTCGGTTTCCGAATCCTCCGCCTCCTCTGCTTCCTCCAAATCCCCCTCGACTACCTCCTCTATCACCACCAGGGCCTCCACGTCCACGTCCCCGTCCTCCTGCTCCAGCTTGAGCTCCAAGGATTGCGGATTTTCCTCTAGTTCCGCCACCACCCCGGCCCCTGGTGGCCATGTTCTTAAGCATGGGAGCATTCTTCAACATGTCCGGGAGAATCATGAATCTGACTTTAGATCCTCGGATATAAATATGCTCTAACTGAGCAACACGTCCATCCCTAAATAAAACCAATAAATTTTATAATAAAAACAAATTTTAATGCCCCACTCTAGAAGTGTCCGTTTTGGTTACCCTTGTTATTCGGTCAACATTTATCTGAAAACATGTCATTTTTTAATTTGTTTTTGTTGTTTTCCCCTATCCTCCCCCCACCCCAAATATATGTTTTACTTTGTTTAGAGAACTAATAAATTATAGATTAAGAAAATAAAACAGATAGTTTTAAAGCTTCCAAAGTCAGTCCCTTCTTTTCGCTTAAACTTTGAAAACATCTAAACCCTAATATGACAAATTTAAAAAATAAGTCTTTAAATATTGAATAGTCAATTTTTAGTTTAAAAAAATTCTTTTTCTTCAACGGAGACACAAAAAAGTTTCTAGGCCGGGATCAAACAAAACAGAATGAATTCAGGATTAAAGTTAAATGGATCTTAAATCCTTGAAATGAAATGGATTCTATATCCTTGAAATGAAATGGATTCTACAGAGCGTCCCATATCATATTAGATTGCCTCCAATCTATAACACCAAAATAAACCCTTAATACTCGAAAAACTTATCATTTTCCGCAAGAAAATTCGATTATATAAGCCTTATGTTATTTTTCAAAATGATTCATTCTAATGAAATTTTCTAATTAGTCCCGAAAATCGTAATTTAGAACCGTTCTCGGTCTAATATGATGTGGGACACCCTGTATATCCGGAAAATGATAAGAATCCTATTCCTGAAAATGATAAGGATCCTATTCCTGAAAATGATAAGAATCCTATTCCTGAAAATGATCAGAATCCTATTCCTGAAAATGATAAGAATCCTATTCCTGAAAATGATAAGGATCCTGTTCCTGAAAATGATAAGGATCCTATTTCTGAAAATGATACGGATCCTATTCCTAAAATTGAAATAGATTCATATGTCATTTTATCTTTAAAATAAAATGGGTCAATAATCTGGAAAATTAATTTAATCCAATATTCGGAAAATGATATGGATCCTATATCCGGAAAATGAGATGGATCCTATACCCGGAAAATGAAATGGATCCTATATTCGGAAAATGAGATGGATCCTATATCCGGAAAATGAGATGGATCCTATACCCGGAAAATGAGATGGATCCTATATCCGAAAAATGAGATGGATCTTAAATCCGAAAAATGAGATGGATCCTACATCCGGAAAATGAGATGGATCTTAAATCCGAAAAATGAGATGGATCCTATATCTGGAAAATGAGATGGATCTTAAATCCGAAAAATGGTATAGATCCTATATCCGGAAAATGAGATGGATCCTATAGCCGGAAAATGAGATGGATCCTATATCCGGAAAATGAGATGGATCCTATATCCGGCAAATGAGATGGATCCTATATCCGGAAAATGAGATGGATCCTATATCCGGCAAATGAGATGGATCCTATATCCAGAAAATGAAATGGATCTTATATCCGGAAAATGAGATGTACCCTATATCCGTAAAATATCTGGAAAATGAAATGGGTCCAACTCCTATATCCTTAAAATGAGATTGATTCTATTTCCTGAAAATGAGATGGATTCTATATCCTGAAAATGAGATGGATTCTATATCCTGAAAATGAGATGAATTCTATATCCGGAAAATGAGATGGATTCTATATCCTGAAAATGAGATGGATCCTGAAGGGTGTCCCACGAAACATGACAATAGCAAGACTATTTGAAAGTCGTTTTTGGTATATGAATTTATTGCAGACATTCACTCGGCTACCTTCGTGCACATATTTGATTGTTGAAACAATAACCACAAAATTCTCCTAGTCCTGTGATTTCAAAAATGTTGTCTGCCATTTTTGTGCTGTCAATATTACTGGAGATATTAAAAATTTCGTTCCAATTTCAATTTTATTAAATAAAACAAAAAATTGTCGACATCTGAAATGAAATTTTTTTTTCATATCTCCGGTAATATTGAAAGCACAAACAATTAGGTTTATGAATAAATACCATAAATTAATTAAAGATCAGAGACGACCTTCGTCTGGCTACTGCCATGTTTCGTGGGACACCCTGTTTATCCTGAAACTGAAAAATCCTACCTAAAAGTGACAGTGACACTTGCCATTTGACTGTTCATGTTGTCTTCAGCTTCAATAAGTTTCCCTCTGTACACCTCGCCTTAAACATTTAAATATTTGAAACAATAATTAATGAAACAGTTTTTAACTATTGCTTAGGATCCGGGTCAGTTGGATCCGCAACATTTTAGCTTCTTGGATCCGGATCCGCAATAATATGAAGATTTACGGATCCAGATCCAAGGGGCAAAGTATCATTCAAAAACTGTGAAAAAAACTATCTGCTCTAGAAACTCAAAACTAGATTCGTTGCAGCTACTGTATTCCTTGAGTTCTAAGCTTTTGTTTGATATGCATAAAGCCATAGATAAAACATTTTCTATTTGTTAAGGTCATTACAGGTCATTAAAGGTCAATAAAATACAATTTNGGATCCTAAAAAATGTGAGAGTCTTTCTATTCCATAATTGCATCAATCTTACGGCAAACTATCCAGAAAATATATGTATTATGTATGCAGGGCCTCTCAAATTAACGTCCAAATAGATTTCACAGTAAGAATATTTAATTTAATTCTAGAAAGCCCAGAATATTTTGAAAAACTTGAGAATTTTTAGATTAAAATAGGCTCCGTCCCAACGTTCACAACACGGTACCCTTAATTGAAACCTTTCGCTGATAAAAAATGTCGTCCTTTCCTTTTTTATTTCTTGCGGAAAAGAAACTGGCAAGTTATATTTTTCAATTGGAAATCCAATTTATTCTTGATCAGACATAGTTTTACAAGGGGCCGTTGTGCATCGGAAATACAACTCTATGAATTAAGAGTAACTTAAAATTACGTCTGTTGCCCTTTTAGACACTTTACGTGTTGCGTTTAGGAGACAAAATTTCGGTAAAAACTTAAGTCCATCTTATTCAAATAAGTTAAAAAAAATTCTATAAAAAATTGTTCTTTTAACCTGTGGTGGTTTCAATTGTGACAATATGACCTTCAGCTTCATGAAGAACCTTCAAGGGAACTCCGATAACACTCATGGTTTAATTCTGAAAATTTGTATTGTTAAAATTCCATTTTAAATTTAGATTCAAAGATAAAGTTTAGGTCGCTTTGAAAATTGGGTTGTTAACATTAAATAAATAATATTTTGTATTATTCCAGGGTTAGGTTAGGGGTCTGACCTAAAGAACGATTTCTGCCCCCCCCCCCCCTTCCCCCTCGCTGCGGCTAGGAAAGACAAGGGGGCCGAGCGCCACCGCTAAGACAGGTTAGGAGGCCGGGCGCTGCGGCTCCATGAACTATTTTACCCATGCAGTGTTACATTTGAGAACCATGTACAAGATTGATCGGAGTGGGGAGGGGGGGGGGCGGAAATTGTTCGGTATATTCCTCGAGAACGATTTTTAATTAATTTCTAATTATTTTAGGGATAGGTAGGACAATTTCTTTAAATCTTTAATAGACCTATACCGAAAACAAGATGTTAAAATAATCAAGCGTGTAATGTTAACGGAAAATGATGTTAGCCGAGAGCCTCCGGCTGGCTAGGGGGCGAACGATATACCCACATGTATTGAACGTATCTGGTTTAAATCTTAATTCTTTATCTAAATACACAAAATTAAAACGTACACGGCCCTTGCTTTGAATTCATAACAATGAGGATAGTTTGGCTCGGCGATTTAAGGGAATGAGTTGCGGGATTCTGCATTAACAAGCAATCGTCTTTTCTACAAATGTCGTCTTCTAATGAAACATTATCCGGATGCTTATATCGTTTGGACTAATGGCCGATTGAACTATAACGTACTTTTGCACTAAAGTCAGCTGATCAGTAACCGGTTTTTAGTACGATCTAACATTAGTGCAAATAAACAAAAATCTGGTTTTCTGTGTTCAATTGGACTAAAATTTTATTTTCCCGCCAGGCCGGAATATTTCATTTTCGCGCCAGGAATTATATTTTAGTACAAATGATATCATTAGTGCAATTGATCTGGAATACTAAAAATATTTGTTCAATTTCGCACTAATTTTTTTCTGTAAATATTAGTGTAATTGAACGTTAGTTTAATGAACATCATCAACAAAATTCTGTTCATAACAGTATAAATTTTTTTTCTGTAAATATATTAGTGCAATTGAACGTTAGTGCAAATGAACATGTCAAAAAAAAAAAAAATCAAACGGACTAATTTTTTTCTGAAAATATTAGTGCATGATCATGAATGTTATTGTTAGTGCAAATGAACATCGGATCCAACTTAAAGAACTTGTTCAAACGGACTATTTTTTTTCTAAAAATATTAGTGCAATTGAACGTTAGTGCAAATGAAAATGTCCAAAAAAAAATTTTTCAAAATATGGACTAATTTTTTTTTCTGGAAACATTTATAGTGCAATTATAAATTGTTAATTTAAGGGTAATTGGTGAAATTTTAGATTTTAGTTCGATTGAACATATTTTTGTTCATTTGCACTAAAATATGTTCATTTGTACTAATAATATTTTATGGGCATGGTAACATTTTAGATTTTAGTTTGATTGAACATTTTTTTGTTCATTTGCACTAAAATATGTTCCTTTGTACTATAATAATATTTCATAGGCAAATGGTAAAATTTTAGATTTTAGTTCGATTGAACATATTTTTGTTCATAATCATATGTACTAAAATATGTTCATTAATGCACTAATAATATTTTATGGGCAAATGGTGAAATTTTAGATTTTAGTTCGATTGAACATATTTTTGTTCATTTGCACTAAAATATGTTCATTTGTACTCATCGATTTTACCGGAACTTTTAGCTTTAGTTCAATCAAACATTTTTTGTTCATTCCCACTACAATGTTCAATGGAACTAATTAATTAAATGAACAGAATTCTGCTAAAATTTTAAAAAATAGTTCTCCACGTGCTCGAAAAACCTTCCACGTGGTTTTAGTTTGATTGAACAATTAGTTGTTCAGTCGCACTAAACGTTAGTCCGAATGAACGTTAGTTCGAATGTACGTTAGTCCGATCAATCATTAGTGCAAACGATACGACACCATTATCCGAACTACGTCAGTTTTTCACAACTTGTCGTTTCAAATAAAAAATATTTGACCAATTGGTTAAAAATGTCTTTATCTGCAAATTATAACCATACAACAGTAGGGAGCATAAAACTCTTGAATAGAATGAGGACTGTAAGACTCAAGTTGTGAGTTTGAATATACTATACAGTATCTATATAATAATGTACACACTACACACAGCAAGTGCAGCAGTATGTGCAGTGTGAACGGGCCAATAAAAAACACAGAAAATTGCTTACATGTTGTTTTCCTAGTTCACAATTTTATGGGTCTCACCGTAATTGTAAGACTGTCAAATGTCAATCAGCATAGATCTAATTCTAGTCGGTTCAGATTGAATTAAAATTAAGTAAATCATGTTTTTGGTTTTATCCCTTTCTTGAAGAAGACAAACTACCAAATCTATTTAGCACTATCAATTGTTTTTAACGTCTGTGCTTTTTATCATTCATTTATTTCAATCTATTACTCATCTATCTATCTATCTATCTATCTATCTATCTATCTATCTATCTATCTATCTATCTATCTATCTATCTATCTATCTATCTATCTATCTATCTATCTATCTAGTTATACTAAATACTCTCTCCTATATTTTCTGGCCTGGCTTCCAGCAGCCTCCAAATTCATGATCTCTTAGTTTCCCAAGGTTTGTACAGTGTACACAAACCTCCCCGTACACTGTGGGTCATTGCATGATAATCATTCATTGTACTGCAGTACTGTACAATTCCAACAGCAGTACGATTGAACAAGAATTGGCGGATAAACAGGAGATAAATGGTAACTAATGTTACAAAAGATAAAGAAAGTCATGTGTGTTTCTTTTATTTATGAATTTTGGTTAGGTGAAACGGGCCGGTGTTGCCCGTGGAATTAAAAAAGTCTAATTCTAAAGAAAAAGATTATTGCATCAAAAATGTCCGCCAATTCGGTACAGCCGTTTGGTCAGCAATGGCTAACATATACTGCAAGGGTGAAAGATTTTTCATTCATTTTTTTTCTTCTCAAATTATGTCGTTTTGGGAATCAAAAGATTTGTCAACGGAAAAAAAAGTTCTACAAAATAATGAAAAATATTCAAGTTGGAGCTGAATAACTAGGGAAAACAGCTGATTTTGTGAGTAACCTAATTTTTTCCACTTTAATGCTCCAGAATCATGTTTTTGAATATTTTTACAAACCGTTTGCTGCGTTGAATTATGCTTTACAAGACGGATCTTTTAATAATCAAATCAACTTAATTTAAAAAAAATTTAAAAATCACTTGTATTACCGGTTTTTCGGCCACAAATAGACATTTGCCATGGTCAGTTTTTTTAATAGGATTTTAAATTTTCGTTCAATCTATTTTGTGAAAATTTGTTCAGCCACAGAAATGGGAACGAAAACAAAAACGAAAATTTTGTTCACCAAATTCTTAACAAATTTCGCTAATTTTGAAGTTCAAGTTAGAAATGTATGGCTGTCACTTGTCAGTTTTGTTCAGATGGCTGTAACTATTTTTATTGTTGATGCTTGAATTAAAAATAGTATTTAGTTTTATTTGCAAAAAACAAAACAATTTAAAGTCAATATCTTGAACAAATCTTTGAACTCTTTGGTTGAAAAACCACTTTTCTAACAAAAAGTTTTTGAAAAGAGAACAAAAACAACTAGCACACAATTGATCAAATACATTATAATTTAGTTTGTTTATGATAAATACTTTTTAGTTGTACAAACATATAAAATGTACTACAATGATGGTATCCAAGCCGCCACTTTATCTTTGTATCAAATAAATCAACGAAAACTTTCTGTTTCATTGATAAATTTTCCATGAAATTTCCACAAATAATTTCAACCTAAACCCTGATGTGAGTAACCACAACTTTAAGTTTTGGTGTTTATTGTAAACAAAAAAAACAGACTATCCCCTTCATATGAAAATTAAACATTTGCTGTCAAATTTTTTAAATTGGCACCAAAATAATTTGTTACAAAAAATCACATATGTTTTTGCAGCAAATGTGGCTGGAGCAACTTTGCCGCGGATTATTCTTTACATCTTTCATGCAATCTTAATTACCTGTTAACCGTAAGTATTTGCTTTTAGTTAATAAATGTTGGGGAAACATTTAAAACGATCTTATCTTTTACATTGTTAAACTGTTACAAGATCTATTCAGATAAGTAAACAAGGGGAGGGGGATTATAGGGGATTATCCCACCTCAGTAAAATNTAGAAATTTGATGTTTCAGACAGAAAGCATTAAGCAAGTGGTCAGGACATAATATTACCTGGGAGGCTTTATATTACGCCACACCGTGTACAGATGCCGTTCTACATGCCAACAAGCGGTACAAGGAAATTAACTACAATTAAGACTTCGTATGGTTGCCCAAAGGTTAGATTAAATAAATATTAGTGCTCTTTTATCATATTCACAACTTATTTCAATTGTATGGAAAATATATGTTTTACACCTTACTAATGTAAAATTGTTGAATTGCATATTTTATTCGGATTTTTTTTCGGAAATGAAATCAGCTGTTGCCAATATTATGAAATGTTAAACAATATATTTTAAACCATGAATTAAGATAAAATCAGATCACATTTAAACAACGTTGTACAGAAATAGGAACTACAAAATCAAAGTTTGAGACATGTATTTCGTTTTTTTGGCTTCCCTTAAACATGCCGACAAATGAATAAATCATCAATTATGTACATTGTACAGTGGTTTGATGCTGTGTACAACGCTGATCTGGAGTACATAAAGAAACATTCAAAAAATGTACATAAGGTAATCATTTCATACATAAAAAGTGAGAAAAAATTTCCTAACACATCTACAGCCGTCGTTTGACATCGCTTGTTTGTTTGTTTAAAAAATTCAAAGTTTTTAGCATAGACAGGGATCCTAAAAAATGTGAGAGTCTTTCTATTCCATAATTGCATCAATCTTACGGCAAACTATCCAGAATATTTTCCTTGTATTATCAAATTTACCAGAGCTAAAAATTTTAGAATTATGGATATCGAGATCAATGCTTTAATACTCGCAAGATTACAGCTTAAATGTTAGATTACCCGGATAGCCAATCAATTTGAAATGTTAATGAGAGACTCTTATCGGTCGGAATCTAGGATATTCAAAAAAAGAAGAGCGGATTAAGCATGAAATTAAAATTGTCAACATTGGATATTCAGATTAAGCGATCGAGATTAAGGGTATACAATTTTAAAGTTCCCAGTCAGAGATCGAACTTTTGTTTGTATCTTTATAATCTTGAATGCTTAATCTCTATACACTATGTGGGATCTTCTAAATTTGTAAATCAATCCTTGAACCCTAAATTAGAGTTTTAAGGGACAAAAGTTCTTTTAACAATACAATTCCTAGACCTATCTGTGTGCTTGAAAATGTTTGATGAATCATGGATAAATGTTTGATGAATCATGGATAAATGTTTGATGAATCATGGATAAATGTTTAATGAATCATGGACAAATGTTTAGATGATGAATCATGGATAAATGTTTAGATGATGAATCAATCATATAAACATTAAACTCCGTTATAAACAGTTTTTCTCAAATTCTAGTCAAAATATGTGTTCTAAAATTACTAAAAACCAAAAGAAAGAAATATTCATATTCCTTTTACAAATAATTCAAAGTATCAAATTCTATTTTTTTGTCATTTAAAACATGCTTTCTAAAAAACATAATTTTCTTAATAAGATATAAACAAGAAATAAAGATTAGATAAGTTAATCATTTATTTTATAAAGAAAATGTAAAAAAGAAATATTAAGAAAAGTAATAAATTTTACTTTAAGAAAAATAATAGAAATAATCTTTAAATCTTCCCTAATCTCTCATAAATAATCCATTGTATTAATTTCTATTTTTAGTTTTTATTCATCTAGTTGGCATTGCATGTATCCAATCAAGAAGATTAATTTTATCAAGAAAATGTTTATGTGTTCCGTACGTCCGAATTTGTTATCTTTATGTATTAGATATACTTCTAGTTGTGTGTTTTAATTCAATAAATGTTGAATTGAATATTTATGAAAAATGGAGCGCGAAGCTCTCTTAAAGGCTTAATTTTATAAACTTTATGCATCATTCTGTTAAATAGCTGGCAATATATAATAAATATTTTTTTTTATATACTTATCATTATATATAATATATTTAAAAGAAAGATGACCTGGAATATACTGAACTGCATAACACTGCTGAAAAGCTGGCAATATATTCCTATATATTTATATATTATATATTGTAGAAAGATGACCTGGGATATACTGCTCTGCATCATGCTGCTATAGCTGGAAATGTAGATGTTGTTTCTCTTCTCCTTGAACAAGGAGAAGCCGTAGATGCTAAAGGGCAGGACGGAGCAACACCTCTAAGGTGAAACTTTAAAGACTGCAAAAAGTATACTTTATCATATTTGTTTCCGTAAAACATTGTAGAACGGTTGTTTAACCAATCAGAGGCGAAAAATAACAAATTAAGTTTATGAAAAAAAATCAGTGATCGCCAATTCTATCAATTGAATTTTACCAGCAAATAAAAATCCTTAAGCCAAATCAAAGAATAAGAAAGAAATATGTTAACTTGTTTAAACATATTTAATAGGTCGACCACAGTGATGAGTTTATTGCAGACAGTAAATTTATTATAAATCTCTTATAAAAATAATGTATAACAATGTTTTAAAAANGATATTTAAGAAAAACTGCAGAACTATTTAAATACTAAATATTTTCTTTAAATTTTTTATTGATTACTTCTGTAATATCTATTCTAATGTTTAGGTGGTAGCGCCAGGTAATTATTGATACTCATCAGCGAACATTGAGACTTGGAGACAATTTTGTGGGGCTCATGGCGGCCCTACACCCTTGTCTAACCTTACGTATCTAGATGTGCTGTACAAGAGGGCCATACACGAGTGGTTGCTGTTCTTCTCTCAAGAGGGGGCAGTGTTCAAGATAAGGTAGTTTTGGAGTGATAAAGAATTCATAGAATGTCGTCGTACATTTCATTTTACTTTTTGGTTAACAACTTTACTACGCGAAGTGATTTAACGGTATTGTAAAGTCAATAAAGCCCTCCTGAGGTCAGGGAATTAAAATTATTTCCAAAATGTTGTTTGACCCTTTTATTATTTGAAATAAGGAAGCAGGAAAAAAATCGCCCAAAAAAACACATTAATTTTTTGTTGATTGATAGGATCAATAGTAAGGCCGGATATATGGGAAATTTTTGTAGTTAAATAAAATATGTACACGTAAGGATGCGCGGAGCGCGCTGGAATTCTAGAAGTTTAAACAAAAGCATATTGTAGGATGAAGATGAGTTGACTCTACTACACTGTGCGGCTGATGCAGGTCAATCTTTATTACTGTGTCTACATCGTGTGCACTTTTAGAATTTAAAATTATAATGTTTAAAATGCACTTTGTCCCATACAACATTTAACATTTGTTGAGTACTTAAAAACATATCCACTTTTGTAATATTAAAAAATGATATATATTTCTAAATGTAAAATACATTTTTGAAATAAAGTTCTACAATTATTCATTAACTGTTAAGCTTAAACGATGTTTGATATCTTTCAAATGGCAATTTCCCAAATCTTAATTTTTCTCTGCGACATTTTTTTGCATTTTCCCAAAATTATAATTATTATTATTAATTATAGGATGTCAGGTCAATTGAATTGCATTGTAAGATTGTTTAGAATTTCTATTTACGATCTGATGTGAGTGAGACTATTGTTTCAAATTTCTATTTACGATCTGATGTGAGTGAGACTATTGTTTCAAATTTCTATTTACGATCTGATGTGAGTGAGACTATGGTGAAGTGCAATAACTGATGTTTTAAGGTTTTTCCACTTTTAAGTGTTGAAAAAAATCGAAAAAGTTTAATAAATTCTAAATTGCTTATTTCAAACGTTTTCTTACCTGACTCACTAGACTAAATTTGACCCTGAGAGAGGATCCGATATATGCAAAATATGAACCAAAAATGATCGTCTTTTAAAGTTTTGCTCTATATTTTCTCTCAGGAGACAGAAGATAGTTTTGAAATGTTGGAACCTTCACAAGTTCACAGTATTTGTGGGGTGCTATTTAAAATTTTAAAAACATTAAAAAAGTCCTTGAAAAACAAACCATCAATATTAATTTCAGGTCATGAGCCGATAGCTCGTCTTCTTCTCAGCACTGCACCCCATCTGGCCAACCTTCAGTCTAGGTATACAAACTGATAATATAGTACAAACAAACTGTACGTTACAGAGCAAACTGTAGAGTACAGAACAGACTGTACACTACAGTACAAACTGAACAGTACAGTGCAAACTGTACATTACAGTGCAAACTTTACATTACAATACAGACTGTTCCGTACAGTAACAATTGTACAGTTTTCCATACAGTACACATTGTACAGTACACCACAAGTTGCACAGTACAGTACGGACTCTATAGTACCATACAAACTGTACAGTTCAATACACACTGTACAATACATTAAAAGATGTACATATACGGTTCCAACTTTTATGTACACGGAGAATTTTTCTTTTCTATTACTTTCTTTCTCCCACATCGTTTTCACAACTCTCCAGTTAAAAAACATTGCCAATGATTTCCCAAATTTAACTACAGGGTTACACACAAACAATGGACAAGACACTTCAGGACGACTGTATGAAATTTTAAAGTCTTTTTCTTTTTTCATGGTTCGCTAAAGCTTTACACGGTACACCAAGTGGGGGAAGGCAGGCGGCAATAAGCCACCAAATTTTCCCCTTCCATGCCACATATTATGTTTTTTGTCTTCCGGCAGCCATGAGCCACAACCGTACGGTCTTCCATGCTACTGTATTTGAGTCTTCCTGCAGTTATTTAATTTTTATTATAAAGTTTATTAAAGATCAATTAGTTGTGTGTTCAGTTTATAAACTGCTTTACATTATACAAAGAAAATTTCACATCATTTTACGCTTTACGGGCACCGAGACAAATTGTTTGGGGTAGTCTAAAGAATAAGAAAAGATGAGAAAAATCACAATATTTACTATCATTACCTGAGCCTTACAGATCTTCTCAAAAAAGAAATTCTATTTTGAAATTTTCTCGTAAAATAGTGCAAATTTTCGGTTTGGGCGCCCTTTTAACTATGTGTATATTATGATGCATCATTTTTATTGTTCATAATGTTTGCAAAAATAAGCCATTGAATAATTAAATTTATTTTTGGGGAAAATAAGTTTAGCAGTTTACATTAAAAGAAATCGTCATTATTTCAATTTAAAACTTAAATATAAAGTTCTTTATATACAGGGTGTCCCACGAAACATGACAATAGTTAAAATTAGGTTGACAAATAAACACAGCAAATTATATCAAAAATCAAGACGACATTCAAGTCCTCTTACATACTGTCATGTTTCGTGGGACACCCTGTATATCTTTTGCATGACGCCGCTGGATTTTTGAAAATCACAATTTCAATGCACTAAAATTATTGTTTAAAACATAATAACTGCCAGAAGACTCAAATGATGTGGCATGAAAGAATGTACGGTTGTGGCTCAAGGCTGCCAGAAGACGAAAAAGGTAATATGTGGCATGGAAGGGAAAAATGTTGTGGTTTATGGCCGCCTGCCTTCCCTCGCTCATACACCTGACTATTTCATTCCGAAATGAATTAAAACGTCGTTTATAGACTGTATTAAAGGCAGAAATTTAAATTCAAATCGTTGTATTTAAAAAGTTTTAGGTCGTCATTTAATCCCATCGTATCCCTGTATATATGATATGTGCTCTTTTCGACATCGATAAAATTAGGGGTAACCAAAAAATTAATTGAACTTTTACATTTAATTACTAAACACATTTTAGATCTGGTTGGACACCTCTTCATAGTGCTGCAGTTATGGGTCATCCTCATATAGTCAATCTTCTTCTAGAATACAGTGGAAATATAAGGTTAAATCTTCTCCTAGAATACAGTGGAAATATAAGGTTAAATCTTCTTCTAGAATACAGTGGAAATATAAGGTTAAATCTTCTCCTAGAATACAGTGGAAATATAAGGTTAAATCTTCTTCTAGAATACAGTGGAAATATAAGGTTAAATCTTCTCCTAGAATACAGTGGAAATATAAGGTTAAATCTTCTTCTAGAATACAGTGGAAATATAAGGTTAAATCTTCTCCTAGAATACAGTGGAAATATAAGGTTAAATCTTCTTCTAGAATACAGTGGAAATATAAGGTTAAATCTTCTCCTAGAATACAGTGGAAATATAAGGTTAAATCTTCTTCTAGAATACAGTGGAAATATAAGGTTAAATCTTCTCCTAGAATACAGTGGAAATATAAGGTTAAATCTTCTTCTAGAATACAGTGGAAATATAAGGTTAAATCTTCTCCTAGAATACAGTGGAAATATAAGGTTAAATCTTCTTCTAGAATACAGTGGAAATATAAGGTTAAATCTTCTCCTAGAATACAGTGGAAATATAAGGTTAAATCTTCTCCTAGAATACAGTGGAAATATAAGGTTAAATCTTCTTCTAGAATACAGTGGAAATATAAGGTTAAATCTTCTCCTAGAATACAGTGGAAACATAAGGTTAAAATATTCTTCTAGAATACATTGGAAATATAAGGTTAAATCTTTTTCTAGTATACAGTGGAAATATAAGGTTAAATATTCTTCTAGAATACTGTGAAAATATAAGGTTAAATATTCTTCTAGTATACAGTTGAAATATAAGGTTAAATCTACTCCTAGAATACAGAGGAAATACAAGGGTATAGGGAGTGACCGGCTATGTAAGGTAGTTGAACTGAGTATGCAGTGTTGTTGAAAGCTTCTTTCTGATTCATTTGAGACATTTAAAATTTTTAAAGATCTGTATATCATGTATGTCAATAAATCAATGCTAGAAATAATTATTTCGTTTTCATCATTAAATTGAATTTCTTATTTTCTTTGAATTTATTCGCAGATTTCTTGAAATTCTTCAAATGTCGTCTTTTCAATAATAATTCAAGAAAATCTGCAGAAAATCTTTGCGAATAATGAGAAAATAGAAACTAATAATTGAACAAGCTTACTTATTTTCAATGATAAGATTAATTTTTATTTTCTCAACATATCCCTATACATGTCGTCTGTAGTCTATTGTAGAACTTTTACACTTTATGTCGTCGTTATTTAATAATAAATAAAAATAATAAAAAAAAGATGATTCTGAAAACGTATCCACCCCCAAATTAGGAGTTTTGAACTTCGAATTTGCGCTCAAACTCAGGATTCACGGATCTTTAAAAAGTTTAATATGTCTCAAATGATTCTGAAAGAAGTTTTCCACAACACTGCAGTTCCAGTTCAACTAACTTACATAGGCGGTCACTCCCTTTAAATCTTCTTCTAGTATACAGTGGAAATATAAGGTTAAAAATAAAATTAAAAAATTTAGATATAAAAACAAGTAAATTTTCACCATTATTGCTCAAACGAAGGTGCATTTTTTTTTTATCAAGTAAAGCTTTAAAGGGTAATGTTATGCATCTGAATTGCCACTCTACCATCGTCTACAGTTTTTTCATCACCAAATATAATTAGTTTTTAATCAGAAAATATTTGTATTTATTAATCCAATAAAAGTGCCGAAACTTAAAAATAATTTTCTTGCTGAAAAAAAGAAAAAATAGAAAAACTAAATGATTCTGGTAGATCTTAATAAACTTTATATTGTATGTTTGAGTGACCCTCCATTTCAAAAGGGGAATGCCCGATTTAATACGGTACCATTTAAACCTTTATCTGATCAACAATTTCAAGATATCGTCGTGTTTCTAGCTTACAAAAAATGTTACTTTTCTGACAACTTTAATAAAAGTTTTGTAGCAAAATCCGTAGGTCATTTTTACAAAGAAAACGCAATTGAAAACAATCAAAAATTAATGAATTACATCGCGGAAATTTCCTTAATATTAATTTTAAAAAAAAACAATAAAAAAGCAATTAAGGCCGGTTACTGTTTCTAATCTCACATGCCACAGTTTAGGTGGATATCACTTGAAATTCCGTTTACAGTCCCTTTAAACTTCCATTGACTAGGTTGTTGAACAACCAAGGGAAGACCTGCCTAGATATAGCCAAGGATCGGAATAAGACTGAAGTGATCCAGATCCTAGAACGATGGGATCACCAATCTCAAGTCCGATCCAGTTCTATGGATCAAACGGAATCCAGTATTCACCAATCTCAGGCTCAATACTCGGGTTCTAGTTCGAGGGACGAATTATCTTTAAAAAATAGATTCACGCCTTTTTTACAATTTGAGATTAATTTCACACTGTTTTTTCGCGGCCCTAAAGTGACATCCTTTACTCTTTATGCCTTATTAGGGCAGTTTAAAGTGCCTAAAAAGAATCAAAGACTTTAGTAATTAATTTCCCTAAGAAGTAATTTGTTTCGGGATTATACAGTGGAGTGATCCCTCTTTTTGTAGAAGATATTTCTGCCTTAAAACATACTTTTAAATTACTTAATTAGATACTATAAAACCTTCCATTTGAGAATTTTTTAACAAAAGTACGAGGTATTTATATTTCTGTGTTTACTTTGAGCATTTTTATCGCCTGGGGACGTGTTTTCTTTCTCCCTTTTAACTCTTGAAATCCTAAAACATATTTGAAAAGATTAATTCTAAGTGAGAGAGATGAAAACAGTTTAGAGCTTCTGTCACAACCAATGCCTTCCAAGGAATCTAAAGGTGAGTAATCCACAACCAATGCCTTCCAAGGAATCCAAAGGTGAGTAATCTCCAATTAAAACGAGATCTGGGCAATCCATTCGTTTATAAACTAACGGAACGAACGACACGCTAATCAATTAGTCGTTCGTTTTTTACCTTTTAACTATTTTTCTGTTCGTTACTGAACTTGTCGTTCGTGAAACTTTCAATCTTTAAACAAATATCAGCTGTCCTCACCCGGTCACTGTAAATAAGTTTGTTAACAAAAGTTGAACTTCTATCTTATGAATAATTATTGGGGTCTGATCTAAGAGAATATTTATGGTTTCATGTCTTTCATGCAATTTCAATCATAAAAATTAACAAATATGTAATTATTCTTTAAAAGCAACCGTTCTTTTTTTTAAATTTTCCTTTAGTTTTGTCAAATTTTTTGTTATTTTATTAAATATTCCTTTAGTTTTATCAAATTATCCATTAGTTTTGTCAAATTTTCCTTTCGTTTTATCAAGTTTTCCGTTGGTTTGATAAAATTGTACGTTAGTTTATCCAATATTTTCCGATAGATTTATCAAATTTTAGTTAGTTTTTTTTCAAATTTCCCGGTTCATTTCCTTCGTTAACAATTCGAAAAAAGTCTTGGTAAATTTCTAAAAAATATTCCATTTTTTAGAATCACTACGACGAAGTTTAGTGCGTCGCGTGCTTGAATGCCCTGTTTGTTTAGAAGTTATGATAAATAAAAAAATCCTCCAGGTACAATTTGAAAATAATTGTAAAAGAACTGAACTCTCACATTATATATTAATTTTATAATCCTTATATCTTTAAAACTTGATATTGTAGATGTTTGATATTTAAAACTATGGTTTCTTTCAGATTAAATAGTCAAAGTTTGAAATATCAAAGGTTTAAATAACCATAGGTCGAAAGGCAAAGGGATATGAAAATTAGAGTTGTTATCATCTGTACAAATAGAGGGAGAGGAGAAAGGTCACAAAATGCATCATTTAAGAAAAAGTTTCACTAAAAAGTTGGTTTTTGACATCAGCATTTCAAAAATTATTTTAGCAAAATGGGATGTATATATTTACAAAAAAAATATTGCTAGTTTTGTTTAATAAATTGTTCGAAAGACACATTTTTTATAACAGTTCAAACATTAAAAGTAAATTTTCATCTGATAAATCTAATCCCTGAATTGATCAGTGCAAGAATGGTCACAACGTGTGCGACAGCTGTAGGTTCCAGTTATTAACATGTCCGCAGTGCAGGTCTTTTTACAATTTTCAATTTTATCTAATTTTCATAAAAGTTTTCTTGGATATGATTAATTTGCATTTTCACTGTTAAGTAATGGCTCTATTACGTAATATACTACTACAATAAAGTACATCCTGTCTGAATTGAGATATTTTTAATTCAAAATCTGTCAAGAATAGCGTAAACGGATTTATTTACTCAAATTTTGAAATTATAAAAACCTGAGTCCTAATTTAATGAATTTGAGCCTCGTCCTAAATCCGCCAAAAACCGATTTCAATTGAGCGCCGGCTTGAATCTTGAAACATTGAATACAATTTTAAGTGAAACCAAAACCATATTTGAGCCACAGCTCAAATTATTTAAATTCAGCATAGAAGTATAACAAATAAGAAAAATGTTCATTGCACGGGTGAATTGGGTTCCAAAGTTAAGGCTTACTGACTATTAACCAGGACACCTAATGTACCGTGCTTGTCTGTTCTGTTTAGTTATCCAATAAACGTAAAATCGGGCCAAATTTTTCAGCATAGGTGGTTTATATAGATAGGTCGAAGCAAGAAATGTTGCCTTACAAAAATACGTATTTCTGAATTTTTTTATATTTATAAACGAAAAAGCAAAAAAAAATCTGCATTATCTTAAAATGCTATTTTATTATAAATCAGAATATATTATATTATTAGAAAATATAGACCCTGTAATTTTGTGCATAAAAATTCAAACAATATTTTTCTTTTTTTGGTATCCTTACATGTACATTATTTATGTTCAGAGTTGAATATTCGGAAATGGAGGTTCGGAACCGAGGCTTGGAAGAACTGGCAAACTCAAAATAAATCCGACAAAAAAAATCAACCACAAGATTTGTCGGCAGTGACAAAAAAAAACAGAGGCTTTGCCAAAAAGTCGGATTCACTAATCATCATTATCTTTTCAACCCAATGTTGTAGACCTTGGATATTTCAAACTATGAATTCTTTTAGATCAAATAACCTAAATTAAAAATATTAAACAACAGCAGGTAGCAAAGATATTCTAAAATGTGAGTTTGTAACAAAGACTCAATTTCTTTAAATTAATGGAAATACATATTGTTATTGTAATAATAACATTTTCGTGTTATATGTACTGGTATTGTTATATACTGTAATAACATTTACGTTTAATATGTTACTGATATTGTTATATAAATGTATAACATGAGGCATAACAATTTTTTATCTGGAATAAAAAAGTATGCTGAGTTTCACACAAAGAACGACTTTAAAGACGACTGTCCGTAATTTGTACCGTCTGTTTTAATATATTTATGGTTTCCTGCTATACTGTAAACTTGTTTGCTATTTGTACTGTCTGTTTTAATATATTTATGGTTTCCTGCTTATGTAAACTTGTTTGCTATTTGTACTGTCTGTTTTAATATATTTATGGTTTCCTGCTATACTGTAAACTTGTTTGCTATTCGTACTGTCTGTTTTAATATATTTATGGTTTCCTGCTACTGTAAACTTGATTGCTATTCGCAAAATTTTTTCATAAGCCTAAATTCTGAAAACTTCTTTTAAACTTGATATTTAAAGATTTTCAGGTCGTCTATATACAGTCTAATTCTTTCTTTTTAACCCTGTATGTTCACTGTGCAGATTATGTCAAATTAATCATAAAAATAAAATTTTAATCCAATTTTCAACATGAACAAAAATTTCTCGTTTTCAGAATTTAATTTTTTTTTCACATAATAACAAATGAAACCTCGTCTAACAATGTTGTCCAGATTGAAACATACAAAAAATAGTCCAGTAGTATCTAATAACTTTGCCATCTTTAGTATAGGACGAGTAAAGATTCCAATGGACTGACTTACAACCTTAAACATTTTCATTTATTTTACTTCTTTAAAGTAACCCTTTAAAATGATAGAAGACCACATTTTGGAAACATCCCTATATTTATATTTGTAGACTTAAAACCTTATTTTGAAACTTTAAAAAGATAATTCTTTTGCAGAACATATTCATTGGGACCAACTGCACAATTTAATCAACCAGACCATTGGAGGTTGTCATTTAATATTAGAATTTGCAAAAGTTACAAAAATGCAATTACTCCAATTTTGTTATAGTTTTGTTTTATCCTAAACGTTTTGAATCCCACATTTTGTTGATTGAAATTAATTTAAGTTTTTTAATTAATTTTTATTTTTTTATGATTTATTTTCAAAGTTTGGGTCAGTTGAGAAAGCCTATTTCCTAATAAATTATTTTCTTATTTTTAATGGAAAATTAGATAAAAGATATTCAAATATTCAAATATTCAAGTATTCAAATATTCAAATATTCAAATATTCAAATATTCAAATATTCAAATATTCAAATATTCAAATATTCAAATATTCAAATAGAAAGATAGTATTTTAAACGGTAAAAAAAAGAATATAAAGTATTTTCAATATATTTTAACAAAAATGAAGTTTAAAGAGACTGTTCCCGTAATTTGAAGTGACTCTTAATATGAAGAGGGGGCATGCCTGATTCACAACGGTTATCTTTAATCCTTAATCTAATGTGGAAGATAACCCCATTTTTCTAGCGTTAGAAGTGTTTAATCCTGATAATTTCTCCATTGATTTGAAGCAAACAATGTGTAACTGTTTAAGAGAAACCACAAATTGAAATACATCAGTTTTCATAACCAAAAACGTGTCAATCTAATTCATAATTATCTGACATAGGTTTTCAGCTGGTAAGGTTGTGAATCGGACATTCCACTTTATTCAGAAAGGGCCAATTTAATTTAGGTTTACAGTCTTCTAAATCAGAAATCAAATCGACTAATTAAAATATTATGAAAACTTCTCTAAAATTTAAGATTGTTGTGATATTTGTACGTAAACGAACTAATTGATACAAAAATAAAATTTTAATCCAATTTTCAACATGAGCAAAAATTTGTCGTTTTCAGAATTTAGTTTTGTTTACATAATAACAAACGAATCCTCGTCTAAATTTGCTGTCCAGATTTGAAACATTAAAAAAACATAATAGTCCAGTACTATCTAATAACTTTGCCATCTTTAATATAGGCTAGGACGAGTAAAGATGAAAAAGATTCCAATAGACTGACTTAAAACCTTAAAAATTTTCATTTATTTTACTTTTTTAAAGTAACCCTTTAAAATGATAGAAGACCACATTTTGGAAACATCCCTATATTTATATTTATAGACTTAAAACCTTATTTGGAAACTTTAAATTTACTCTATTTTTAAACGTGTTCCCAATCACTAGGTGCAATTAAATTTATTTTAATTTAAAGGGTCATGAAAGCATAATTTCTAGTGACCCTCTATTGTAGGAAGGCATGTCCAATTCACAACGACCCTGCACTCAGGGATTTTCTTCAAAAGTGACTTGCGCATTTCTGCATACAAAAACATGGTACTAAATTTTCTTCCTAGCTACACATGTGTAGGGTTTCCACGAAAGGACTGTTTTTTGTGTGCAAAATTTGCTTACTTTTCGTGCAAATATTTGTTTTGCGAAATTTTGCGCAATATGTTTTGCGTAATCAGCGCAAAACCGGTAGTATTGCGCAAAACGTACATTTTTATGCAAAACATGGTATTGACCAAATTGACCAAAATTGACAGTTTCAGCACCAAATCAAATCAACTAAAGGTTTATTCAAAAATGTATACACCATACACAAATAAATTATGATTCTGCTGCTATCAATTTGTTACTGTTGGTTTACAAAATCTTCAAATTGAGGTACAGAAATTAATAAAACAGAAATTAGAAATTTGAAAATTAAAAATGGATGATAGTTTTTATAGATGTCTGAATCTTAGTGTGGTGTTAAACTTTGATGTTTCAAATGTTGAATACTTCTAGTCGAATTCATATATTTATTAAAAATAGGAAAGGTTTATGCCCACAGAGATAAAGACAACCTTCAGCCTCGACTTCATGAAGTGTCGTAACGTCTTAATCTTTGGTTTTACCTCGCCAACGTACTTGTAGGCCTAGACATATGCATTTTAAAAATGCTACGTGTCGGTTTCTATCTTAATTAAGTTTAAAATGAGTAACTGGCAAAATACTGCTCGGCTTTTATGTGAGATCGTGAACATCCTGATTTGCAGTTTGCCATCATTTCTATGGTTGCAAAATAGAGGATCCTGTTATAGCATTACAATCATATGCAAAAAGGTGCAATTTCATAGATAACTAATTTATACAGTTTACACCGTTATTCAACCTTTTACTGAGAATTTGTTTCGCTAAATTGCGCAAAACAGAATAGCGCAAAAACGAAATAGCGCAATTTTTCGTGAAATTAAGTTTCCGAATGATTGCGCAAAGTGCTATTTTTTCGCGCACAAATGTAGCATAACGAAAGCAAAAATTTGCGCTTTCTTTAACAAAAATTGCGCAAAAGTTTTGCAAATTGAAACCCTACACATATGACACTGGCTAAGCCTATTATAAACAACAAAAGTTTTGCCCTTCACTAAAAAAATTAATTTTTAAAAAGAATGTGTGAGTACTTGATTCACATTTGTTTCATAAATGGTGGGGAAATATTTGATATGTCTATAACAAAACCCGGTTTTCTGGCAAAAACGCAACAGTTATTTTTGATCATTGAGTTTTGGATTATTTAGGTTCTCAGTTATCAGGGACATATTTGATGAAGTTGATTAGTGATGTAAAACAAAACCCCAAGCAGTTGCGACGCTTTCAAGTCGAGATTGTCTAAAGATTTTGTGACTAACTTTCATAGTTGTCCAGATATCATGGAGGGTTAGCTTCGCTTTCTTCCTAATTTTAAAAAGTGGGTTTGTGTTACATCTTTTAAAAAGTAAGCAATCCCTGTAATAATTGTAAGTTAATAATAATAATATGTGTGCCGAACCTGGATTCCATGGATTGGCAAAAACATATGATATTAATGATGTACACCAAAAACATTTCTTACTCGAACAGAAAATTGATGAAGCATGCATTTTTTGAAGAAAAACAAGTTAATCAGATTTCTTTTTAAGTGCGAGAAAGTTAACATCAAATGATTTGATTTGAAATCCAAAGTAGATACCACAGAGCAGATAATAAACAAAGTGCTGTTCACTCCAAAAAGTGTTAAGCCACCATTTTTATGAACTGCCATCGTACTATACAGAGACTGGAATTTAAGAGAATTGTCATGAAACCCGGTATCGGAAACCGGGTTTCGTAAAAGGATTAAGACAATTTTGTAAATAGATATCAATTTTCTGTTCTAAAATATCATTTCATCTAATTTGTCTTTTAATTTTCTAATTCTTTAATTGATATCTACACGTCACTATACTCAAATATTTGGTCTTTTAGATTTTCCAAATTGTACAAAAACTCTGATCATTTTATGTTTTTCCTTTACCAAATATTGGTTAATTCACATTGAGAACTAAATCTAATTAGTACATCCAAGAAAAATAAATGCAAGAGCAAAAATTGGCTGGGTTGGTAGGTTATTTAGCACTATTTGCACAAAGAAATATATTCAAAAAGATATATGCATAAAAGACAGATTTAGTAATTTGTTTAATAAATGCTCCTGTTGGGTTTTTACTATTTTCTACAAAATTGACCCATAATTGTTCAGAGTATTACCTTTACAGGCTAAAAATAGGAAAAATAATTTTTATCTTTGCCTCTTTTTCAAAAACCCATAAATATATATGCTGATCAAAATGTTGAATTTGTTTATCATGGCATTAAGATAATTTACAAACGTTTTAAAAGTTCTAGCACTAAAGCTGACTGTGGGAGAAGCTAAAATGTGCTTTTTGAACATATTTCTATTTGCGTACAAATCTAAATAACCTACCAACTAAGCCAACTTTTGCTTATGTATTTCGTTTATTTGGATGTACACATTAGATTTAGTTCTCAATGTGAATTAATTAATTAACTGGTCAAGGAAAAACATAAAATAATCAAATTTTTGCACAATTTGATAAATGTATAAAAGACCTAATATTTCAGTAGTATTTCTCTTGCATTTATTTTTCTTGGATGTACTAATTAGATTTAGTTCTCAATGTGAATTAACCAATATTTGGTAAAGGAAAAACATAAAATGATCAGATTTTTGCACAATTTGATAAATGTATAAAAGACCTAATATTTGAGTAGTGATGTATTGACTTCAATAAAGGAAACTTAAGAGTTTTATCAATAGGTAATCTCTTAACTTTCTGCTTCAGCGTACTTCGCACATTTGAGTCTTCTTTAACCTTTAGGGACCTCAAGCTCCTTTTTGAAAATGATTTCTTAAAATCAAATAACGATTTTATTTCACTTTAACACCTTTAATGTTTATTTTTCATCATAAAAAAGCTTGAAACAGATTGTCCAGGGAACATACTGTGATGAACTGCATATGTGCACAATTACTAGAATTTTACATTTTGAACTCCTTTTAAGGAACTGAAAATATTCATACCGAAGGGAACTCTTCTTTTTCCTCTATCTATTCTCTACTCTGTGGAAGATACTTCGCATTGAAACCCTTCTTGAAATTCAACACCAGTCTTCAATAAATAAAAATGCAATAAATTATTTTTATGTGTAAAATGTAGACATTTAGGTACATAAATATTTCAGCATTGGTTTAAATAAAAACATGATATAAAAATTATTATTACATAATATAAAATGTATTATTCTATAATACATTGTATGATGCAATCAGCTTTCACAAATTCGTCCTCTGCAAAATATCTTTTTTCTATTTTCACTTTTTCTGGACAAGATTGCGCATTTTCTATTGTTTCTGAACAAAATGTTGAATTTTTGCATGTTTTCTGAATTAACTTAACTAGAAGTTGTAAAGCTTTGGATTCCGTTGGTTTATCTTTACTGTTGTTCTGCGCCATCTTGTCCATGAGCGCCGCCATGCATGTTTGATTACTAGGAACAGCTGTTTCAACATGTGACTGAAGCAACAATGTTTTCATAATTTCTTGCAGCGAAAGATCTTTGTCTGCCATCGTAATATTTCCATCATTTTTCGATAAATCACTGAAGATTAATTGTCCTTTATCAAATTCTAGTTTGGTAACTTTGCGAGTCTTATTTTTCTCCAAAGACTTATCATAGTTCCTAGATGATTTTTTATTCGAATCTTGGACATCTGTTGTGAAATCACCTTGTTTATGAGGTATATCTTCCTCGAACCACTGTGCACTGGTCAGGTAGTCTTGACTTTCAGCTTCCTTAACATCTTTTGTGTCTTTTATATCCTCTGCTACTTTCGGTGCAATTGCAAGCTGGACAAGATAACCACTGTCAATGGTGTCTCTCAGTACAGGGACACTATGTAAGCTATAACCTGCAAGAATCACTGTCAATGTGCAAGTATAACTTCCCAGCATCTTGAATAAAATTAAATTTAAATGAATAAAAATCAATCTCAAGTTACAAAATAGCACAAATGTTTCCGTTGAATCTAATTGTTATCTTTTCTTTAAGGACAGCGCGTTAAAACAATCTTATAATTCATTTTATTTTAATTGAAAATCAATTTAACTGTATGCAGTAGACACTCTATCAATTTAATGTGAAACCATAGATTAATAACAATACAGATAGAACACTGGATGTCGTCTTTTCAAGATTTAGGGTTTTTGTTCACAACTGAGGCAAAGGCCCAAAGGAGTTAACTGCGCAAGCTCTCTCTCTGTCTTATAATTCAACGCGACATGCGCGTGACTCCTTTGGGCTTCTGCCTCAAGGCAGAAGGCTTCTACCTATCTGTGTTGTTATTAATCTATGTGTGTAACTATGTGGAGTTTACATTTTAATTAATTGGTCGGCATGTTTGACAATTTATATATATAAAATTGGCTTGTCTGCCTTGTTTGTATCTGTTTTGTCTATTTGTATCTAATAAAAGTCAAAATGGGTTATCATATTTTTTGTGTGGTTACTCACAGTTACATGACTCCAGTGAAAGAATACTAAAGCGTTTTCCTGTCTGAAAAAAATTTTAGTTTTTTTGATATTTTTGAAATTAATAAATGTAAACAGAAAAATCTGCGAAATATTTAGTTTTATGATGCTCGAAGAAAAATGGCGATTTGAAAATCATTATTTAAAAGCTGTAATTGTTAATAAAGAATAGGGACGCAAAACGTCCTGAAAGCATAGGATCGATCTTTGTCAGATCGATCCGAAACCAGAGATGGAATTTAAAGAATTCGAGCCGCGGTTTTAATCCGCCAAAACCCGGTTTAAATTAAACGCCAGCTTAAATCTTGAAACATTTGATACAATTTTAAGTGGAACCAACCATATTTAAACCGCCGCTCAAATTCTTCAAATTCGGCCACTAGGCATATAAATAGACAATTTTAAGGTATCGTTCAATTCATTGTATTGTATTGAGTTGAGAACTTGCTATTCTGGGGTTACCATTTTTAGACACGTTTATAATCGATTTTTTGAAATTTGTTCAAAATGATTTTTAAGTCGCCAAAAATCATTTCAAAACCCTAGAGCAAACATGTTTTATGTTTATGTCTTTGTACGGCCCACTCTCCCCTAAAACCTTCGATCAGAGTACTTCATTTCTATATTTGAATAAAATCGCGAAACCTCGACAATAATTTCAATATTTAGGCCGCGATATAATATTCAGGGCAGCATGTTTAAAGATATTCTTTGGAGGGGGGGNCCACATTTGTCAATGAAGATTACGGTATACCTGTAAGCTCAAATACAAACATTTATTTATCTAGAATAATTTTCTAAAATGGCCAGCGATTTATTTTTTTAAAAACCCTTAAAAATACCTTCAAGTTCTTTAAAATAAAATCTTGTGAATGCTTAAACAATATTGATGTTGCATACAAATTCAAGCTTGTCCACGATTTGTCTCATCCTTCGAAGGTAACCCTGTCTTGTGTCTATAAGAAGAGAAATATTGAAAGAATTCTTGTTAATATAATAACGCGTTTTTTAAACTTGGAGGAAAAATTTCAATTTCTTTAAGTCACGATTCCGTCACACATTTTACCCCGCCCCCCTTTCTCCTCCTACAACCCTCCGTCCAAAGAAGTAATATATGAAAAGAAGCATTAAAGTCATGAAAAAAAACCGTTGACTTTTATACTGTTTGCTAACTGCAGAATAAATAATTTTTGACAATATATAAATAAATAAAAAATAAATAAATATAAAGGTATGAGGAGTCTATATCTCTGCTAGCAGGATCCCTGTGCTCCCTGGTACAGAACACCAGTAAACTACCGGATATAAATACACCTCCAAGGTGAGAATATTTAAATCTTCTAGCTTAAAAGCACTTTTTAAAATCAAATTTTGAAGAAAAGAAAAAATACTTTGTCTATGTTACCCCCAGGGTATTTTTTGGTTTCCTCAAAAATGTTTAACTAATTTGGTTCAGCCGTTTGGCCAGCTAGGGCTTACATATTGAGTCGAGCGAAGAGCTGTATTATATCGATAGATAGTGTCTGTGTTTTCTCAGTCTCACCCTAAAATCTGCAAAGGAAAATGAAATAATGAAGTATAAAGAATTCGCCAACATGGGACCAATTTAATGAATAGCGAGAAGTAGTTAAACTACGGAGAGTGAGTTGAAAGCTGCGTAACTTGGTCTACGTAGTTCAACTACTTCTCGTTGTTCATTAAGATTAGTTTCTGATAATTTAAGTACTAGCACAAGCACCATGATCTGGTATAATCCAATGTGACTTCAGCGTTCAGACGGTTCAACCGTTGACGTACCAGCGATCGAGAACTTTTCCCAATTTAAGGTGTAAACCCCCAAATTTGGATATCTAGTTTCGTCGCTGAAGCTAAGCGCTAATCCGTTCAAAAGTTTCGTCCTCTGGTTACTTATCACTTGGAGTTAATGTTGAATAAATCTCAAAGTTTGATTAATTATTTTGTAGGTTTGGAAGAGCTGAGTTCAATCTTGCAGTTTATCCAGTTCTTGCAGCTTTAGCTTCCTATAACAGGTGAAGTTGAAGGAGGAGAAGGAGCAATTATTTAAGTTCTAATCCGTTGAACTATTTTTGTATTTGTAAACTTGATGTTAAGATGGTTGGATCTTGATGTACAGAGGAAGCTTATTAAAAGTTTAGAGTACGGTCTCTTATCCAGAGATTGTAATAAGGTCAGTTCTCAATTAAATGACTGTTGACGTTATTTCCAGTAATCCTTCGTTCATAGAATAATATGTCCGATTCACAACGGTAATTTTATAACGTTGTATTCATCAAGAATGCGTGAGATATCCATGATTTCTCTTTTTAAAATTGGTTACTTGTGGATTTATCTATAAAATTAACTTCCGAGTTTCTCGCTTCTGAAACAATGAAAAAATTGTGAGAATTTAACATTTATCAAACTAAGAACAACGACGATATCGTACACATTATGGATTAGATAAAGGTTTAAAGACAGTAGATTTAGATCATTAATGTTTAGGCTCCAACTGATAACTGTTCTTGTTGTCTAGGTGTGTACAGTGGCTTTGACTGCCTGTATTCTGGAGATGTCAAGTAGCATGAACACTTTTCTACCAGAGGAACCTATTCTTATTCTAAACCTTTTAAAAATAAAGCTGGTAGAGTTACATAAATTAATTCAAATTCAATATTTGTAAATATTGGGGAGGGGCTTTCAGATTTAATTATCAATACAGAAGTTCAGATTTTTTAGTTAATGAAATAAAACTACAGATATTACTGGATTACTGAATTACTGGAAAAAGCGAGTCAATATATCTTTTCTGTTTCTATTGATAGTGCATTAAGTTATTAGATTAGAAAATTTTAGATTTTGTGGAAATAAAAACTTTTTATGACCTAGATCTAAAACAGAATGTTATTAATATTAATAAATAATTCAAATTGATTACTCCTGTAATTTTACAACCATACAAATGTTTGACTTACGAATGAGGTTTTTAAAAGGTTTTGCTAAACCTATCCAAGATCTCTGCTACAGTGCATATTGCTATACCTGTTCTAGAATTTCTCTCCACTCTTATAAGTTTACCAAAGGTAAGATTATTAAAAGTTTTTGAAAAACTAAATGTTGCAGAAAAAGTACTTCGGTTATATTGGTATTTTTTTTCTCGAAATCAGGTGTTTGCCAGTTTTAACAACGATCAGTACATGTCTGTTTTCGCCATCACCCTTCCCTACACCAACCCCTTCAAGTTCAACCACTACACCGTCTCTCTGGCCCATCACGTGATTATCATGTGGTTCCTCAAATGCAGACTCTCAAGCAGAAAGGATTTTGTCAAGTTCATCGTGAAAGGAAATCTCATCTTTAGAAATAGCTATTCAGAGATTAAATATTTTTTGTATTCCCCATGATCTAGGGGGCTCATTTTTCGGCTTGAATAAAAGCCACTTTGGGACAATTGAACTTCAGGAGCGGCTAAAACTTAAAAGTTTAAATGTTCCACTTACAAAATTCATGTTACAGAAGTTTATTATTTAACTTTTAGATTAAATTTTATTTTAGAATGAGTCAACTGATTTCGTGCCTAATTTCTTAATCCTTATAATAATAGGAAAATTTACAAAGTAATTGAGTCTTTGTCACAAACTTTAATTTTCTAATCCCTATATCTTTGCAATCTGATGGTTTAAACCTTTGATTTGTCAAATTTTCATTATTAAATCCAAAAGAAACTTATAATTTGAAATATCTAAGGTCTACGACACTGGGTTGCAAAGATATAGGTTTTTAGAAAATCAGAATTTGTGGCAAAAACTTAATTCCTTTTTGAGGAAAATAATCAAATCCCACATATTCCAACATTCTGTTCAAAGATGATTTAATTTTAAAGGATTGGAAGGGAACGTTCTTCAACCCTTCGAGGAGGGTAATTTTCGTAAAAATGAATTGTCAAGCATGAACCAGGATTCTAGTTCAAGAACCAGATCTTCTAGTCTAGTGGAGGAGAGTAAGCCTATCAGGGCCAGACATATGACTGGTAAGCAAGCCCAAGACCAACGATACTTTACGACTTTGCGCCCTTGTAATATCTCAACCTTTTTGGTGTTTACAGAATCAGAAGTACTTAAGAATCCAGAATTTGAAATTATTTATTTATATAAAACATTTATCCTTTGCTTGTCTGTCTGTTTGTTTGTCTGATTGTAACCAATAAACGTCAAAACGGCTGAACCGATTGGACCCAAATTTTGTGTGGGACCTCACATAATCCCAGGGAAGGTTTATGGATGCTCAGAATTACACAAATTTCTTTTTTGTTTGTTATTGTTTTATACTATACATAGAGAAGATGCTCAGTGCTCTCAGATAGAGCCACAATTAACAAAATAGAGGATGGGTGCTAAGTTCCCTTAAAAGTCTAGTATAAAACAATATGCTTTTAAAAAACTTTTAAGCCAAGTTTAGGAAATTGAATGTTTTTTTGTAAAAATGAAAAAAGAAATAAGCAATTGATAACAAGGTGTAACATCTCGGCCCCAGCTAAAAGTAAAATCTGGACCTGATGAAAGACAAGCTCTTCATACTTTTCATCAAGAGCTCACAGAAACATGTCTAGGTAAGTAAAAACAGGAATACCAACTTCGTTTTAAATACAAAGTTGACAGACCCCATTTTGAAAAGCTCTGGAATTTGCAGTTTTTTATTGACGATTTGACAATTTTCATTTTCTCATGTTCAATGTTCAAAATACTAATTCTAAAACTTGGATTTTCAAAAAATTTCGAAATGTTATGTGATTAGTCTCCTGAAATGTGTAATAACTCTTGAGATAAATAGTGTGCTAACTTTGCACACATATTATTTTTTTCAAAAAGGAACAGAAAACATGTTTAAATTTTTTTCTTCATCAGTAGCGTAGATAGGGCAACTTGAATCTGTCCTTGTTAGGCTTTTTTGTCTGGCTTAATATTCTGACAGACCTAAAATCTTGAAAACAAAAGTGGTATTTTGACAATAAAAAACATATAAAAATACCAGTTTGGGGCAACCCTCCCCCATAAGTGGGTGCATTTAACCTCTTTTTCTTAGATATAATGTCTCGGTATTCCTTCGCTAACCCTTCAGTACAACCGGAGAGATCATCAATAGCTCATTTTCTCATGGAATCAGGGAACTCAGCCTCATGGCTTCTAGGTAGGAGTTCGTTAAATATCAACTGTTTTAACGCATTTAGGTTTTATTTAAAATTATGTTTTTTTCTTCCGATTATAGGGACATTTAATATAATTTAAAGACCTTATTTTTGAAAAGTTATATTTTCGATTCGAAAATTTTCTTTTTGAACCCATTTTCAGTTAAAAATAAGTGAGAAATTATTGTTTTCCTTTCTGAAAATGTGTTTTCTCTATAAAACTTTCTGGCCAGTTTCGGATGTATGCAGAGAAGGAATCAGACAGAACAATAATATCTTCTTCATTGTTACACAATAAATTAACATTTAAGTGTACTGTTGTTAATTCGTGAACTCATAAAATTAAGAATCACTTAAGATTGTGTCAACAGAAAAACATTGTTGGACTAAAAAGTGTTTAAAAACTCAAACTTTGAACTTTGTCAACACTAATTAAGAGTAATTAAACTGATTTAATGATTTTATTTTGTAAGATTTTAAGATGTTGTCCAACCTTGTTTTTGTTTAAGGGAACGCTATAATGACGATATCTGTGAGTGGATGTGGTTTAAGCATGAACCGTGGAGGACTATGTGATCCCTGTAAGCAGCATGGTAAACCTGATGGAGAAGATGAAGTACAAGTAAATATATAAATAATGTTCTGTGTTCCGTTTAAGGGTTGGCTGTTAAATTGATTTGATTTTTTATTGATTACATATCCAATTTTTTGTTACTTAGTATGATATTATGTGGAGAAAAATATATTTTTATTCAAACTGACTCTTGTTAATAAGAATTTGTAAATGGTAATAATTAATGATTGTTTTCTGATTAAGGTTGCTAAAAAGCGTCATGTGAGTGAGCAGAGTGTTCGAACAACCTCTGTACCTAAACTGGAGTCATTGAGCCAGGATGATTTGGAACTACGGGAGAATACTGGAGGTCTCAGGGTAACCCTGGAGAATCTCACTAAAGAACAAGGACGACTTTGCACTTGTTGGTGTCAGGTAAAAATATACTCAGGGTCAGAGTAGAACCTGTCAGCTTCATCCATATACCCTGGAGAACTAGTCAGGTTCGGTTCACAGTGCAGAAACCTAGTACTATTTATTTTTTTCTGAAGAAACTTAGGTTTATTGAAAATATTGGCAACTGCGATTTACACAAAGTACACTGACTGGTCCAAATTTGAAGCGTCGCCAGGTCTTGATCTTTTTGTTATACGATGATAGCCTATTACGTTTTGTAGCCCTACATATGGAGAATTTGAAGTGCTTGTTCTTTTTGAAGAAGTATATTGAAAAATAATATTAGATTTTTGTTTGAAGGAATATCTTTGTTCACAGCTCAAGCCCGATTTCTAAGGATTGAAGGTTCTGGTTGACTGCAATTATTATTTTCAATGCTGCATATTAAAACCAGCACTTAGGATCCGAATCCAATTTACCAATGGCTAAAATGTGAACCAACATCTGCTTAAATAAATAAAAACTTGTTGCTTTCAAAACACAAACCTCACCTGCTAACATTAAGAGATAATTAATCTCATCCTAATCTCAAAACACAAACCTCGCCTGCTAACATTAAGAGATAATTAATCTCATCCTAATCTCAAAACACAAACCTCACCTGCTAACATTAAGAGATAATTAATCTCATCCTAATCTCAAAACACAAACCTCGCCTGCTAACATTAAGAGATAATTAATCTCATCCTAATCTCAAAACACAAACCTCGCCTGCTAACATTAAGAGATAATTAATCTCATCCTAATCTCAAAACACAAACCTCACCTGTTAACATTAAGAGATAATTAATCTCATCCTAATCTCAAAACACAAACCTCACCTGCTAACATTAAGAGATAATTAATCTCATCCTAATCTCAAAACACAAACCTCACCTGCTAACATTAAGAGATAATTAAACTCATTCTAATCTCTGAATGGAAAGTTTCAGGATAACAACAAGTGAAAAAAAAAGATAGAAAAAGATAGAAAATTAATCTTGGTGACAACCACCAAAATATAAATTGTTTTTTCTTCAACATACAAATTATTTCCTTGAAAAATCCATTTTATCTATACGGGGTTGCGTTTTATCTTTTGGATTGCTCATCAATAGTCACAACTATGACTCCTATGTTATTTGTTTACAATTTTGCACCTAGCTGCGTCTTACTGTATTTGGACTTAAATTATCTTAGGCAGTGTGCCAAATCTTTCAGACACACTAGACTCATTTTATTGCCAACTGTCGTGCTTGATTTCCACGAAAAGATAGTTGACTGGTTATTATGCTAAACCCAATATTAGCAAATAAAGATACGTGTTAAATAACCATTTGATTAGGGTTGGGCCGAAGTACTGGTGCGACGGCCTAGTGGAGAAGTATCATGGCTGTGTCGGCTACAGAACGGTCAGCTTACAAGTGGACCTGAAGACGTAGCGCTTGCTGATATTACAGCTCTTCTTATAGCAGAGTCAACAGGGAGACGAACAGCAGAGCACGAAAGGTGAAAAATTAACACGATTGGCGTGATTTAAAGTTAGTCTGGAATACATAAATTTTGTATTTTTCTGTGTTTTTTTTATAGTACCATTTTGCTATTGATAATACATTCTTTTCAATTTTATCAATTGAATGATTCCTAAAATCGATTACATTAAATTCCAGTAGGGCAGGTATCAATCATTATTCAATATTAGCAAATGCTTAGAATAATGTTGGTATCTGATAATGCCGGTAGACTGGCATAATGTTGGTTGTCTGTTGCTTGAAAATTACATTAAAAGATCTGAAACTGACAAAGTAATTCGTTGACTCATTGCAAATCATGACCCCAGACTACAATTTTGAATTAGTAAAGTCATGTAACTGTAGAATTGACGTAGGACAACCCTAGAAGTCTGATTTGATTTGATACTGGCTTCTCTTTCAATCTTCATAAAACTTTTACTTACTTTTCAAAAAAATTCTTTAGCAAGGACTTAAAACTCGATTCTTACTAAAACTTCGAGCTAAAATAAAATCCCATATTAATAATATGATTTGATTTGTTCTGATAAATGTCTTAGTTTTAAGATGTGAAAATCCTTTAAAACTAATTATTTTCTAATGTTTGCAGGATGAAAGTGATACGTTCTAACTCTAACCCTGAGATAACAGAGAAACTTTCTGAACTTGATTTAAACCGAATCCGAAATGTCCGACAAAGCTGTGATCCAATACCAGAGGAGGAGATGTGCGACAAGAATATCCCTGTTAGTCCTCTACCCTACACCAGGAGACCCAGATCAAACACCATTGACTCTACCTCACCTGTCAAATCCCGCCGATTGGATTCCAGTTTACCGTTAATAAAGCAGGAGCGGAATAATGTCATATCTCCGCAGTTCATGTTTCTTCAGCTGTATCAAGCGGCGGGCATGTCAACTAGTTACACGGAAAAACCTTTAGTAATCCCTAAAACAAAACAGTTTGAGAACTCTCTTAAAATTATGGACAGGATTCCTTGTCAGGTGGCAGTTTTATTTTAAATCTAAAAACTTATGTATTTAATTGCCCAACAATGTTTAGGAGACTCATAAAATTGGTGTTATGTACGTGGGTCCCGGTCAGGCAAACAGTGAACGAGATATTCTCAGTAATAGATACGGTTCAGCTAGATACGCGGCATTTCTCAATGGTAAGTTGTTAACACGTTAAAAGAGATTTGATAAATGTTATAGAATATCACAAATTTATGATTTCCAAATTGAAAACAAAAATATAGTAAACAAACCTTTTAGGTTTAGGAACCCTGATAGATCTAGCAGAAGTTAATACCAGCAAAGTTTTTCTTGGTGGACTAAGTTTTAAGGCAAGAATTTAACCCTTTTCTTCAAATAATACGGGAATATTCAAAAAAATTCGGGGATTAAAAAATGTTTTAATATATCTTAGGACCAGGATGGTGAGTTCGCTTATGTTTGGCAGGAAGATGCAATGCAGGTTGGTGTTTTTGATTCTGTGAAAAAAATTATTTGTATCAAAATTATTTACAGCCGGGTAATAAATTTTTTTTCTTTTTGAATATTTGATATTTTTTTATACTCTATATGTCAGTGTGTACTGAAGTATACAGAAGTCATTGGTTGTCTGTTAACTTGTTTTACATATCATTTACAGATTTATTTTTACTATTGCTGTAAGAAGATATAATTTTTCCGTAAAAATGAAAATTAATTTCTGTTAAAAAAACATGTGTATTAAAATTTCACAGTATCGTTATATTTGTTTCAGGTTGTCTACCATACAGCAACTCTAATGCCTAATAGGAAAATCATTGTTTAAGAAATGTCTCTATTTATGATGTTAATTCCATCTATTATTCCAGAGACAACGTTTTAAATTTTGGTTAATTTTTTTTGTTTAACTTAATATAAACTAGGACTAATGATATTGTGAGTAGGGAAACGGATCCTAAATTCGACAAGAAAAAACGACACATTGGAAACGATTTTGTTGCTATTGTTTACAATGAATCCCGGGAACAGTATAAGATGGGAACTGTCAAGGTAAAGACTAATAATTGTCGTCTGTAGACTCCACTCAACTCATTCTCTAAAAATGTTTAGGGTCAGTTTATTTATGCTACTGTGGTTGTTGAACCTCTTGATTTCGAGTCCAATAAGATATCCGTCCTCGCTAAACCGGAGCTTTCGGAATACCTTTCTCATCTTTCTAGTGGCAAGGTAGAGTATTCTCAATCTTTTTGGTGATACCGCAAACTAATTATATACTGAAGAACATGTCTTGAACATCTATTTTACAAAGCTCTTTGCTCATCTATATATAAATTTGGCTTGTCTGTCTGTTTGATTGTTTGTTTGTTTGTTTGTATCCAATAAACGTCAAAACGGCTGAACCGATCGGGCCCAAATTTTTTTGTGGGACATCACGTGACCACGGGGAAGGGTTATGAATGATAAAAATTTTAAAAAAATGTGTTTGAAAGGTTTTTAATTTAGTAATAAAAGAATAAATTCTTGAAAATCCGCGAACTTTTTTTTAAAAATCCGCAAAAAAAATGTTCTTTGTTTTAATGTTCACAATATAAATAGAAGATGTGCGCGAAGCGCCCTAAAAGCCTAGTATATGTATATATTTATATTTTATTAATAAAACAGTCCACTTATTTTTTTAAATAAATTATTGTGCACAGATTGTCTCTGATCACAACCTGGCTATGCTAGTGAGACAAATTGCTTTACATTGTAACCTGGCAGCAAATATCTACTCAAGATTGGAAAACAAATCGGTAATATATAAATAATCTTTTTACTATTAATTTTCTTCCATCTTTTTGAACAATTTATTTTCAAGACTGGTCTGTATGAAAATTAATCAAATTACATGTAATTCAAATGTATAGGAACCCTACGCCAGCAACTGGTTGGAAAGACTGCGTCACTTGAAGCGTCTGAAGACTAAGTTGTTAAAGGATAAGGAGGACGAGGAGGAAGGAACACAACATGATTTCACGGGATATTGTCTTCCAAAGTCATAAATAAAATTGTCCGTGAATGTTTAAGATCTGTAATCATAGTACAATGGTTGTCATGTGTGTAAATATAGTTCTTGTATTCAATTCCTTATTCCGCGTACCCACACTTATTAACCTCATTTTGGAATTTATGAAATTTGTTCAATCCAAATTTTGTATTTTGTTCTTTCTGTAATTTTGTAATTTTTCATAAAAACAAAGAAAAACAAATTTCCTACTAAATATTGTTTTCAGGCAAACCATAATTTTTACCCTTTTTTCACAACCAAAATTATTTAAGACCGCAATTATCGATTACACACATGCATGAAAATCATTGTAGAAGAGAAGGAATATGTCATTTTTATTTTTCTGCTCTATTTTACAATATACATGCTGAATATCATTTATTGAAATGACATCCGTAACTCGATCTATGCTGGGTATTAAAATAAAAAGATTGGTCTTGATTTACACTGAAATGCTTACATCAAAATTCACAAATTTTAAATGGTTCATTGTATCTCGAAAACAGGCATGCTATCAGTACAGATGGCGTAAACAAATATTGGTGTTTATTAATATTTTATATATTGTTTACATTACTATAACATGTTCTTAATTATCTATTTATAGCTTTATAGTTGTTTGAAATAAATGAGAAAATCTTATATAATTCTTTTATTAATAATTTAAGTTAATAAATGTAGAAAAACATATATAATTCTTTTCTTCGTATTTCAAGTATTTTTATCTCCGTCCTCAGATCTCACAAAGATCAGCATCAACCTAAATTTAATAAATTTTTATTAGTGATTAATGATTATGACTAAATTACCCAGATTAAAGTCATTACAGTGTTGACGCCGACCGCTCACCCATGCACTAATTTGACGGATGTATATAGATGTATATTTCTAGATATTCTTTCAATCGAATTTTGGGGTTATCTTGTATGTTATTCCACATACATTCCATACACAGTTCTACACAGTGGGTCCAGTTGGTTAGTTTCGTAGCTTCTTCAAACCGACCTGTTAGACACCCGGTACGCGTCAACCCTTATCCATGTTATTACTTGATTAATAGCTATTTTTATTAAAATCAAAAAAATATTTATCTAATTTTCTAGTATTGACGTGCATGTGGGCCAAAAAAACTAGTCACAATGTGATAAGAAAATGAAATAGATCTTGAGCTTTATGACCAGTACAGGGTGTCCCAAAAAACATGGGAATTCAGTGACGAATTCGATATCGTCTTTGTTATGAATTAGCATTGTAATACCTAATTTCAAAAGCCATAATATTATTATGTCTGCTAGAGTTTATTTAATGAAAAGGGTAAAAGACTGCAAAGATGTGTCTATAATGTCTCCGCAAGATGAACAGTGAATACGGACAAGTTTACTCTGTTTGTATACTGTAATTTTCTTGTTTTACTAAGTACAACCGGTTGCAGTCAAAACATAAACAAACAAAGTGTAAACATAGCAGACGAAACTCTTACAGATTACAGCTTTCTCAGTAGGTATCACTTTACTAAATCAAAGAATTATTTGAAAAGACGATATCGAATTCGTCACTGAATTCCCATGTTTTTTGGGACACCCTGTACATAAAGTCATGCCACATCATTGATAAATACCATCGTGCTTTTTCTAGATATTTAATTTAATAAATCAAAACACTTAATTTAAAACATGTTGGCTAATCAAAATTTGTTCTCTTTTTTAGGCTTCGTAATCATTTTCGATATTTGAGTAAGGACAAAATTAAGATGAACATACGATTATACATGAAGCCTAGGTTTTCTGAAATGTTGTCCACTCTCTTTTATACTCATGGAACTCATTTTTGTATTTAACAATTTAAAATTTTTATAAAGCGGACCACAATCTGGAAATTACAGAAATTGGGTAATGTGGTGTTAATTATTAATTGAGTAGATTTTGCATGCGGATCGAAAACGATTTAATGGTAATTTATTTCCCATGTTTGTTGAGACACCCTGAATGAAAGTACATACCTGTAGATTTCTAATGGCAACCACCTTGGAGTCTGTTTCCTCCAGAGCTCTAATAAACATTAATAAAATAAGGACGTAAGTTAAAAGATAAGCTACAGGACAAGAGCGCTAAAGTAGGGATTTACAGATAATTTTTATTCAATTTCAATTTTAAACCCACAGGCCCACACGTTTAAGAATGGTGTAGCACTGGTACAAAGTGAAAAAGTACTTATTTTAACTTAAATTTCATCTTAAATTCCCCCCCTCATCCCCTTTGGATAAGGCTTTAAAACCTAGATCCAACAATTCACATGAATTCGTTCTTTGGCTTTTCACTTTTTCTTATGTTAAGATCCGCTTGGAAGAATGAGAAATAGATTTTATTGCCTAGCATTTGTATCCCTTCATCATAATTTTATAATTATATATTTACATAAAATATTATTGATAAAGTATTAACCTGAGTCCAACTCCTCTAATGGATCCTGATTCTAGCATCAACATCACACTATCAGCTCTATCCTCGCATACTCCAGATAAAACCTCAATATATTCAAATATTTACATTCAACACTATACACTACAGCTAGGTCAAGTATTTTTCAAAACGTTTATTTAGGGTACAGGGTGTCCCACGAAACATGACAATAGCTATACGATTTTGAAGGTCGTCTTAGAACTTTGACATAATTTGCGGCATTTTTTCGTAAACTTTTTTTAGCAGGAAAATTCTAGAACTAATAATCACAAATTACCCTTTGTCTTGGCATTTCCAAATTGTGGTCTGCCTTTTTTGTGCTTTCAATATTTCCGGAGATATGATGAATTTCCTTCAGATTTGGACAATTTAGGTTTTATTCAATAAAAATTAAATCTGTACGAAAATTCTTAATATTGAATGCACAAAAAATGCAGACCACATTTTGGAAACGGCATGACTAGGCGAATTTAGTGGTTATTGTTTCAGGAATCATACATGTAAAAGAAGGTTGAAGACTGAATGTCACCAATAACTTCAAAGTTGAAAGACGACTTTCAATTCGTCTTGCTAGTGTCATGTTTCGTGGGACACCCTGTATCTAAGCTGAGAACTTTAGAATGGTGGATATCGAGATCAATGCTTGATCCTCTGTTTTTCTTAATCTCGAGACTAACCTAATCTTGTAATTGTATCCTGAAAAGTGTATAAAATTCAACCAATCAGAGTCTCGTATCAGAAGGCGGCAAATTTTAAATTTTGCGCGCCATTTAAGATTAATATACAGAAACGGGAGGGACTTTATAATTTCGAAAAACCGGTTATTGATTTTTCTGCACTATATTCAAAAAAGAGTGGATTAAGCAAGAAATTAAAAGTGTCCACATTGGATATTCGGATTAAGCAGTCGGGATTAAAGGTATCCCTTTCTGAAGTTCCCAGCTCTGTATATATATTATAATGCTTTGTTTGTATCCAATAAATGTCAAAGCAGCTTTAAAACCAATGGGCACAAATTTTTGTGGCAACTCATATAACCAAAGGGAAGGTTTTTGGATGGTTTAAGACATTTATCATTATTGAGAATGCGCAGATTACGATTAAAAAATAAAAATGTGCAACGGTTAACAGCTACAGTTAAGCTAAGCGCCCTGAAAGCATAGTAAGTATGGATTTCGACAATTTATTACAAGAACTTAAATCGGATTTTATCAATACCGAGAAGCACGTAAACTATGTAATGTGTATGGATAGTTTAACAACTTCTCTGAAATAGAATTAGAATTGTAAAAATCCGACATCTAAGAAAATTTCTGCATTATACTCTGAGTTGGCCTCATAGCCGGAATCAAAAATGGATCAATGATTAAAACCCATCCGCCTTGTTTATTGAAGTCATTAATCATGAATAATATTTTATTGCAGTACAGTGTTCCTTACAAGAATGTGCTGCAGGCTTGAGTTACTGAATATATAAAAGTTGTCTCAAGCTGTACAGGATGTATCTTGAAAAAAAACATCAATAGTTCACCAGGACGGACTTATCTGATTTGACATAAACCTGTTTCATATCACCGTCAACCCTCATGCATGAGAACATCGGAACAAGTTTAGTTTGCTCGGGAATACCAAGCTAAACTTTGTCAGAGCTTTACAAGTTTAGTTTTATCTTACCAGAGTTCTCTTTTGTTTTTCAGGATCCAGGGCTCCAAGTATCATACGTTTAGTTTCCTGCCTCACCAGTGGTACAAAGTGTTCTAAACAGGTTATTTTTAAAGGATTACAATTAAATGAAAATAAGGTTACTTTTTAGCATTTACAAGAAGGGGCGGATATATAATTAGGCGGGGGGAATTATAATTATTATTAACGTTTCTCTTTTTTTGAAGTATTACATCTTATATCTACATAAGATTATCTTTTTCTACATTTTTAGTGGCAAATATTGTTCACTATAAAGCTTCAGGAATGTTCTCCCATTATTTTCTTTTCCCCAAAAACATCTTTTTTGATTTAAAATCATTCCTTTATTATTATTTACTAGATGGGAGGCCCAGCTTTGCCTGGAGTTTTCCAAACAAAAGTCAACCCAATCAACTTGGAATTTTAATAGATATATGGATACTCCCGTGGTTCTACTGAGTTTCCCTATCAAAAGTTGAGGCAAATCGGTCCAAAGGTTCATAAGTTATGCTCGAACATCCAAATAAACAGACAGGCAGAAAAACATAGATTGCTATTTTATATATATACAGTGATAACTAGAAATCTGTGGAATTGTAAGACGACATTAAGGCAATAATTACGTCTTTTTGTTGTTAATGGGTTTGTTTACACTGCAAAATTACTGTTTAATTTTCATAGGACTATTTCAAGTCATTCTTTGAGTCTAAGTCGTCTTACGGTTCCAGGATTTTATGGTTATCACTGTTAATACCTTTATTCGTGTTTAGGATTGTCCAAATGGCCTGAACCGCCATATCATGATTAAGAGCAGTTGCTACCAACAATCCTTTGTATCCTCTACTCTCTAGTTCTTTCTGGATTCCCAAAACCATTCCTGAAGTCTCCTTACCCTGTAACATATAGTAAAAGTTACTTTGTTCAAAATCTTTATATCAGTTTAAAGATGATGAGTACTCTTGTACAATACTGTAAAACTTAAAGCCTAGTTGATAACTTTTATTAAAAGCATATTGCTTCCATAGATTAATTAGATATAATTACTATTATGAAATTTCAATTGATAAAAACTAATTGAACCTGTAAATGCTGAATTTCCTCATTACATGAAAGAAGAATAAAAGGATGACTACTTTTCTCCAGAACCTCAACTACTTGGTTAATGTCCTTA